AGGACTTCTTTGACAATACCTATGTAGTGATGGGGTGTTGTTTTAAGGGTTTTGTGGTTGGGGTTTAGGTTGGTTTGTTTTGTATATGTTGTTTGACTCTTCTGTTTAGTCAATAGCATGGGGTATGGGTGGTACTCTTTCCTATCCTGGGATTTTGTTTCTTTGGAAAGGTTTTAACGAGGCTGCCGTTAACATGCTAGCTCTTACCATATAATGTTCCTTTCGGTTTAATGAAATACCATTTTTTCTATAAATAAATAATAAAAACAATATTAAACAATATTATAATATTTATGAAATGTAATTAAATCAACCTCTATAAAGATTTCCATGAACCCCTTACCTGGTCTCTAAGTCAAGCATAAGATACATCTCACCAACACCACAATCAAACACAAGTGTTCCGTATAACTCTTGTTCAAGCTATGTTGCGTCTATCCAAGTGCAAGTAATCACATGTAGTAATAATCTTGGAAGTCCAAGTATCATATCCTCAAGGAATAGGTAGGGAAATATCTGCACACAAAGAAACAATTAAACGTACCACAATAAAAGTGACAAGCAAAATGGAAAAGTAAATTGATTTGATTGTTGTGGAAATTGAGTATAAAAATGAAATATCAATAATGGAAATGCTAAGGCATCAAGGTTCAATTCTTTAAACAAAATATGTTTCATGCTCTTTAATTCAAATTATAACTCGATTAAAATCATCATTGAGAAACTTTAACTAGAAGATAAAGAAATTAAAACCAATTTAATTTTTCAATGTTATCTTTTATTAATGATTGTTCAGAAAATGGAATTGCTTAATATCTATTCTTTTAATTTAAAAGCATGCTAAGTCAGTTCTTAACAATTAGAAAAATATAATTGAACTCATGAAAATGATATAGAAAAAAAAAAAAAAAAAAAAAAAAAAAAAAAATAAAAAAATTCATTACAATATATTGGATTAAAGAACAATTCACAAACTTACTCAAAGAACATTCCCTTTAGCCTTAGCTAGAGTTCTAGTAACTCATTACAAAGGAAAACATAAACTAAAATTTGAATGAAATGGATAAAGAAATCTGTCGTAGTGGTGCCCTTGCCAAATAAGTTGATGGGTGATTTATAGTAGTCAATGAGATAAGTGGGAAGTTAATACATTCGTGGTGGGTAAAGAAGGGTTTAAGTGAGGGATTAATTGGATTAAACATGTGTTGATGGTGGAGAGTTAGTGGAAAAGAAATAACGGTGAGTTAAGTGGGCGTTAAATGGCTATGAATGACATGAAATAGGCTCTTTAGCTTCAACGGTTTTGTCTTCTTTTCTCCCTCTTTACTTCTCTTTATAATCACAATAATCCCACAATCAATTCTTCAATAAAATCCGCCAGCAATTCTCTTCACACCTGACTTGAACTTGGATAAATGTATGTCTTCATATTTTGGCTTTCCAGCTTCCTACAGAAGATAAATTCACCTAATAAGTTCACCAAATTAATATAGAAAATTCATAAATCTAGTTGGTGAGAATAAAATGTAACAAGAAGTGAAATTATATTTATTAACCCAAAATAATATTTAAAAAATGTAATTTGAGACTCTCATCATGCTACTCTTTTGATCCAAATACTCCACAATTATAATCAACTTTTTGAGTTATTACAAATGACATAACAAAATCCCTTGTTCAAGACAACTGTTGATTTTTATTTATATTTATGAGTATTTCAAACTATCATTAGAGTTAATTGGCTTACATTGAAATTAAATATATATTTTTTTAAATAAGCGATAATATATTATTGAAACTAAAATTTTAAATGTTCTATAGTAGAAGTTTTTATTGGTCATTCAAACGGGACAAATTAATAATTGGTATATTGTTGCAAAGTTTAGATGAAGTTTGAATTCAAAAGCTTTAATGTTGTATAATTTTTTTTTGTCTACGCCTTTATATATTTATCTTTAATAGTTTCAAATGTTATCAATTTCATTTCCATACCGGTGGATATTTAAAGCTTTTAATTTCCAATACGTGTATCACTATAATTCCTTAACGGTTGAAAATTTTAATTACCAAACGTCTCTTTGGTGACAGCTCCCATATAAACCTTTTACTATTGGAGGCTTGGTCAAGGCAACATTTGTGGCCCGACCAAGATTATTGAGTTGTGCAAATTCTCAATAGAAAATGAGAGAACTACACAAGCCATAAGTAAGTATCCTTAATATGTATGTTTGGGCTAAATGCCGTTGAAGGTTTTTAATTTATCTTGCCCCTCTAATATGTGGTGACTCGAACTATCGATTGCTGATACTTTGAATTTCCTACTCACCAATATCCAACTTTTTGCATCACTTTATTGGGTTTTTTTTTAATTTGTTCTATTTTTATAATAAGGACATTATTTCTTCACCACATGCTTGTGTGGATGCATAAGCAAAATGTTGTGTCATGTTTATAATTTTTAAAACATGAGACAATTATGCTAAACATAGCCAACATAATTAACTTGTAGGTGAGGTTTGACTAAAGACATATGTATGCCCGTGCAGTGAAGGAGCCATAGAGGCACAAGGAAGTGCACCTCCTCGCATCGAAAAATCTCTTGGAGAGAGGCCAAAATTTGCCCCTCTACTTGTGCCAAAGGTTTTGGACTTCGTGTGAGAATTGCCTCAAGCCTCAATTTGTTTAGCAAATTTCATATTTTGGCGTACGTGACGGAGTTTAGGTGTTGCAAGGCGCACGTGATCTGCAACTGAAGGTGAGGCATATGTTTTTCAAGCATAAATTAATTTAATTACAAAATATATAATAATTAGTAAAAAAAAAGAGTATTAGATCTCATTCAAGCATTTTGTTTTGGGATTTGTCATCTAGTTTTGAATATAGCTTGAGGTCTTCTCATGTGCTGTAGGGCCTTTTTAATTTATATTTGAAATGACATTTTATCTTCTTTTTTTCTTTTTAATTTAACACGTATTTTTCTTCTTTTCAACGTATATCGTTGTTTTTTTATCGAGTTAGCTCGCTACTATTTTCATCTTGTCTCATTGTTTTTGTTCGAGCAAGCATAGTGCATTGAAGTTAGGGCTTGGCAAATTGAACTGATAAATTGAAAAAATGACCGAACCAAACCAATCAGTTTGGTTGATTCGATTTTTTTAATTTATTTCATTGAAAATTTGGTGAAAAATAGGACTAGACTGATCAACTCGATTTGGTGCATGGTTCGCAATGATCAAAAACACCGATTCACTTGAATAGGACTTGTAGCTTTAAAATGATAAATATTAGAAAACATTGGAGGCAAGAGGTTTCAAACCCCGATCATCCAACTTTGAATCAATCACTTGCACCACTAGACTAACCAACTCCTTTGTGTAAATATGGTACAACAAATATATTTAATAAGTTCTTATTCCATATAAACTAAAAAATATATTAAAGTGTTTAGGGAAACCTAACACTTCTCTTCATTTATTTTTTCCTTCACAGCTACATTTTTTCATCTTCTCTCTCTCTCTCTCAACTTATTCTTCTCGATGTTTGTGGAAGTAAAATATCTCACCTTAGGTAAAATACTTAGGCCAATCAATATGGGGATGATTTGACCTAATTGGGAGTTACTTGAATTAATGGGAAGATTACCTAATTCAAATTGGATGTATTTGATCCTCGCCTTAATTAGGGATTTGGTTAAATCCCTAATCCCTAAATACACCAACCACACCAACCTCACCAACTGCACCAACCCCACCAACCCCACCAAATATGAAAGCCTAGCCCTCGACTCTATAAATACTTGGTTACGCACAAAGATTGAGGTACGTCTGAATTCCTACTGAAATTCTACATAAGTTATCCCTCACAAACCCTTCTCCGCCATTTTCTTCTCTCTCTCACACAAGGCTCCGGCCACCACACTCGGCTCCGACCACCTGATTTTCCTGAAACACCCTACCTAACTTAGGCATCGGAGGGCCTTTGGCCAACACCCCCCGGGTGTGGTCCTTTTACTCCGATCTGTTTTGCAGGGAGAAAGAGAAGCGGAGAAGACGAAGGAATCTTAGGCAAATATTCTAGTGGGACGGAAATCGCACCCATAAATTGGTGCTTTCATTGAGAGCGCGAAATAATACTCAAAGCGTGCTCCAAATCAATTTTCCACACTTTTTTCAAGCAACCATGGTTGATACAAGATGTACGAAGAGTAACGCCACCATGACAGGCCCGTCTCATGATTTCGTGGTGGAAACCTCGATGCAACCGCATGGAATCGTGGCTACCAACACCTTGCAACCATCTCTTAGTGCTTTGCAGAACAGCCGCCACATGGTCTCGTGACCTGCACAGCCTTGCAGTCACAAGCGCCCGCTACCGGAGCTGCTATGCCGAGCCATCCTACCTTTGGAACATAGCAGCAGCTGCACCACTCAGCTGTCGGAATTGCTGCATAGTCCCACGGCTACCCCGACGTCATCCCAGTCTTGGAGCAGATCCATTCACTCCCTCCTCTGCAACCACACTTGACGTATGCACCTGTGTACGCGTCTAATGGAGCCCTAGCCCATATGCCGTTGGGCCCAATGCATACCACGCTACTTGACCCACGCAGTCAAGTGGACCTTAACTCACGGGTTGATCAACTCACTCAGAAGGTCGAGGATCAAAACAACCTGATTGGCTAGCTACTTAGGCAGATCAACTTGAATCAAGGCCCTAACCTTGGACCCTGTGACGAGGAGAAGAGGATGCACGAGCAAACCGACGAGCAGTTCGAGAGGTCCCAGGCTGGTTAGACGGGAGCAAACATGCAGGGAAGAGGACGAGATCGTGCGGATGAGACACAGACAGCTGCGAGCCGTACTCTGATCCGTTCGGGGCTAGGTAGAAGGACTAATGTGCTCGAGAGGCTAGGCCCATAGTCCAATATCCACGCCCGCTTGGGCCCACAAGAAGCTCGAGTTCATGAGCAGTCGCGTGATGAACGCAACGATCGACGCCCACTAGCCCGCTCGAGGACCAACAAGCGGCGACAAGCTGTAAAGGGATCCTCCCAAGCTCAACCTTCTCATCTGCCCTGCCGGCAGGGCAACCAAGGGGATCGACCCTTGGGAGCTGAGGAAGAAGTTAGCCAGCCACGATCGAGGCATCGAAGACGTCGACCCGAGCAACCCTCCTTGCAGGCAGAAGATGTCGATCGACGCCCACCAGCCCTTAAATGGAGGACCAACACGTCGACCCGAGCAACCCTCCTTGCAGGCAGGGCACCTAAGGGGATCGACCATTAGGAACCGAGGAAGAAGTTAGCCAGTCATGTTCGAGGCACCGAAGACGTCAGCCCGAGACTATAGCCTTGCGGGTAGAAGATGTCGTGAAGCTAGTAAATGACCGACTCCAATGTCTCCAACTTAAAGGAAGGACGAAAATTGATCGAGTTGACTACTCGCCCTTTACCAACGAGGTGGAATAAGCTCCGCCGCCGAAGCGGTTCACAATGACATCCATCACTCCATTCAAGGAGGACTCTGACCCTAAGAGCCATTTGAGACACTTCAAGAGCGCCATGATCCTATACGAGGCAGATGACGCCCTGATGTGCAAAGTGTTCACGATGACTCTAAGAGGAGCAGCTCAAGACTGGTTCCACACTCTACTGTCCGTGTCGATAGGCAACTTCAAGGAGTTAGCCCTCATCTTCACAAAGAAGTACACCTCCTACAAGACGGTCAGAAAGCATGCAGACCATTTGTTCAATCTATGCAAGAAGCTAGATGAGTTTCTTCGAGACTACCTCAGACGGTTTAAGGTTGAGAAGGCGAACATCATAGGATGCAATGACCAAGTCGCATCCTCAGCTTTCAAGAAGGGCTTGCCAACCGAGCATGAGCTATACCGGGAGCTGGCAATAACTCCAAGCCAAACCTTGGCAGAAATGTTCGCGACGACAGAGCGTTACACACTTTGGGACGATGATCTATTGCCGCAAAGAAAGCCAGCAAGCAAGTTGATCACCACATGAAGCAGGCAAGCCAAAAGAGCAACAAGTTCGAGCAAAAAGCCCTAGACAAGCGCAGATCGCGGCCCCAAGAGGGAGGCTCAGAAACAGGGACCTTTACCAAGTTCGTTATCCCAATCCACCAGATCCTAGCACAAGTGAAGGACAAGTCGTGGGTGAGAAGACTGCCACCCATGAGGAGAGACCTCTCTAAGAGGGACACCAATAAATACTGCGCATTCCACGAAGAGCACGGTTATTACACCAACAACTACAACGCTTGGAAAAGGCACCTTGAGGAGCTGGTCAGAGAAGGCCATTGCACAGAATTCGTCGCAAAGAAGGCCATTCAGCAAATCGAGGATCGTGATGTAGCTGCCAAGGAACCTCCCCAAAAGGTCATTCGAATTAACACCATTCTAGCTGACTCCCAAGAGTCCGGGCTGACCACCAAGGCGCGCAAGAGAAAGATCGCTCATGCAACTTATGTCTCCCAAGTCACAACGGGAGTACCAATCATTGTGGATACACCCATCATCAGCTTCCAGAAGAATGACTTGATCGAGCTTGACCTGCCACATAATGACGCCCTAGTCATCTGCATCCAAATTGAACAAGCTCTGATCGAGCGAGTTCATGTAGATGAGGGGAGTGCAGCCAACATCCTGTAACTATCTGTCATCCAATAGATGGGGTTAGAACCCGAGATGAGCAAACTTGCCATATCGCTCACCAGCTTCAATGGCGCCACATCAATCATTGTTGGAACGATCGACCTTGACGTCCACTCACCCCCAGTGGTATGCTCGCAAACCTTCATGGTCATCGACAATGTCTCTCATTACAACGGAATCTTGGGCTGACCGTGGATCAGTAAGATCGAGGCCATCACATCTGCTCTACGCCAGAAGATCCGTTACCCCATTCATGGGGAAGGGATTGGGCAGATCAATAGTGACCAAGCCATGACGAGGAGATGTACAGCCCAAGGGCTCAAGAAGAGCAAGCAGTTATAGTTCACACCAGTAATGCAAGTTACCCACAAGGCAGGAAGCGCTTCTAAGAGGCAAGAAAGCCTGGACGGGAAGGGAGTTGCTACCTCACAATAGCAATTAAAGAGCCAGGATTGAGATGAGGGAATCCACCCCAAAGTCTCATTTGAAGAACGTTGGAAGCCTGAGGAAGACATTGAGTTAGTACCCATCGATCCTGATCAGCCAGACAAGGAAGCGCAGATTGGCTCGCGCCATAATCCAAATAAGAAGGATCGAGACGAGGGAATCCGCTTGGAAGGCTCCCTTGAAGAAGGTTGGAAGCCTGAGGAAAACGTTGAGTTAGTACCCCTCAATCCTGACCAGCCAGCCTAGAAAGCGCGGATCGGCTCGCGCTTAAGCCCAGACAAGAAGGTGGAGCTGACTACCTTTCTCCAGAACAACAAAGACATGTTCGTGTGGTCACCATCTAACATGCCCTGCATCGACCCAAGCATCATCTGCCACCAGCTCCATGTCAACCCTACCAGCAAGCCTGTAGTGCAGAAGAGACGCAACTTTACTCCCAAGCGGGTTGCGATCATTGAAGCCGAGATCGACAAGCTTCTAGCCACCGGATTCATTGAAGAGGTTTCCTACTAGGAATGGCTGGCCAACGTTGTTCTAGTGGCAAAACAAGAAAAAGGCAAATGGAGAGTGTGCGTCGATTACACCGACCTTAACAAAGCATGCCCTAAAGACAACTTCTCATTGCCGAGGATCGACCAGCTTATGGATTCAACTTCTGGCAATTAGTTGCTCAGCATCATGGATGCCTACTCCTGCTATAATCAAATTATGATGTACGATGATGACAATCAAATTATGATGTATGACGATGACAAGGTGAATACCTTTTTCATCATCGAGAAAGGGACCTACTGCTACAAGGTTATGCCCTTTGGGCTGAAGAACGCTGGAGCAACCTACCAAAGGCTCGTGAATAAAATTTTCAAGGAGCAGATCGGCAGAACAATGGAAGTCTACATGGATGATATGCTGGTCAAAGGCCCCAAGTGTGCAGACCACCTAAAAAACCTCGCCGAGGCATTCAGCTTGCTCCGCCAGTATTGCATGAAGTTGAATCCAAGTAAATGCACGTTTGGTGTATCATCCGGCCGATTTCTAGGGTACACACACCCATGCCAAATCAAAGCTATTCTCGAGATGCAGTCGCCTTCCACAGTGAAGGAAATACAAAGCTTGACAGGCAAAGTAGCGGCCCTCAACCGATTTCTCTCGAAATCTACTGACAAGTGCAGACCATTGTTCGTGTACCTGGCAGTGTCCAACTCGGTTGTCAGCTCAGCTCTGATCCGAGAAGAACTTGGGGCCCAACATCTGATATTCTACACGTCAAAAGCTCTTCTCGATGCAGAGACTCGCTACCCGAAATTAGAGAAGCTCATTTTGGTCCTTGTAGTTTCAGCGAGAAAGCTACGACCTTATTACCAAGCTCACCGAGTCATCGTCATGACCGACTTTCCTTTTAGATCGATCCTCCACAGCCCTAATGCTTCTCAGCGACTCATGAAGTGGGCTATAGAGCTAAGCCAAGACCTCCGCTAAACTTGACCAACCTAGAGACATGTGGCAGTTAAGAGTAGATGGAGCGTTGAACTAGAAAGGAGCGGGAGCAGGCGTTGTCATTGTCACCCAGATGGAACCTTGTTAGAGCAAGCTATCATGCTTGACTTCCCGGCTTATAACAATAAGGCAGAGTACGAGGCATTACTCGCTGGTTTGCGCTTGGCAAAGGAGCTATCAATAAAAAAGCTAGCCATCTACTTAGATTCCCAGCTGATCACAAGTCAAGCCTTAGGAGAATACATGGCAAAGCACCCAAGGATGATCTTGTACCTTGACAAAGTCCAAGAGATGTTGAAGGCGTTTCCCACCTTCACCATCCAACAGGTGCCCCGAGCAGAGAACGCGCACGTAGATGCACTGGCAAGCTTAGGATCATCGCTCGATACCCAGTTCAGACGCTCCATTCCGGTCGAGCACCTTGACCAGCCTAGCATAGAAGAGGCAGAGCAGTTGGGCCTCATCTCACTTGCATCAAGTACCCGTAAACGCTCGAGGTTCTCTGCAAAATACACGACGGCGAATGTGGAAATCACGCTGGGGGCAGATCGCTTGCTCAAAAGGCTCTCAGCATCGGCTATTTCTGGCCTACCATGCACCAAGACTCCATGGAGTATGGTCAAAGATGTGATCGATGCCAATGCTACAAGCCGGTCCCTGGCCTGGCAGCTGAGGAATACCATCCCCAGAATAGTCCATGGTTATTCATGTAGTGGGCCATTGACTTGGTGGGACCTATGTCAACGGCACCTGCCAATAAGGAGATGATGATCGTTGCCACTGATTACTTCACTAAATGGATCGAGGCCAATGCTCTATCTTCTACCAAGGAAGCTGATGTTGAACGATTCATCTGGAAGAACATCATTTACAGATTCAGTCTCTCGCAATCGATAGTCACTGACAATGATACATAGTTCATGGGCAGGCAGATCACCGCATTCATTGCGAAGTATGGCATCAAACAACAATTGTCAACTCCCAGATACCCGCAAGGCAATGGCCAAGCATAGGCATCTAACAAGATCATGCTGGATTGCCTAAAGAAAAGACTGGAAGACGCAGAAGGAAAATGGGTCGACGAGCTGCCAGGTGTCCTATGGGCTTATCGCACAACCAAAAGGAGATCGATCGGAGAGACACTATTTTCCCTGGCCTATGAAACAGAAGCAATCATTCCCCCACACATCACAGTCCCTTCCATGAGCATTGAGGTGGGCAGTCTTGACCAAAACTACAAGCAGATGAAAGTCAACCTTGATATGCTCGAAGAAGGCCAAGATCAGACAGTTTCACCCTGGAGACCTTGTGCTCATGAAAACTTTCATCACAGAACCAAGACAAGGGTCAAAGAAGATGAAGCCAAACTGGGAAAGCCCCTACGTGATCAGTCGATCTGGGGGCAGAGGAAGTTACACCCTCGACACTCTAGAAGGGAAAGAAATTCTGAGACAATGGAATGCCCACCACATTCGAAGATACTATCCATGAAACTCTTCGCTTACCAGCTCTGCTCCTAGCAGGCGACGAGCCACCCGTATTTCCATTGAAGACAAACTGCTTTCGATGTTACCTATGTTGTTAATTTCCTTTATTCAATAAAGCAATTTATTCACACCAACATCAATACAAGAGCAAGCTTTTCAATGAAGTATTTTTTCGAGCATTATGTTCCTCAAACATACACATGCAGGCAACAAGACTTATCTCTATTGCAGGCAAGCTACTCCTCGAGTACAAACTCAATGGAGTCTTTTTCGAGCATTATGTCCCCGACATACATTCGCAGGCGACAAACCTCACCTCCACTGAAGGCAGGCTACTCCTTGAGTACAAACTTCATGGAGCCTTTTCAAGCGTTATGTCCCCGACATACGCACACAGGCGACGAGCCTTATTTCCATTCCTGACAAGCTACTCCTCGAGTACAAACTCAATTGAGCCTTTTTCAAGCGTTATGTCCCCGACATATGCTCGCAGGCGATAAGCCTCACCTCCACTGAAGGCAAACTACTTCTCGAGTGCAAACTTCATGGAGTCTTTTCAAGCGCTATGTCCCCAACATACGCACACAGGCGACAAGCCTTACCTCCACTGTAGGCAAGCTACTTCACGAGTACAAACTCAATGGAGTCTCTTTCAAGTGCTATGTCTCCGAACATACACTTACAAGATACAGTGAGAATTGAAGTTTGAAAGACAACTAAAAATTCCATAGCAAAGCGACCAACTAGCCAAGTTCAACAAGAAATAAAGTGGTCAACCAAGTACCCTTAGCCGATCACATCCTCAGCTAACTCTTGATCAACTGCTTTGGCAACAGCCTCATTCTGATCAACTGGCACCATATACTTAGCAGCCCTAGCTGCCTGCGCCCCCGCATATGCCCTAACCTCATCAGCTGCACCACTTTTGGCGTTGTCTTCCTCCATTGCAGCTTCATCTGCCACCTGATCTTTAACTACTTCTACATTCATAGCATCACTTTGAGCAGGAAGTCAAGATAGAGCTGCTCACCATCCGCATGTTCGAGAGGGCAACAAGGAGGAGCACCGTTCTTGCAGTCCAAGTATCCCAGCTTGTATGCATTAGCAGTAATTTCATGCTTAGACACCTTCGTGGCTTTAACATGAGTGTCAAAATTGACCAGCAAAGCTATCACCAACTCCCGGATCGGCAGTTCGCGCAACTGAAAGACATTTTGCTCGAGCATGGACTCTTTAGCTCTCTTGGTTGCAACTTGCAACATTGAGTCAGCTCTGCCTTGATTGTTTGTGGCTTTGAAGATGAGTCGTGACTGCTGGACAGAGATACAGTCCTCTCAGTTTGATTCTTGGATCATTGCAGGCGACTGAAACCCTACTTCTCAGCAGCGTTCTTATAAGGCAGATCACGGGTTTTGGGTAGTTCGGGTGGACACTTGGGTAGAATATCCTGGATCTTCTGCATGCTATTGACATTCTTATTGTTCGCGTTGACGAGGCGCTTGATCTCGGCAGACAAAGAAGGAGCAACTCCCATGGGGATCTACTCAACACACGAGAACCCCCTTGAGGAAGACTTGATCGTGGCAGAAGGAGGAAGTTTGGCCGAGGACTCCACCTGCTCAGCTAGCAGATCATCTAGGTCCGAGCCCTATAACTTCCATCCTCCAACATCTTCGGTAGGGGGCAGACCACCAACTTCCTTTCAAGGAACCTGATAGGGATGTTGAAAGTTTGCTGAGCCTTGGTCATGTCCGAGCCGAGATTGAGCTTCTTGCAGATGTCATTCTCTGCAAGCAAAAGATGGAAGTTAGTTAGATATACAACAAAAAATTCCATGGCAACTGTAGCAGATCAAAGAGATGCAATTTACCATCACAGTAGGTGAAAGGAATGAGCAAATCGTCGCCAACCTCCCATTCCCATCTGCCGCTGACTTCTAGCACGTCCATGCTCTACGCATGATTGCCTTGACTCATACTGTTCCTAGTTCGTGGCACAAAAAGAAGAAGGAATTGAAGCAGTTTGGACCAGCCACAAATAAGCTGACCCAAACTGCCACCCGCTCTAGCAGCAGGCCCGCAGGACAACCCAAGTCAAAGACCAAGTGGCAAGTCAAAGACCTCATCAATTCAGAAGCCCAGTTGCAGCTGGACAGCCCAACAATTAATCCACACCTCCTTCATGCCACCACGTGCCATGCAGAAGCTCGGGGGCATTTGTGGAAGCAAAATATCTCACCTTAGGTAAAATAATTAGGCCAATCAATTTGGGGATTATTTGACCTAATTGGGAGTTACTTGAATTAATGGGAGGTTACCTAATTCAAATTGGATGTATTTGATCCTCGCCTTAATTAGGGATTTGGTTAAATCCCTAATCCCTAAATACACCAACCTCACCAACCACACCAACCTCACCAATTGCACCAACCCCACCAACCTCACCAAATATGAAAGCCTAGCCCTCGACCCTATAAATACTTGGCAACGCACAAGGATTGAGGTACGTCTGAATTCCTACTAAAATTCTACATAAGTTATCCCTCACAAACCCTTATCCACCATTTTCTTTCTCTCTCTCACACAAGGCTCTGGCCACCACACACGACTCCGGCCACCCGGTTTTCCTTGAAACACCCTACCTAACTTAGGCATCGGAAGGCCTTTGGCCAACACCCCCTGGGTGTGGTCCCTTTACTTCGATATGTTTTGTAGGGAGAAAGAGAAGCGGAGAAGACGAAGGAATCTTAGGCGAATATTCTAGTGGGATGGAAATCACTCCCACAATGTTGTTATTATCTCATCTTTTCTTTTCTTCTATTCCTCTCATCTATCTTCTTATCATCTCTTCCTTTGCTGCGAAGCCATCACCGCCAGCTGCTAAGCTATCGGCATAGAAAACCTCGCGTCAGTTGCACATGTTCTCAACTCTCCTCTCTCATTCTTTACCCATGGCGCGAAGCTATCGGCGTGGAAAATCAGAACCGTTCGTTTGGTGGACAAACGACCTTGGTTTTTTGAGGTGGTGGTTCAGCATTGGCGTTGAGTTTTCCTCCACCGAGGAGATCGGTTCGATGTATGGTTTTGACTCAACATTGAACCAAACCAAATCGAGCCCATGCTTAATTGGAGTTTTGTTTGTTTTGAGAGGCGATAGTATCAAGAAACAAAGGCATTCGTTGTGGTTGAGGTATGAATTATACAATTTGATTTTTGTTCAATTTTTAAAATATATTTTAGCGATTTTGTTCATTGATTTGGTTTCTGAATTTTTTTTTCTACTCATATTTGAATTTCTTTTCTATTTCTGTTATCACATCTTCAAATTTGATTTGTGTTCAATTTTGTTGTGGTGAGGTGTTGTTAGTGAGGATTCAGGTTCCATCGACACGCCAAACATGAGTTTGGATGTGCTCCATGCAACATGTGTTCGGATGTACACAAACTCAATGTGGGTTTAGATGTGCACCATCATACAACATGGGTTCAGATGTGCACAACCCAACAACTTGGGTTCGAATGCATGCAACCCAATAATATACCAAACAACGTGGGTTATAATGTGCAAAGCCCAACAACTCACATTTGGATGTGCACAACCCAACAAAATGGGTTTTGACATGCACAACCCAACAACATAGGTTCCAATGTACAAAGCCCAACAACTTGGGTTCTGATGTTTACAACTTAACAACTTATGTTGGGATGCATTGCGACCCATGAGATTGGACAAACTTCATCTGACGTGGGATCAACATAATGTGAACTCCGCCTATGATCCATTCAATAACACATATTTCCATGACTGCATGAATTGTTGGACAAGAAAGACATGGTTGAGGGTTGAGAGTAACCTAAAAATGGTGAAGATGGGCATTGGATGTGCAAAGTAGAGCTTGCATCTGAAGGATGTCTCCAGGTATAAAAGTGAGGCTTCACATCGGGATCGAGGTATGTGATTTCGAATTAACTTGTGCACTTGAATACACTCAACAATTGCCTTGAGCATCAGGGTACCTTTTGCAGGTGCCCGCCATCTCTCGTTTGATTTCGGAGGAGCATTGCTTAAAGACTTTGTTCATTTATCTTGCATGCAGAGTAAAGCAGAAAACCTGTGGAAGATATTCTTATTGTAAGAATTTATGCTCCAATAGTTGGTGCCATTTGTGGGAACTCTTGCAAAATCAATCAATGGCTAGAGATATCAGACTAAAAGCAGAGGAATGAGAACCTAGCCTTGCAACCATTCGCTCAAGGAGATACTGAAGGAGTTATGTTAAATAAAGAGGATGGCGGTTGAAGCTTTGGAGAAATAGAAAAGCAATTATATGTCACATCTGAAAGACCCCAAGAAAAGCAAAAGGAAGGAAATGATAAAATTATCCGAAGAAAGTTCCACAAGGAGTTTCCACTTTGACGATTAGCATGACAACCAAGAAGACAACCATTGATAGGACCCTCCCCGGTTTTCCTCTCGGAATCTGTGACGAACCCTGCTTCTCGTTCGGCATCTAGCCGATGTCGGACCCACTTTACCAAAAAGCCCTTTAGCCCTAATTTAAATTGATAGGCAATTCGACTTCTATTGAAATTTCAACAAAGTCTCCCCTATAATTGGTACATTTCCCAATTTACAGTACCTGCAAATAAGCGCCAGAACAAACCCAACTTCTAGCATGCACAATGTAAAGGCACATACAATAGTTAAGACTATTCAAATGGCCTTTACGCCTTCTACCCAAACTCAAAACGAGCAAGCAGAGCAATTAAAGATTAAGTTTACAACCCAGGGAAAAGGACAGTTGAGAAAGATAAAGACGGAATTCCTACAGTGCGGACAGCAGTGATGCCCCGATGTGGTAGTTTCGACCTTAGATATCTAGAGCCTGGGGGCGTAAAACAAAAAGTGTGAGCGTTAAACATAATTTATATTCAACATAAATAATCCCATGCGTTTTAGAGAAATAACACCATGCAATAGATTTCTTCGGTAAACGTACGGATCCAACACTAGAAAATATTCCAGTTAGGTAAAATTTCATATCATGACACACGGCAAGGAAAACCATTTAAACTTGTTAATTTAAACCTTACTGTAAAACCGTAAATTCAACACCACCCAAGTAAACCTGTTAATATAACATATAATTATCAAAATCCAAAATCCTTTTTCCTGCAACCATACCCTTGCAAAAATACAATATGCCAAGTAATTTCCAAAATATCCAATCTCAATTCCAATCTTTATTTTAAATGTTCATGCTTGTGCAGAGTACTCTCAATGCACATGCTCAAGAAATCTCAACCTGGAAATAAATCCACATATACTCATATACATATGCATATACATAGTACTCTTAAGAGCAAAATTTTAATCAATTTTAAGCTTACATGCGGAAGGTAGTGTGGAGACATAGAGAATAAACAAAATAATTATAAGAAACTCAAACATACAAAGCCAAAACCAAGGACAAGAATATAACGAAATTAAAAACAATATCATTAATATTTAGCAAACTTACATAGAAGCAGAAAGGTAGTAGTGCTTAACAGAAGCTTCGCAGAAGCAGCACTTTGGAATTAAAACACTGAAACACTCAAATAAAAAGTTTTTATTTATGAGGCGATATTTTTCGATGATCTGCAATTGAGGAGAAGTCCTCAATTTAAAGCCTCGGGGCTATTGATGTGTCAATCAGAGACAGGAAGTCACAAAGCAGCCTACAATAGAGTAGCATCTTCACATTGATGATTCTTGCTGAACTTTCACTCAAACGGCCAAAAGAAAATAGCGAACTTTTACAAAAGTAAAGTGACAGCAGGAGCATCTTGCTTTAACCAGAGAAAAAGTAAAGTTAAAGCAACAGGAAAATGTTTTATCCTAAAATTACAATAAGTACAAATTGTCTTCTTATCAGACAAAATATTACTGAGGCCCACCAGATTGATTTGGATGACAATTGTCTAGCATATCTTCATTAGCAAAAAGGTCCACCTCATCTTCAGGCTGAGTGGCAGATGCTGCTGCCATGGATTTGTCATCTAGATCAAGGATCTCGAGAACTTTATTTTTCAACTCTTCTTTTGATGAAGTTGAGCCTGGCTGGTCTATCAAGAGTTGTAACCTTTGAGAGACACTAAGTTCGCAAAAGAAGTGGCCAAAGGTTGAGCAGCAATAGGGTCAAAAGATGGGATGAGAGTTGGGGTGATCTTGGCAGGGGCTAAGTGATTTTTAGTGAATTTATCTCACCATCTGATTAAGATACTTCAGACTAAATTAGGGATATATTTCCATTCATCATCAACATCTTCTGAAATAACATATTCCCATTTTAGTATCCAGGGTAGTTCATACATTAGGATGGTTTTTATTCCATTTACAAAATTTCATTTGAAAAGATTAGTTAATTTTAGGAGGAAGGTATTCCAAAGTAAGACCCCAAATAAGGAAAAAGCTCTTGAACCAATTAGGGAGTTCTTTCAGAGCTCGAAGCTTAAACTGGATAAACCAAGAGTGAGAATAGTTTTGATTTTGAAAACATAAGACATATTCCCATGCTTTTTTATAATCCCATAAATTATATGAATATGGCCTAATTTCAGGATGGACAGGACCCTACTCTTCCAAGGAGATGACATTTAGAATTTGGATTTTAGAGAATTCTATCATGTTGGTATTTTCACCCCTATGACGATGAACAATATTAACAAACTTGGTCTCAATCAAAAGAAAATACGAGGCTTATTCAAGGGAGGAAGGTTATCCCTTAAATATTTTTCAACTAGAATATTCGAGTACGTTTGTCTAGATCATTCATTTCAATGATTGCTACAGACATATTCATATATTCACGGAATAGATTTTCACCAATATGCTACTCCTTACCCTTATTATATGGACAAAAAGACATTAGTGACTTTGGATCAAGAGGGGATGACTTAGTAAGAGCTAAGGGACTCTTACTGGGAGTCATCTGTCCAGAGCTTTTGGTTCGCACCCTGCAAGAATTCCTGAGTTAAGAAGTCCGGGAGTGCGTTAGTTTCTCCTTTAATAAATTCAATATCAAAATCAAAAGCAAAAAGTATTCCTTGCCATCTTGCAAAAATATGTTTTGATGCTAAATGTTTTACATCTTTAAACAAAATGTCTTTTGCAGCCTTGCAATCCACTCTTATAAAAAAAATTATTTAAAAGATCGCTTTCGAATTTAGAAACAGCGTGGACAATGGCTAGCATTTCTTTCTTAATAGTGGAATAATTCTTTTGAACTGGTTTCCAAATTCTAGAGGTAAACCTAACCAATTGTTATGAGTTATCGACTTTCTGTTTTAGGATTCTCCCATACCTAATTTCTAAAGCATTGGTTTCAAAGATTTTAAAGGCTTCTGGTTTGGCTAGAGCTAAACAAGGAAGTTCTTTGACTTTGACTTTCAGTCTCCTAACAGCTTTAGTGTGTTCATCAGACTAGGGAATGAGGTTCTTTATGTAATTGAGACTTGGGTTAAATCCTTATAAAAATCCTTAATGTAATTGAGACTTCCTATGAACCTTTGTAATTGTTGTTTGTCCCTAATTTCATCAGGGAACTTATTAGCAAAGGATATTACTCGATCAATCAGAACTATCAGTCCCTTATTAATATTATGTCCCAAAAAGAGAACTTTTGAAGAAAATAATTTCATTTTCTTTGCCGACACCACTAATCCTGCATGCTTTACAACTTTCAAGAAAATATTTAGGTGTTTAAAGTGTTGTTCTTAAGAATTAGAATAAACTAAAACATCATCAATATAAACAATGGTAAAAGCAGTGGAAGGATTAAATGTATCATTCATAATATTTTGAAATTCGTAAGGGGCATTTTTCAATCCAAAAGGTAGAACATTCCATTTGTAATGTCCAAAGGGGACATTAAAGGTTGTTTTGTACCTATCCTTTTCAGCGATCTGGATTTGCCAATATCTTTATTTCATATCAAATTTAGAAGAGATGACTACCTTATTTAATATATCCAAGAGATCCTTTTTATTAGGAATATCTGACCCATTTTAAGGTTTTGTTGAGAGGTTTATAGTTTATCACCAATCTAGATACTCCTCTTTCCAATTTAGCCATGTTTTCAACATAAAAGGAGGAACAGCTCCAAGGAGATGAGCTTTCCTGATTAACCTTTTGTTCAATAAATCTTGTATTTTAGATTTACAAATTTCCATTAACCTAGCATTCATTTGAATTGACCTGACTTTGGTTGGGATTTTCTTTTCATCAAAATCAGGCTCATATGGCAATTCAATTATGTCCCTCTTTCTATTCCAAAAGGAGTTGGGTATTTCAGCACAAAATTGATTTTCGAACATATTTTACACTTCATCAATTCTTTCTTTGAATTATTATTTTGTAGTTGGTCCTCTATTCTTTTGTGCTGCATTTCTTCTTTCAAATGATATAAATAATTTTCTTTCCTTTTTTTTTCTTCTTGGATTTCATTAATATACTTATGCTTTGGTGGTTGAGAAAACCTAAAAATTATAGGTTGACCTTCTACCTCAGTTCTAATTCCTTCTTCAGAAACAAAGAAAGGATAAAGTATATTAATAAATCGTGTTCCTAATATTAGAGACTGGTTGAAACCTTTCACCATAACAAAAGTGGTTTCAAAACAAATACCCTAATTAAGCATAGCAGTGTTAGATAATTTAAACTGAATTCCCATTTTTTGGCTATTATGAAAATACCTAGTGGGTACCACTCCTTCATTTATATAGTTAAGATCTGCTCCTGTGTCTATCAGCCCTTCAATTGTAAACTTATAGGTTTTATTAATCACAATAGTTATCATCGCATACTATTTCTGTGCTATCACTCTATCTCTGCTATTGACGAATTTCATGGTACTAACCTGCTATTCTTGTAGGGCTTCTCTTCTCACAAGTTCTATTTTCTCTTGAAATTCTTCCATTAGATTTTCAAACTCTAATTGCTTATATTTTTCTTTTGTATCTTTTTCCGAAAAAGTACGAAAGAGTTCTAGAACTCTAACCCTATTTTTCAACTCCCTAAGTTCTTCTTTCACATCATGAACTTCGCACTGACGGTTGTTGAGCATAGCAGTGTTAGATAATTTAAACTGAATTCCCATTTTTTGGCTATTATGAAAATACCTAGTGGGTACCACTCCTTCATATATATAGTTAAGATCTGCTCCTGTGTCTATCAGCCCTTCAACTGTAAACTTATAGGTTTTATTAATCACAATAGTTATCATCGCATACTATTTCTGTGCTATCACTCTATCTCTGCTATTGACGAATTTCATGGTACTAACCTGCTATTCTTGTAGGGCTTCTCTTCTCACAAGTTCTATTTTCTCTTGAAATTCTTCCATTAGATTTTCAAACTCTAATTGCTTATATTTTTCTTTTGTATCTTTTTCCGAAAAAGTACGAAAGAGTTCTAGAACTCTAACCCTATTTTTCAACTCCCTAAGTTCTTCTTTCACATCATGAACTTCGCACTGACGGTTGTTGAGAGTAGGTTCTTTCTTATGAATTTTATCATTCACCCTATTTACTATAGTTTTAAAGCTATAGTTTTCAACTGGTTGTCTCACATTAGTTATAGATGGTTGCAGGTTACTTGGTCCTGCTTTTGCTAGTGAGATATGCCTTTCTAACGCTTCTCTCTTTTTCTCTGGATCTTCTATCTTGTCAATTAAGTCTATTACCATAATTCTCTCTTTTTCTCTGGATCTTCTATCTTGTCAATTAAGTCTATTACCATACTTTCTTCTTTTGTTAAGACACATATTCTAGGATCATTGAATTGACAAGCGCACTCTTCTTCACTATTTGAGCTAGTTTCAGTATCAGATTCAAATAATTCTTCATTTTCGACTTGAGCTAGTTTGTCATCACTATCTTGCTCAGAACCAGAGGAATTAAGCATTATTTGGCAAAGTTGTTGCTTAAGTTATTGATTTTATCCTTCATACATTCAGATTTTTAATGTCTGACTTTTCCACACTTATAGCATATTAGGACCACACCTTTCTTTCCTTTACTAGCATTTTTACTAGTTTCTCTTGCGTATTTCTTTTTCCTAAAGGTTCTATACGGTTTATTAGGCTCAGACTTAGACTCGTATTTCTCATATTTCTTAGTCTTACGCCCCCCAAATTTCTTTCCCTTTTTATGTGGTTTATGTGAATATGATTTTACTGATTCAAAACCAAATTGTTCACAAAAGTCTCCTAATTCTTTTCTTCCTAAGGTCTTTTGCTTATCAAGATATTTCTTTAATTTCATATCGATGCAAAGGGCTAATCCTTTTTGCGCAAATTTTAGAGGATAATTCCCCATAGGTATATGACCCATAAGGATTAACACCACTATTTTTATCTTTAATTCTATTCCTAACCTTCTCAGCCAATAGAATTGGTAGTCTCGAAAGAAATTTCTCTTTCCAAAAATCAACATTACAGTCTTGTCTCGTAAATACCTTAGAGTAGAACACATCCTTATACCATCTAAAATGGGAAATTGAAACAAGAACGCTTGCAATTTCATCAAATTGAATCATATAATCTAGAGATGTCATATTAGGGATTTTGACACAAATTTACCATATCCCGAGAATATGACATAGAGTATTGAATTAGAGAATGATCGAATTGGATTGTAATCACAAACTGACTAGGTTCTCTAAATGAATTCTTTTTAGCTTTGGTAGCCATGAAATATTGCTAGGTGTCACTCATGGCTTGTGGAAACCCTGTAAGGACTAATTATAATTAGCCTTCGCCAATAGGGAGAATTGTATGGAGTGATACAATTCACATTTGATTCAGAGTGAATCATTCATACCCACTGCCTCGATAATTAGAACCTATAAGATCGCACTTCGAAAAGAAATCGATTGGGAAATTATGAAGAGAATGAATGAATTGCAGGGGCTTACTTGCATACGATATTTCAATTGTTGGACCCCGCTTGCTATAACTTGTAAGTACAATCAATTCATGGGTTTTCTTTTACTTTTGTGTTTTTGCTATTTTTTTTTATTGTACAGTGCTTTTCAAATTTACTTGTTGATCTTTTCAATTAGAGGTTTTGTTTGGGCCTAAAAAGAATTCGCACGCCAACCCACTTCTCACAAAGGCCCACAAATAGAAAAGGATGGAGGACTGGGCTTTGATTCAAAAAATAGAGAAAGCCCAAGACCATAAATCAGAAGGCCCATGACTTTTACAAAAATGGCAGAGTTATAGAAACGTCAAGATTAAAAGGCAATCAACCACTGAAGTAGATCAATAAAAAATTGAAAGAAAAATTGGATGGGGCCCAGCTTCCGGCTCACCACTGATCTCAAAACACAGAGTGCAAAGTCAGCAAGATCTTTTTGAAAGCCTATTCTCAGAACCCACGTGACTACTTGGCTTAGAAAAGTCAACAATTTCAACTATCACAAGAGAGTTGATTGAGAATTAAATGAAAGCAGGTCATTAGCAAAGACTTCTCTGAAACTCTGGGGCTAAAAGATCAGAATCCCTGTTTATACAATTCTGAGTCAGAACAGGTGATCCTTCTAAGAAATAAGCAAACTACAATCTCAAAGAGATAAGTGGGAAGCAGAGAGTTGTTCAAATAGTTAAATCAAAACTAACCATCACAGTTTGAGCTCTTACAGAGGGCAGTTAAATTAGAAGAAGGGTTGGGTTTCCTTTCTAAGAAATACAGGGAAGTGATTGTCATAGGAAATGACTGTTGAGAACTTATATGCTAGAATTGATAAAACCCCTTTTTCTTTTCATTAAAAAATGGAAGATCTTGCTTTTTAGAAAATTTGCCGCCCATTTTTAAAGGATTAGAAATTCTATTCTAGCATTCCTATAAATGTAAGAGAAGGTGAACAGAGTAAAAGGACAATCAATCAAACACCCAAAAAATCAACCAAAGACAAAATCTCAAAATGATCACTTGATCTCTGAGAAACCTTCAAACAAACTGAAGCAACCAAAAAACTCATTCGAGCCCTAGAAGAAGCCAGCTATAAATCAGAACTTCCAATTCGGACCTAAGAGAAATAAGACATTCAAAACGAGATTTCTCTCGTTACAAATTTGGTTTAGAAAAAAACCAAAACAAGCAGAGTTTGAGTTTTTTTACAAATATGAAAACCTCAACAAATTTATGGAGAGCCCTGATTAAGCAAGACAAGTACCACAATGCAGTTTCTGCTTAGTAATCCGCAAGTCCAGCCACTTCTGCCCCTTTCAGATTGAAGAGGCCGCAATTTTGCCCATTCAAAAAGCCTCCCAGGGCTCGAAATAGATTAAAGCTATGCCAAACTCAAACTTTGGTATCGATTTACAGCTGGAGTTCAGTAGTTGAAGTTGGGAACAGTCCAATCCAGCACAGGCATACCCAGTCTAGCCCGGATAAGAAGCTTCTGTCCAAGCAGAAATGGAATTCCAGCCTTCTCTTTGTCTTTCTAGAGTTGAATTTTTATTGTAGAGTTTTGTAAAAGTCAGTTCCGCCTGAAAACAGTTCATTTTCTTACTATCTATTCTGGCCAGAACTACCAACACTGTACTGTGAAAAATTATGAAGTCCTCACCAGTTTGAGGCATGAAAAGAACTCACTTTGGAGATATTCGTCACCCAAATTCACAATCGCTTGTTTAGATATTAGTAACTTGGGGTGCAAGTTATCTATTTTTAAGAAGTCTGCTAGGATTTTTATTACTAGCAGTGGCACGCTCACACACTAAAGAAAGTTGACTTGCTGACCAATCAATGATCTGCAAAGCAATAAGGAACTTTACCCTTCCATCACAGGAGCAAACACAAAATGGGTGAACAGGTTTTATTACATGCTGGAAGTTATGTACAATACTTTTTCTTTTGTGTTTTTGCTGGAGCCTACTTGTTAATATTTTCAATTAGAGGTTTTATTACTTGATGGAAGTTATGCAGAGCCGACCTTTCAATTTTATTTTCAATTGATTTCAATTTTCTTTTATTTCTTACATGTGTTGTAATAGTAATTTAAATGAGGGATTCACAATAAGGAAATAATAAAGGAAAGGGTAAAGTTTCTGAGAACTATGAATCTTGGAGCATGGACGATACCAATGAGTTGTTGCACCTCTTGGTGGATGCTATCAATGTTGGATTGCGTGATGGTAATGGGTGACTTAGCAAGCAAAATGTAGAAAGAGTGATATTTCCTCGTCTTAATGCGAAAATTAGGTTTCCAAAAACTTATAATCATTACTTGGGCTGAATGAAGTGGTTTAAGAAGCAATATAACAAGATGTCTAGGCTTATGCATAACAACTCTGGCTTTGGGTGGGACCCAATTGTAGAGACGTTCACTACTAATGATGAAGTATGGAAAGATTACTTGAAGGTGAGCTTAGTTCATAATTTTTTTAAATATATTAATAGCTTACTAGTTTAGTACAATATGCTATTTGCAATATATTAACAATGAATAATTTGTTCTTTGCTAGTCCCACCCAAGTCACAGTAAACTTCGGGAAAAACGTGTAGTTGATTATGATGATTTGAAGATTGTCGTTGGGGGTGGAACTACTACTTGGAATGGCTCCATTGCATTGGGCGTTGATGATACCAATGTAACAACTTATGGGGTTGAAGAAATAGAGAAAATGATTTGTTTATTGGAAAAGAAAATGATTTGTTTGTTGGAAAAGAAAATGAAATAAAGCATAAAATTGAAAATGCAAATAAACTAAAATAAGGAATATAACTAAAGTTTTAGATTCCACACCATTATTCCATAAAACTCTAATTATTTATCTAACAATTCCCATGGAGTAGCAATCTAAAAATCAATCTACTGTTTTCTCAAGACACATCAACTAAGCATGCATTTTAATGAATCATATATAAATTTTCCTTTCCTTCATAAGGACAAATTCAAGCATCTTATGTGAAAAATATTATTTAACGACAAAGGATCAATAAATTTGTACATTAGTAATACAAAACCAAGGATGCAGTAATAGCTTATCTTAAATTCTTAACCACCACAAATACATGATAGAAGTGGTGAAAAGAAAATTAACCTATTAATCATGTGAAGCTAAAATTATAAACATTGAAGAATATAATAGTTGGGAATTGAAAGATAAAAACTAGAACTTTATTTTAAAATAGTATTTCATCATTAACATAAGGGCTTCTTAGATACAGGTCCTATTTTGTATAGAAATAATGGATTGAGGACATCTCAATTTGACTCTTGAATAGAAGTCCTCCAACCAGCGTGTGTGCATATACATTAAATATTTGTCATTCTTTTTAAACTTATTTACTTCCATTGCCATTAAATAGAAAAGGTAAATAGATCGACACATCCAGCTTTCATGGTTATTTCCTGCAATCATGCTTATTCCGTCCAAAGCGCTCCAGATTTCTTCCCAATCGCTGCAGATTTGTTGCGGCAGTAATTGTGAGTTTTTTGGGTATGAAAATTTTAGGAACTTGACTGTCAAAAGCCAGAAATCAATTGTCGACCAAACAGGGATTGGGTCTTCTGACATTGGGTTGCTGGAGTGCAGTTCCTCACGTATAGGTATTTTTAATTTTTGTATTTCAATTTCAACAATCTGCTTTGTGTGTTGTTGTTTTTTGTGTTTGGTTTTGGTATGAAGTCGTCATTTTACCTATGTTGGAAAATAGGAATTGGTTTCTGACATTAGGTATCAGACGTGTTGATTGAGATATTGAGGATAAATATTTTCTGGGTTTCATACTTTCTGGGTTTCTGGGTTTCATACAATCTGGGTAATGCTTACCTAAACTAATACTTTTTGGGTTTATGAGCAAGCTTGATGGCAAGTTGAGAAATTGAGGAGATATATTTCGTTCTGTTTTCTATGTAGGCATGACATTACCTACTGTACAGATATATTAATTGTTTGATTTGGTACAATAGAGATATATAGATGTTGTCATGGTATATATTCTGTCAAAGTATTCTCATTGGTTGTGTCATACATATGTTGCGTTTTGTTTGTTTTGTCCTTACAATCATATTTTATAATTGCACAGGGGATGGACGGGTCAATCATAGGCAGATGTCGTTTTGGTTGTAAAACCTTGTCAATATTGATTTGTAAGGACACCAAGCATTCAGATATATGCAGTCAAATTTGTTCCAGGTTTAAAGAATTGCAAGTTGATGAACACTCATCTTGTCTTCTGGAGACTGACATGGATGTTCGTGTGTTGCATCTTTCTTTATGTAACGAAAATATAAATGCAGTGGATATAAATGTCATACGTGGGGGAGGTAAAGTATTTGGCAATGGTGAACAAGACAAGATGGATTCATCCGATAGTGAAGGTAATACGTCAACTGATGAAAATGAGTATTTGGGAAAGTATGCCGCAAAGGAAGGTAGACTTTATTTGTCCCATGAGTGGAAAACATATATTAGGGAGGCAGGGAAAAAGTATGAATGTGGGGTTACTGAGTTTAGGATCAAATTGTGCAAATATGCTTTTGAGAAGGGGTTTAGGTTCATTTATGTTAAAAATGATTTGAAGCGTGTGACAGCGAAGTGTTTGAATAAGCAAAGTGAAAATTGTCCTTGGCGCGTTCATGCCACTGTAAATCTGGTGAATGGCTTCTTCTACATTAAATATTTGATGAATGAGCATACTTGCAAGGGTAGGATTTGCACTCATCAAAGATGTTTTATGGGCTCAAAAATTGTTTCCTCATTTGTAGTTGAACATATTCGAACAAAACCTCAACTTAAACCAGTGGACATCGTCACAGATTTCAAGCAAAATTATGGCTTGAACATCTCAAATTATGGCAAAAAAACAAGTCCACGGTGATGAAGCTTTCTCCTACAGATAGTTGGTTTGGTACATTGATGTTTTGTTGAAAACAAATCCGGGATCTCATTGTTACTTAGAGTGTGATGCAAACTCATCACGATTTGAGCGCTTGTTCATATCATATCATGCCTCCATGAAGGGTTCAAGTTCTGCAGACCGTTCCTTTGTTTGGATGGTACTTTTGTGAAGAATAAGTATAAAGGGCACATGCTTGCGGCTACAAGAAAAAATGGAAATCAAGGTATGAGAACTAAATTATAATTGTGTTTTATTGCACACCTATAAGTGGTTGCTGGAAATTCTTTCTTCGGGCACTCAAATGTGCTAAATATGGGTGCTGGAAGTAGTTTTAAATTATAAGTGAAGTCAGTCTGGATTCCTTTGTTTGTGACAAGTATAATGTTTAGAGTATAATCGAACTGTACGTGCAGAACAGGTTGACATGTCAAACAATAGAGTGGATGAGCAAAATCTTAATTTAATGGGTGTGTAGTAATTACAGACACATTAAATTCAAATTTAATTTCTATTGGTATTAGTTTATGTATTCTATTGGTAGCAATTACATTTTAATTTCATTGTGACAGGGTTTTCTTTTGCCATTGTTGATTCTAAAAATGAAGCCAATTGGACATGGTTTTTGGACAACCTTTCAGACATTTTGTCTCCCCAAGGTCGTAACATCACATTTATTTCGGATCGTTGCAAAGGATTGCTAGAAGGCATACAAAATGTGTTTCCGGAGTCCAATCATTTTTTGTCTCCACACCTGAAGCATAATGTTCTAGGTAGATATCCAGCTTCTTTGGGCAAAAGGTATAGAGATAGGATTGTTTGGTGTTTTACAAGGTGCGCATATGCTCCTACTAAGGAAGCATTTAATCATCATATGAAAAAGTTACAGAAAGATGGTGGTACGACTATTTTGGAGTTTTTTTGACACAATACCTAATGAGAATTGGTCAAATTCCTTTTTTTCCAGGTAAAACTTTCATAGTTGAAGTTAAGTGCTTAATTGTTTACCAATTTATATTCTTACCGTTAATTAAATTAAAAATTGTGTAGGTAAAAAATATGGCGAGATGTGTTCAAATTGGGTAGAGTGGTTCAACTCATGGATTGTTGTTGAGCACCAAGTTGCCTATTTTCCAATTGTTTGAACGGTTACAGGTGAAGATGATGGTCAAATATGCAAGGCTCTTGGCGCGCGAAGAAGAAAAATGGACTACATATCTATGCCCTAATATGGAAAAAAAAAAAAAAAATTGCAGAACAGTTGTTTGGGTTTTTTTTTAATGTCTTTGGGATTTTGCTTTTTATTGGTTGATGTGGCTTTTGTTTTTTTTTTTTTGTTCGTTTTGAGAAGGAATACGGTGTGTTTGTGTAGGTTGTGCTGATGTCTCTTGGTTTGTTCTTTTGTCATGAGTATTGCCTTTTGTCGATTTTTTCAATGATGTTCTTGTTCATCGGTTAGTGGCAGTTACATGGCTTCACCATGTGCCCATGCTATGCAGCCATCTGCTGATATGTGTGTTTTTTTTTTCCATATTGTTATTCTTGAACGTACTTCATTGCCGATACTTATTTATAGAAATGCGTTATGACATCACAAGTGTCCGTCCTGATGTTGAGAAAGGGCAGTCCCGGAGGGTCATGAGACTTATAGTCAAACTCCCTGAACTAAAAACACAAGGTTTTAGACCGAGAACTAAAGCGGATTTAATATAGTGTCGAGGAAGAAGTGGTTGTTCCCGAACAATTTTTTATGCAGTCATGTTGTGTTTGGTCACGCCAAAGAAAAAAAAAAAAAAAAAAAAAAAAAAAAAAAAAAAAAAAAAAAAAAAAAAAAAAAAAAAAAAAAAAAAAAAAAAAAAAAAAAAAAAAAAAAAAAAAAAAAAAAAAAAAAAAAAAAAAAAAAAAAAAAAAAAAAAAAAAAAAAAAAAAAAAAAAAAAAAAAAAAAAAAAAAAAAAAAAAAAAAAAAAAAAAAAAAAAAAAAAAAAAAAAAAAAAAAAAAAAAAAAAAAAAAAAAAAAAAAAAAAAAAAAAAAAAAAAAAAAAAAAAAAAAAAAAAAAAAAAAAAAAAAAAAAAAAAAAAAAAAAAAAAAAAAAAAAAAAAAAAAAAAAAAAAAAAAAAAAAAAAAAAAAAAAAAAAAAAAAAAAAAAAAAAAAAAAAAAAAAAAAAAAAAAACCCACTTTTTTTTTTTTTTTTTTTTTCACTTTACGCTTGCCCAAATCTTGCCGCCGTTTGTGGGAATCGACACAAAAGGCTTCTGTTGTTCTCCCATTCTTTAGTGCCCTTTGGCACCCATACAATCAACGTCACCTAACATGCCTTTCGGCAGTACAATGCTGGAGCAACTATGAATGCTAAGGCAACAATTGCAGAATATGACATTTCAAGGGATGCCTACGTGGCTCGCTTCCATGAGGTAAGTGGCATGTTCATAACTTTCCACAATATTCAATATTGGGGGAAAAAACTATACATGGGTTCAAGGAAAAGTCAACCAAGATGCGGCTATCACTTTGCATTCCTTGTATGCCTTGCATGACCAAGAGGGCAAACCACCATCTTGTAGGGGGTCTTTTTGTTCCAGCAGCTTGATGAATGGGCTTGGGCTGCCGTAAGAAGAAAATGAACAGAAATTCCCCAAGTATCTGAGTTCAGAAACCAAGCTCCTGAAAGAGTTTTTGAAAGGTTTGATGAAACCTTAGGAAAATACCCTCAGGTTATTTTCACCAATAGCCAAATAAACATGATAGATTGATTAATGGCTTAGCATGAGGAGCTTGTGGCATGGGAGTAAAACCATCATGAGTTTAGCATGAACAGAGAGAGATAAGCGTGAGTTTCTTACAGTGAACAAATGGTTAAAGTGGAACAGAGGAAGATTAGACAAATTTCTTTCCTAAGGGGGGAAGAGAAAGAACAAAGAAGAGAATTGGGTGGCTTGAGTAAAATATCCAGTTTGCTTGACAAAGCGTGGTTAGACCTTGGATGGGTTGGTTTTCTGGGTAGCTGAGGCTCTCTTTTATAGCCACAAAGAACCCTAATTTCGTCTTAACTTCTCCTCCCCTTTTTCATTGCTCATTTCCATTTTATCTTCTTTGGTGAATTTCTCCCATCCAAGGAGCATGGGTAAGGAACCTTTTGTGGTTCCAAGAGTTTGACGCAGTTGGACCTTCCCATAAGGGGGGAGGCACCACCTGCTTTCCTTGTGGGTTTTCAAGATGGAGCTTGCAGAGGAAAGGAGAGACGGAGGGAGTTCTTTGTCCGATGGGTACTCGTCCTTCACGCACGGATTTCTGTTGGTTCCTGCCATGGCTCATTGTTTGACTGTCTTGGAGTCCTAATCAGAATGGAGCACGATGCCAGGCTTTTCATAAGGCTTTGGGCTGGGCTTGTATGTACAGTGTTGGGTCTTTAGCTTGTTACTTCTATCGTTTGACAGGTTTTCGTCAAGCTGTTGGAAGCAGTTTGCCTGTTGCATTTTTAACAAGGTATTTGAATGCTCTAACTAACATATGGTTTCCTAAGCAAACTACTGTATTCTCTAAGGCATTGAGTCATGTTCTCTCTCTCATGCTAGCCCATGTGCTTGGGCTCAAGAAATGGGCTTGAGTTTTGGGGCTCCCAAGCAACCCAAAACTTCCATTTCTTGGCTCATCAATGGGCCTCATGAAAGCTTGTTACCATCCATACCACAACCCATTCAAGCAAGCCCCGGGAATTTGCGTGGCTTGGGCCCACTTAAGCTTGTAGCGTGGTTGGGTGTGAAATAATAATTTCCTGCTTAGCATGGCATGTCAATCGGCGTGTTTTAATTTTATCGTCCTTGAATAGAGGCATGATGCTTGACGAGGTAATTAGCATGGGCTCGTAGAGTTAGTGCTTATTTCAACTCTTAGCATGAGAGATTGCATATTTATTTGGCATGGCATGTGGTCATGGCTTGTACAAGCATGAATGAGGAATTTTGCATGCTCTGAACCGAGTCTTTTCCTTAATAAGGCATTATGTTGGGCTGAGAATTTATTTGGGCCCAACCCTGGATTTTTGGGCCTCAACACATCTCAACAAAATTCAAAGTACTGAACGGTAATACCACCAATTCAAGTCCAAAGGGAAGCCCAAGTAATTCATTTCAAAGAGAAGATAGCGACTACTAAACGCTGCCTACCTTCAGATCATGAGACTCTTACCCTTCGGCACGCCTTTGTCATTCAATGTGTGCGATGCCTTCGGCACTTTGTCATCATTCGGTGCATGCGATGTCTTTGGCACCCCGCCTTTTCGATGCGTGTGATGCCTTCGGCAGCCCATCATCGGTCTACGCGTGCAATGCCTTCGGCACCCCATCTCTCAATTCAAAAAGGTAAGGGGCACCTTGCATGTATATCATTGCATGACATTAACCCATATGCCATTAGGTTACCGTTCAACAATTTCAAAAGGATTTCAAACGACAACAGTCTCGAACAGCAACTTCAAGACATCACCACCTTGCTTATTATTCATGGGCTATCGTTCGGCACCCTCAGCGATAATGGCTCAAGACACCCTCGTGTATATTTTCAAAAATAGTCGAAAGAGACCACATCCATAACATCAATTGGCATGTGTCTAATAAAGAGGAAGCTCCAAATCAATCCAGGCTACCAATCGGCAAGCTGGGATGAGGTTGCCAAATATTAGGCAACTACAGGTTACCGTACGACACCATCCACTCCACCATCTTGGAGAGATGCTTGAATTCCCATGAACACCAAATTGTTGAACGGGAAGCCAAGAAAACCAAGCGCAGAAACGCACTCCTACTCCAACACCAAATGTCACCCCAAAGGTTGAGGTTCCCATATGTTCCTCGAAATCATGTTCGGTAGCAGCGCCAAATCAAGACCGATAAGCTCAAAATGCCGACAGTTTTGAATATGCACAAGTTCTGCAGATTGCCCATCGTGGTGTGTTTTGGTCCCTCACTTAATTTTGGACTCCAATCACAGGATGCCAAAAGGTATTGCAGAATCCCCATCTTCAATCCACTCGAAGCTCCCCTCCTCATCAGCAATCATACACCTACGTTCGGCAAGTCAAGACAACTGGCATGTGTCGATCACTGATCCGTGCCCACAACGGATGAATGCACATACTCATGGTTGCGAAGCCTCCAATCACACTCCAAGGGTTGAGGCCAACATGTTTCTTGGAATCGCACTTAGCAACAGCAACAAATCAAATTGGGGAGCCCAAATTGCCATCAATCTTGAAAATACATATGTTCTACAGATTCCCACCATGAATCGATATCTTTAATCCACTATGAAGAGCTACCCCTTGTTAACATTCATACACCTATCGTTCGGTAGCTTGGCCAAGAGACACACCCATACCGATAGGTGACGAAGGATTGCCGACTCTGTCTGAAAAATCGCACGTACTTGATGGGGTAACACAATGCCCAACAATTTTATCAAGAAGCCTTGTGTTCTTGCCTAATTTTGTGCAGCAGCACCATCACTTAGAAGCTTCATATATAGAACAAACCCCCTTTTGTATGTTGAGAGAATTGTCTAATGTTTTCGCTGAAAAGTCATCTACCCACATAGGAATTATAGGCTTCATCTCTCAAAGCTTATGCTAGCCCTATCCACTTTTACAAAATTAAAAAGGGCATGTGGGTTGAGCAAAAAGGGGATGGGCCTTATCTTTGGCAACAGTGGGCCAACACCTACTAAACTTGTGGTAGCCCATCTTATAGTTCGACACCAGCATATCGCTTTCAACATTCTCCCCCCACTAAACTTATAGTGACCTTTGGCACCTTGCCCTTTGACAGTCCATCATGATGATCGACACCTTGTCCTTCGACAGTTTACGTCAAGATGCTAGGATCGGCAGGTACAGAGAATTGGCTTAAAAACTCTGTACCGAGCCATATGCAAGTTTCTCCTTTCAAGATCCTTCTTACAGGAGAACGTGGGGGATTGAAGATGGTGCACCACACAACTTGGAAGAACACAAAGGTGTTGCTCAGTCAGTGCATTGAAAATTATAATCTCCAAGAAAAAAGTACCTCCTTACTTAAGAACTTGGGGGACTCTTGTTTGTATCATATCTGACCAAGCAACTAGAAACAAATCTAAGCAAGGCAAAGAATCCCACATTAGAATATTATTACAAGATGTGTAGGCTTCTCCTCACCTATAAAAAGAGACCACTCTCCACTTAGGAAGGGATCCCTATGCTGGGCTTGACCTTTAGACAGGGGCTTCTCCATTCTTCCTTTTATATTTGGGCCCAACCCCTTGTACAAATGTAAATATACATTATTATAAGAATGAGAATATACTTCTCCACGGATGTAGCCCATTCATTAAGGGTGAACCACGTATATCTTATCTTCTGCATATTTATCGCTTGCCTAAATCTTCACACACATGTTGAAGGTCCTCACCTTCACCCATCATCCATCACACCTCATCTCTAAGTTAGACTCAATCTTGGTAGTCCATTTTTTAGCATCAACAGTTATGTTATGAAGTGTTTCATCTTGGGTATCAATTTCATATTATGTGTTCGTACAAAAAAAGTATGGGGAGAATATTTGTGGAAGATTGATCATTGCATAATTGTATATCATTTTGTACCCTTATAGCATATGATTTGATTATGTTTATGAGTTAAACTTGTGCATTTAATCTCTTTTGTATTTGTCATTCAGTTAATTGAGCTTTAGGTAGCACTGGATAGAAAAAGGTGCAAAATGGTGCAAACACATGCAAACCTGAAGACTAAGTTAGCAATTTGTTTTAGACTTAACATCTTCATTTGACCTTGGTTTGGCCCAACTGACTTGTGGTTGAAAAGATGACATTCTAGACTTCAAGTTGGAGGGCTCAAAGTCGTCATTTGCTTAAGGGAATTTCAAGTTATGAGCCCACGAAATTGTTTGTCATTCTAACCTAAGCATGAGCTAATTGTTGCTTGGTCATTCTGATCTAAGCATGCATTGATATTATTGGTGATCTAATCATAATTCAAGTGGAGCTTTCTAGCAGCCAAAAGAAATAAAAGAAGATGAAGTGAAACAAACCAAATAAGAAAAGAAACTGATTTTCAATTACATTGGTGTGTTAGGTCAAGTGGGTGTGGTTGGTGGACTTAATTGTATAATCCGATTTCACCTAACCCTTGTGCCTATAAATATAGAGTCTCCAAAGAGCTAAAACTCATGCATGATTCATGATTCATCATACATTCTCCACATATTCAGACACAAAGGGACACAATCATAATGTAGAGAAGGGAGAGAGGAGTAAGGGCAGCAGTTGGGAGGCCTTTGCCTCCTAGCAGCCCTAGAGTTGAGCTTCCATCTCTAGCATACAGGTCTTATCTTCTTATCTTCCCTTCTATTTCCCTTATGTTTTTCTTTCCTGTATTTTGTTTTTCAAAGTCTTGAAATTTTCTATTATTGTTATGAATATGATGGTTTTAAGTTTTCAAGTTTGACTGGTTTCCAAGTTTCAATTCTAGTTCTTGTTCTTATTCGTTATGCTTATAAGTTTATATGCTTGTGTTGAATGTTTGATTACCATTTAAACTTGTATGTTAGCTATCTTGGTTGGAATTAAGAGTAGACATAATGCCTTCAAATTGAACTATAAATAGGAAGAGTATGTACGGACATTAGATAACATGGATTAGATACATGTTTGGTTGTTTAAAATGTTGTCCTATGCTTAATGGATTTCTAATGCCTGATTTAGGTTTGAAAACAAAGGATCTTATTAGGGAATTAGGAATACAGGGTTTCAACCAAACACCATGGCTAAATTATATTTTAGAGAGAAATATCAATCTTTTTACTTGAATTGACCTTGTTAACTTGATTGCTTGAGACTTAGAATTGGATTGTTCCCTAATGTCCTCAAACTGTTTTCAAACCCAACACCAGTTTTAGTTTCTTCTTCTTTTGTTTAATTTTATGTTTTCAATTCTTATGCTCTTCTCAATCATCTTTAAACTTTGCTTTCAAGTTCGGTGTTGTTTTAGTTATAACTTCTGGTTTTCTGGAATTTGGTAACCTAAGTATGTAACTAGTTTGAACTTCTCAATCCTCGTGTGTACGACCTCGTACTTGTCTTGCTATACTACTAATTGGCCCGTACAATTGCGAGTTAACAGAGATCCTCTTCTCTCTTGATCTTATTCTTCCTCGAACCATGCAAAATAAATGCGGTCAACAAAAAACACTCAAGGGTTGTTGGCCAAAGACCCTCTTATACCAAAGTCAGGCAAATGGTCCTAAGGAGATACAACTTTAACTAAAAGGATGGAGCTTTCCTCTACCTGAGAGGAGTTGGCGTGTGTGTCGGGATGGGAGGGAGAGAGAGAATGGCGTGAGAGAGAGAGAGAGGAGTCTTGCTAGGGTTCTTAGAATTACCTCATGTGTAGTGATATGCCATCTTTATATAGAGCCTCCATCTTTGGTAGGGTTTGAATCCTTGATTTAGGGAGATATTCATATTTTAAATCAAGGATAATTGGCTAAATAATAGGATTTAACTAGCACAATTATTGACCTAAGGAATATTCATCTGTCTACGTGTCACCTTTTGATTGGTTGTAAAAATTCATGTTCTCACAAATGCCCTTCAGTTTCTACATAGCGCGAGTAGGAAATGTGAAATACTTGTTGGGCTTTTAAACTCCCTTCCAGTCTATTCGACTTACGGGAATGAACTGGGTAGCGTATCTTTTGGTGTGTGGCAAAAGTGATTGCATTCAGCTTGCAAATCCATGGTATGCCCAAAATGCCAATGTAGGGAGATCACTTCGATGATCATAAAAATCTGCGAGTTGATCACTAGTGAGGAATAAACATCTAGTTTTATTGTTCCCAAGGTAACCGATGTCGCCCCATTGAAGCCGGTTAGTGGCCTCGTGAACTTGTTGATTTTGGCCTCCATGTCCATCTGTTGAACAACTTAAAGTTGTAGTATGTTGGTTATGTCGCACTCGTTTTCGTGAATTCGGTTGATCATGACTTGCGAAACCTGGATGCTAATGACAAGGGCGTCATTGTGTGGTAGATCAAGCCCAATTAGGTACTTCTTTTGGAAGCCGATTACATAATCTTCTTCTACTGCTAGACAGCTGGTTAAGACTTGAGAAATTATAGTTGCCTCTTTAATCTTCCTCTTCTTATCTTTGCTGGACATTTCGGACTCCTCGAAGTCTGCTAGGATAGTGTTGATCTTTATGATCTTTTAGGGAGGTTCCTTGGTAGCATTACTAATGGCGAATCCAGGAATATTTGTAGGAGTAGGCTAAATTTTTGTTTGGGGGTAAATTATAAGCCATTGTTTGTTACAATATATATATATATATATATATTATATGCACTCTTTTTTCATTATATTTTCTTCATCATATTTAGAACTTTTTGTTATTATACGACATTTGAAATAGAAAAAATGTTGGAATTATTGATAATATTGTTGAAATATTTGGAAGGGAGTGAAGGGAAACAAAGAAAGTGTTAGGGGGTTACAGGAGTTACCATAGTTAAGGGTCTTCAATGACAATACATTAGTGTTTGAGCTGTTATGTTGTTACTAGCCTTTATTAGGATATAATAGGTTTTTCGTTTCATTGTAACCACTAGGAAGATATCTTATAGTTTTGGTATAAATATATGTTGTAATATCTCAAGTATTATAATTGAATATACAGTTTCTAAATGGTATCAGAGCTAATGGCTAACGCCGATTAGCGATCCTCCAATTGCCAACATTGAGAGTCGTTGGCGCTCCTCATTCCTCACCTTTAAGGGTGTTTGTATGTATAGTGTTTTTTCCTCTCTGCTTCTCAAAGATGAATATGTTTTTTCTTTCCGCCTTAGCTGTAGCCACACTTTTCTTTTACCACTGCAACCTTTTCTTCTGTTAGCCTGTTATTTTTTGTGTCTCCATCGCACTGTCTTTATTGCGGATTGTCTCCTCACTGGCCTTTATCTCTCTCATGTTGTGCTATACTGCCATTGTTGTTCTCTTGCACATTTGTTGCCTATCCTTCTTGAGCTTTTTGTTCTCATAAGCTCCCTTTTTTGTCCACTTTTTTGTCTCATAAACTTTTTGAACTTTTCCTTACCCTCTTGGTTTCTCTCTTTCTCTTGAAATCTCTGTCCACTTCTTTGTCTCCCTCGCGCCATCTCTCTCATTGAGCTGTCTCTCTTCCCTTCGCAAGCCTTGTCAATGCTCGTTGAGCCCTATCCTAGTATGCAATCATGGTTTCTATCTCTCATGAATTTATGATGGTTTCTCTCTCTCATGTATTTCTGATGGTTTCTGTATCATGGTTTCTATACTTTTTCCCTTATTTGTTGATGCTGCATGCCATTGCTTATTGAGCTGTCTCTCTTTCCTCCATGAGCCTCGTCAACACTTGCCGAGCCTTCTCTGCCATGCTACACAACCAATGTTCCCTTTGCACAACCCCTGTTTCTTCCTCTGTGTTGCCGACTTGGTATCTGCCACTCAATCCCTATCACTGTATTGCTGCCTTGGTATCGGCCTCTCACACTCTATCTATGCTCAACCTGTGTTCTCCTCCCCTCTTAAGCCCAATCTCTTTCTTTGATTTTACTGTTGGTCTCTGTCTTCTTCAATGCTCTCTTGCGCTGCCTTTCTTCTTCTCTGTTACTCGGGTATTGTCTTCTTTTCTTTATAATTCTTTTATGTTACTGGGGTATTATCTTCTCTTCTTTTCAATTGTGTTTTCTCTCTCCCTGTCATGGGCTGTCTCTGGAATCTTGAGTTTCCTTTCCTTTTCATGGATTGTCTCTTGCATCTTGTTCTCTCTCCCTCTCTTAACTACTTTCTCTGTCTCACTTAGTTTCCTCCTTTATTTCTTATTATTGTTTTTTGGGTCAATCATCCCTCTATATTTTAATCTATACGGGCCTCTATCCTCTTGTGATAATATTTTCGTTATTACTTCTTTGTTCCCCCGTGGTTTTCTTCCCCTACCTTATTGTTTCTATGGTGCTTTGAAATTCAAACTTGCCCATGCTCTCGTTTTCTTTTCTCTGTGTCCCAAGTTGGTTTCACCTTTTATCCTCTACTGTTGTGCTGCATCCTCTCTTAACCTCTTTATTCCCTTCAAATATTCCTTCTTTTATCTCTGCACGCATCCCTTTCTGATTTCCATGTGATGAATTTTCTTTTGTTTCCATTCATCATCTTTATTATATTCCTTCTTTTCATGTCTTATTTCCAAACTTGTCACCTCTTTGGCATCAAGTTTGCGGGGGAGTGTTAGGGGGTTACGGGAGTTACCATAGTTAAGGGTCTTCAATGACAATACATTAGTGTTTGAACTGTTATGTTGTTATTAGCCTTTATTAGGATATAATGGGTTTTCCGTTTCATTGTAACCACTCGGAAGATATCTTATAATTTGGGTATAAATATAGGTTGTAATATCTCAAATATTATAATTGAATATACAGTTTCTATAGAAAGAAAAAAAGAACAAATATTTAGAAGGAATTGAAGTACAAAAAAGGAAGTAAAAATAAAATAAAAACATCACCTTTTGTTGGGCAGTGTACCTGACAAAATAAAAACACATCCCACCCCCAACACATATCACAGCCTCTCTTTTCTATTATTATATTTCCTCTTCTCTCTCTTTCTTTTTGTTTGTTTAATCTCTTTTTTATTTATTTATTATTATTTTGTTTTCCTCTTCTCTCTCTCTCTCTCTCTCTCTCTCTCTCTCTCTCTCTCTTTATTCTTTTTGTTCTTCCTCTCTTATTCTTTTCTTTCTTTTCTGTACGTTTGCTCCGTCTCTCTATTCTTTCTTCTTGTAGCCGACTGATTTCTTGTCCATGGCGGGTTAATTTCTTTGAATGGTGTAGATTGAGCCTACACAATAAGCCTAATCTCAAAGTCAGCATTGTGCTAAAGTACATGTTAGCCCATACATGGATCCGCCCTTGAGCATCACGATTCTCGATCTGTTGAAAAGCTTTCTTGGCCACGAACTCGGTGAAATGGTCCTCTCTTACCAGCTCCTGAAGATGCTTCTTCCAAGATCAGCAGTCGATAGTGTAGTGTCCATGCGTTCGTGGAAGGCGCAGATGCTTCTTTCGAGATCATATTTAAGAGGTGGCAGCTTCTTCAGCCATGGCTTATCCTTAACTTGGGTTAGGATTTGATTGACAGGAATCGTAAATTCAGTGTAGCTCTTACTAGCTAAAGAGCCGCCTTTGGATGGCGACTAGCATTGCCCTCCATTATTCCTAATGTTAGGTCCGTAATTCTTTTGTCCTACCTCATTGGGTAGTTGGTTAGCTTGTTTGACAAACTTCTTAGCAGTGGTCATATCATCGTCCCAAAGTGCGTAATGCTCCGCTGTTACGAAGACATCAGCTAGGGAAGCATGTGTTAGGAGCTCCTTGTAAAGGAAACATGTATCTTAATGCCAACATGTTAATCAACACGTTCTTGTCCTCCTTGTAAAGGAAACATGTATCTTAAACTTTCAATTGAATTTTAGCCACAAAACATATGAATATCTATTCAATAGTGGAAGCAATTTACTTAAAACTTGTTGGGCTAAGTCTATTCTATTTTTACCCATGTATCTTTGAGACATAATCCTTTTATACACAAAATTCAAATGAAAGAAGAATGAGAAAAATACCCTTAAAGCTATTTTTTTTATAATGAATTTTTTGGTTTGGTGGTCTCCAAATAATACATTATACATGTCGAAAAAGATTAATAACATTCCAAAGAAAAGCTAAAAATATATTAAATAGTTACACCAAACTTGAGATAACAAAAAGGAAAAAGAACAAGTATGCATGGCATCCATGAACATGATCGAAACTTCAACATTTCACTTGCAATTTTCCTGGAAGAAAAAAAAACATAGACAACTATGAGAGTACACAACAAAGCTTGAACAATTTCAGGCAATAATGAACTATGATATTGATCTAGTACTCTACCCCCAACACTAAAAGCCGATTCCAATGCAACTATAAAAATAGGAATTGTTAACACATCTCGAGCTAGATGTGAAAGTTTCTGACAATGAAAATGCTCCATTTGCCACCAAGAAAGAACATCTATGTTTTGCTTTCTATCTAGTCTTTCCTCATCCAAATACTTATGCAATTCATTTTTCTTACTTGAACTTGGACCATTTTTGTAACTATTATCAAAATCCTACATCATACAAAATGAAACATACAAACATTTGGGAGCCATACAATATGCAACAATACATATGAAAACAAAAAAAAGTAGTTTAGGTTACCTAAAAATGGTATCTCCACATTCTGTGTGATTAGTTGCCTCATTCATTCCATAATTCGAATGAAGAAGATGAGATAAATTTTCTGAGTACACATAAAAAAGAGAAGCCAATGTGTCTCTAACACACTTAAATTCTTCAGAATCCTTGCCATGAAGCTTGGTATAAGCCACTCTACAAAATGTAACTTATAACGAGGATCCAAAATAATTGCAATTGCAAGAATTAAACTGTACTCTTACCAATACTTCTCAAACTTCATGTTCATAGTAGTTCCCATCTGGTTCATGAAACCATCATTATCTTCCATGACTGCCTTAATTTTGTGCTGGATTATAAACACCTTAGGGAAGAATAAATTTGATATGGGGTACTTTGTCCCAGAAAATAAGCATGTAACATCATAAAAGGACCACAAAAACTTGGAAATCTTCTCTACTTTAATCTACTCTAGGGGAGAAAGACAACTAATGAAATTGGAATCAATCAACCCTAAATTAATAAAATCATGACGAAAGAAAATTGCACTCTCAAGTATGGTATAAGTTGAGTTCCATCTAGTAGGGACATCTTGTCTCAATCCTCTCTTACTACCCATTATCCCTACTTGTGAAACACATTCATAGAACTTTCGTTTTCTCCCCTCAGAACCCTTTATATATTTGATGCACTCATGAATCTTTATCACTGACGAATCAATTTTCTTAAGTCCATCTTTGACTATCAAGTTTAAAATGTGAGCACAACAACGCACATGAAAAAACTTGCCACTCATCAACAGAAGACATCTAAAGTTCAACTAATTCATCAAAATATCAACAAAAGAAGTATTTGTATAAGCATTATCCAAAATAATAGAAAACAACTTCTTCTCAATCCCCTACTCAGTTATCAATGTATTAATTTTTCAAATAATGCAATACCAGAATGTGGAGGCGGCATATGACAAAAATTTATAATTTTTTTGTTCAATCTCCAATCTTGGTCAACAAAGTCAGTGGTAAGAGGAAGATACCCATCAGTACATATAGAGGTCCATAAATCTAAAGTTAAACAAATTCTTCCCTAAACTGAGCTTAACAAACTATAAAGTTTTTTATTTTCACTTTTAAACATCCTCAACACACATGCCTTAACAGTGTTTCTACATGGCAGCTTGATATCAGGAGAGACATACGCAAACAAAGCCCTAATTCCCTCATATTAAACAAAGCTATAAAAGGCAAATTATGCCTGTTGAAGCTCTTTTTGGGAGGACAACATAGAGCACTTCCAGCAGGCCCCTCTTTTTGGGAGGTCCTATTAATTCTAATTTTAATGTTTCTTGCAATTGGTATAATTTGTTAATATTTCTTGTATTTCCATATGTATTTAAATGTTTCTTGCAATTTTTATATTTTGTTATTATTTCTTGTATTTCTAATATTTATTTAAATGGTTGTTGCATTCTCTATATTTTGTTAATATTTCTTGTATTTTCATATTTATTTGAATGTTTCTTGCATTCTCTATATTTTGTTAATATTGCTTAGATTTTCATTCATATGTTTATCTTTTTTGCATTACCAATATTTTTTTTAAGTTCCTTGCTTATTCAAATTTTTTTATATAGATTGTGCAAGCTCAAATGTGGTATGGTGCTACTGGACAAGGGAAAAAAAATTTCAACCATACCCAATGTTGGGAGGTGGTGAAGCATTGTAAGAGATTTAGCATTATTCCAACGGCTCCAACGGTGGTGTTAAACGAGACGCCATTCCATGATTCACAAGCTTCGGATTCGCCTATGGAATCCCCTATGAGTGAAGACTCACCCATTGAAAAGGAGCCGAGGCCTATTGGGAGGAAGGCGGCGAAGGCAAAGCGAGGAATTAATTCTACGAGTAATACCTCTAAATTTTTGGAGGAAATTGCAAGGCAAAGCGCCTTGAGAATTGAAATAGACAAGAAAGTCCAAGAAGATGATAAGGCAATGACAATAGAATTTGCTAAATAAAGGGAGTATGTACACAAAGAAAGGGAGTATCAACGCAAAGAAAACGAAGAAAAGAAGGATCGGGAAACCATGGCCATGGATACAAGCCACATGTCTCCTGAAACAAAACAATATTGGAAGCTAGAACGAAAGGCTATTATGAGACGAAGACTTTTTCGTGATGATGGACCTAGCAATACGGATTGGTTAAATGATGAAAACCATTAAGTTAGTTTGCTTGCCTTTTCATTTCATTGTATTTTAATGTTTTGTTTTCAAAATTAGTTGGAATTCATGTATTTTATTTTATTAGTAGTATTGGTTTTCTTTGAGTTACCAAAGAAACTATTAAATAAAATTCCTTTTTATTCAAAACATTCAATACATAAAAAAAACTAACCACAACCAAAGCATTAAAAATGTAAAAACAAACAAACCACAACCAAAGCATAAAAAACTAACCACAACCAAAGCATTAAAAATATAAAAACAAATAAACCACAAACAAACCACAACCAAAGCATAACCAAACCAAACATAACTAAACATAAAACATAAACATTAAATCTTAAAAATGTTCTTCAATTCACTTCATTCACCGTCATTGCCTTTCACCACCCATAAATACTCCATTAAGTCAACTTGACGGCGTTCATGAATATACGAAGATTGCATCTCCGTATATCGATCAATCATACGGTTCATGAAAAGACCATCTCTAACCTACGGTTCATGCTCCACTGGTCCTCCATTTGGCCCTACTGGTTTTTCATAAATTCGGGTCAAGGCCGTGCTCATGGGATCGGGTTCGTACACCTCTTCAGCTTCCTAATCATACTCATCCTCCACAATCATGTTATGAAGGATGATGCATGTCATCATTATGCTCCTCAACACCTCCTCATCAAACATACATGTCACACCCCTAATGATCGCCCACCGAGCTTGGAGGATACCAAAGCACCTCTCCACATCCTTTCTGTAACCCTCTTGATATGTAGCAAATAATTTTTGCTTCTGGGTTCGGGGATGCGGAAGTGATTTCACGAATGTTGTCCACCTCGGGTAGATCTCGTCAGCTAGATAATACCTGATTTGGTAGACGATATTATTGACTTCATATATGATTTTTGGGGCTTCTCCTCTCAAAACATCATTGAACACCGGGGATTGACCCAGGACGTTCAAGTCATTTTGAGATCCAGCAACTCCAAAAAAGGGGTGCCAAACCCATGTATCGAAACCTGCAACGGCTTCAAGGATGATGCTTTTTTGGCCTTTCCGATTTCCGTAATCACCCTGCCAAGCAGTTGGGCAATTCTTCCATTGCTAGTGCATGCAGTCGATGCTAACAATCATTCCTGGAAATCCTCTCCATTCGGCTTTCTGCAGAAGTCGTTGCAGGTCCCTGGGCGTGGGTCGACGCAGGTAGTCCCTGGTGTACAGAGTTTCGACTGCATCACAAAATCTAACCAAACTCTCCAAGGCAATGGACTTCCCCATCCGGGCAATCTCATCCACCTGATCAGCAGATGCACCATACGCCAACATTCGTATAACAGCTGTGAACTTTTGTTCGGGAAGCAGTCCCAAAACACCAACACAATTTCTCTTTTGAACAAAGTATTCATCATAATTGCAAATATCATGCATGATTTTATTGAACAAATGTTGTTGCATTCTATACCTCCCTCGAAAATGAACATCAGAGTACAGAGATGTTGGGATAAAATAATCTTCCATAAGATTCTTACCCCGAGAATGCCTATGTCTGTCAACATTTGGGGCACGGCCTTCATGTGAACCACGACTGCTCTGGTTTTCTTCATCAAGCATGGCCACATCCGTGACAAGTTGCTGATCTAGATCTCTCTGCGCTCTTTTGCTTGTAGCTCATCTACGCCTTCTTTCTCTTATTTCTCGCTCTTGCCTCTCCAAGACCTCCTCCATGTCTGACATTGTGAATGGAAGATGAAATATGAAATCTAAAATCTGAGAAATGAAATTTTTGAGAAGATGTAGTGTGAGAGGTTTGTGAGCTGAGCCTTTGTTTTATAGAAAAATGTAGGTCAATAAACATGACACGTGGCGCAAGTTGATAGGGTGAAAATCTTATCCGAAATTTGAAATTCAAATGAAATGTATCTGAAATGTGAAATTCAAATGAAAAGTTGAAATTCAAATGAAATTTATCTAAAATTTGAAATTCAGATGACACGTGGCGCAATTTTATAAGGTGAAAATCTTATCTGAAATTTGAAACTTAAATGAAATTTATCTGAAATTGAAATTCAAATGAAATTTATCTAAAATTTGAAATTCAAATGAAATTTATATGAAATTGAAAATTTGAAATTTATCTAAAATTTGAAAAAAAAATTTATCTGAAATTCGAAACCGAAAATCTTATCCGAATATTTTATCAGAAAATCTCATCCGAAAATATTGTCCAAATTAATTGTTTAGGTAAACAAATTTGTGAAAAAAACAAAAAATTGAATAGTGCCTCCCCTTGCCATGGCAACCGCTGAAAGTGCAACTTACTTTTTGCAAGGGCAAACACTATTCCCATGAATAGTGTCAGCCCCCCCCCCCCCCCCCCCCCCCCCTTGCCATGGCAACATTCTCACTGCTGGAAGTGCTCTTAGAGAGAAGTGGAGTGTCTTCAGCAGGGGAGAAGATGAGGACCTTCGGTAAGGGAAGCAGTCGTCAAGCTTCAAACACCGGTGTGGTGCCGGCTGAAGGCTTTCTGATGCTTAAGTCAGCTATGAGTGGTAAATTTGGCAGAGTAACAGTAAAGGTGAGAGAGTAGTTACACTTTTTACTTGGGTACTATTCCATATTTATAGGGAAGTGAAAATGGGAGCCTTGCACAAAGTTTCAATGTGGGACTTTGTGCAAGTTGCTGTGGTCGTGACACGTGTCCTTGGAGATTAGGTTCGGCAGTCAGGAGCTTCGGGAGGTATCTGCTGCTACGGAAGAGTTTCTTTCTTCAGCAGGGAAGAAGGCGTGTCTGCCTTGGTGCTAGTCGTTTTGAGGCTGGATATGCTTGGTTGATTATGGTGTAAACACTGCTTGATGATCACCTCTATTAACAAGTCACGAAATTTCACATGATCAAGTTGCGAGGAATGCAATCCTGAAGATGACATAAGGCAATTTTTAGCTGGCTTCTTAAGGCAATTTTTAGCATGATTCAACAAATTTCCCATACCATACCCACTATCACGTGCATATATAATCTCGCAATTTTTACATTTAGCATGCTTTTTCTTATCTTCACCAAGAGGCAATATATCAAATGATTCCCAATCAGCAGATCTTAGTTTACGCTTACCCACATTGACTCTAACCTTTTTCTTTGTAGGGCTTAACTCTTTCTCTTATATATTTTCAATAGTTGTACCAATACCCATTGAAACTTCAACAGACTCCTCATCATTAATCTCAAAAGCATTGGCAAAGCTATTTTCTGTAACATCCACCATATCCCCTTCAAAACATATAAATATAATTAGAAACAACAATAGAAAGAAACCAAGATGTAATAATGTAATATGAGTCATGTTTCCCCTGTTTCATACTTCTATATAATATGAATCCTCTTTCATACTTTTATATAATATTAAACCGATATGTAATTATATAAAAGTATTGGTATGACATTGTTCTCCTCTTTCATACTTTTTTATATATATTTAATATGAATATTATGTATAGATATAAAGCTTCCAAAACTTCAAAGAATTTGGTTTATCTAGTTTACTATCAGAGACGAAAAGAAACCCAGATGTGAGAAACCCAGTTTAATTGTTGAAACAATTGATGTAATTATCTAAGAAACCCATATATAATTATCAGAGAAACCCATAACATAAATCTAAACTAAAAACCAAATAAATTTACCAAGAAAAATCAAGAAGATGTGAGATGAGATCGCAGAAGGAAGAAAATGAGAGAGATGTGAGATGAGATCGCAGAAGGAAGAAAATGAGGTTGAGAAACAGAAAGTGAACTGTGTGAGTGTGAAGCATGGCGGAATGAAGATGATTACGACGATGCTAGGGTTCGTAAGGATTTTAGAATAGAAAATGATAAAACCACCCTTTCTTAACTTGTGGATTCGTGTTTTCGTGAATTGACACTAAAACGACCTGTTAGATTACCGTGTGGCTAACGGGTCAACATAGACTCAAATACTAAAATTTGTTTGCCAATATGTGTCGTGTTAGCAGGTCGTGTACGATATTGCCAGGTCTATATTTTCATCTTCACCGCCATTTGCAAGCCTATGATCAAAGCTTGGTATTCTACAACATTGTTTGGGCAAGGCTCACTTAAGCAGAATGAATGGGCAGTACATGCCTCTCAAGTGATATGAAGACTACGCTAGCCCCTGCCCCATCTATACGAGTCGATCCATCAAAGAACATCGTCCAAGCAGGAAAAACGTCAGTGAAGAAGACTTGTTCTTCGGGTATGTCATCTGAAATTTCCCAGTCTTCTGGAATTGGATGATCAGCTAGGAAGTCTACAACAGCTTGACCTTTAACCACCTTTGCTGGAGTGTAGATGATTTCATATTGATTGAGAAGTAATGCCCACTTAGCCAAATGCCCCGTCAAGACTGGTTTTGACATAACGTACCTTGTCGGGTCAGCTTGTGCAATTAGATGGACCGTGAACGCTTGCATGTAGTGCCTTAACTTTTGAATAGAAAAAACAAGTACAAGACATGTCTTTTCTATATGCGTGTAGTTTAGTACGGGACCAGTATGGGTTTGGCTTAGATGGTAGAGTGCCTACTCTTTATGTGACTCATTCTCTTGCACCAAAAGGGCTCTAATTGATCTCTCTTGAGCCGCAATGTACAATACAAGTGGCTTGCCTGAATAGGAGCTCCTAATAGTGATGAACTCGATAAGTACTTCTTTATGCTCTTCAAGGTATTGTGACAAGCCTCATCCTAAACGAACGAGACATCCTTGTTCATAACACGACTGAACAGTTGACACCGCCCTGCTAAGTTTGAGATGAATTGTCGAATAAAAGCGAGATGTCGTTGTAAACTTTTTACTCACGTAAATTTATTGGCTCGGCCATATCCTGGATAGTTTTAATCTTATACTGATCTACTACGATGCCTCGATGTTTAACAATGAAACCAAGAAATTTACCTGATGTGACGCCGAAAGCACACTTCGAAGGGTTCATCTTGAGTTGGTACTTCCATAGTCTGTTGAAAACCGTTCTCAGGTCTTTCAAGTGATCTTCTCTTCTCTGTGACTTGACCACCAGGCCATCAATGTAGCACTTGACATTCTTGTGAAACATGCCCCCAAAGTTCTTTTGCATCGCCCGCTGATAGGTCGCACCTGCATTCTTAAGACCAAATGGCATTACCTTGTAACAATAAATTCCTTTCGAAGTGTGGAAAGCTGTGAGCTCTTCATCCTCTGGCGACATTCTTATTTGATTATATCAAGATGAACCATTCATGAAAGATAAGACTTCATGACATGTGATTGCATCTACCATGAACTCAATTATGGGTAATGGAAATTCATCCTTCGAGCAAGCCTCGTTTAAATCTCAGAAGTCAACACAAATATGAATTTGTCCAGTGGTCTTCTTCTTCACTAGAACAATGTTCGAGATTCGGATTGGGTATTTCACCTCTCTAATAAATTCAATGGTGATCAACTTGTCAACTTCGGCTTCGATCTGACCTAGAAGCTCCAGGGAGAAGTGACGTTGAGTTTGGTTGATTGGATGCATTCCAGGCTTGACTGCAAGCTGATGGACAACAACTATTGGATCGAGGCCTGGCATCCCCTTGTACGTCCAAGCAGAGACATCTTTATACTTAAGTAGCGGTTGATGAAAATAGGTCTTGGGTCTTCACTTGTGCCCAAGTTGAGTCTTTTTAATTCATCTACAGTCACTTGGCCCCCATCTTCTAGTGCGAGAGGGGCTTCTTGGACCTCATCATGGAAAGGCTCCTCCTCATCGAGCTTTAATTGTAACATGATGAACAGCTAGGACCTTTGCTTCTTCATCATCACCCTTGTTTTGCTGACTCAAAGTTTTCCGAGTATGTATGATTGTTCATCGTTTCACTTTGATTTGGTCACCTGAAGTTACGTCCAATGTTGAGTGACGTTTCATACGTGACGAGATTAGGCTCCAAATTTCATTATCTTCTCCCGAATCAACATGAACTCTACCTTTCAACTCTCGTAGTCTTTCTCTTCAAACGGTTTGATTGAAACTCCGAGTCTTTCTAGGGTCGATTTGTGTTGTGCTGATCAAATTCCCCCTTAGCAATTATATCCAGTTCTACTTTTGAATACAGAGGGTTGGGATCTTGATTCTCTAATGAGGCTAAAAATTTAGGTATATTGGGTAGGCTTGGCTAAATGGTCAAACACTGAGGCTCACTTAGTAGACTTCAATTCTCCTTCCTCCTTGACCACTTCGACACTAATGTGTTGAGCATCTGCCTGCTTTTCTATCCTTTAAGTAAAGATCTTAATGGGTGCAATAGGAGTAAAACCAAGGCCTGTTTTAGCTAAGTCAATTGCGTAACCCTGGTCCTTCAACTTCTCTTGGGTTTCGTTAAGGTCATGTGTCCTTTCTCCGGTGAAATACGGATTAAGCTTTCCCAGCGAAAAAGATAAGTCAAAGTTATAATCTGCCTTCAACATGAGCTGATAAGTGTTAGGATCAAAACCTTCCTTAGTTCTTTTGACTGGAAGAGATTCATGTCTTGTTGCGTCTTGTGATGGTCTGACGAACCATGGTACTGAAGGTTTTGAAATGTCTGAATTGCTCAACTTGGGCAAAGGCATAGTTGTCGACTCCTTCAAGAACTTCATATCACTTTCCCCTAACTTTCTTGGTTTTACTTCTTTTCTAAAAAGAGATTGTCCTTTCTTCCGTTGGGATAATGAGACATAACGAAAAACAGGAATAGACACCTTCCATGACTCTATTGGTGATGATCCCATTTGTCCAAACAAAGTGCTTTTTGACTGCTTATTGTCATTCTCTTCAGTGGGAAGGCACTTTGAATGCTCATCTCTTCTTGGTATAGCCTTGCCTGTTGAGTGAACCTCAATGGGAATAACTTTAGATACCATGTCTTCATCCATGTAAAACTTGGCATCGGTGAAATAAGACTCGACTTCAGTAAATGGTTTGATGTCACCTAAGATTTTCTTCACTCCACCTCTATAAAACTTGAAACATTGATGTAAAGTTGAAGGCACTATTCCATTTTCATGTATTCATGACCTTCTTAAGAGAAGGTTATAGGAAGTCTTGGCATCAATCACGTGAAATCAGATTTTTGACTTTGAGTCATCTATCATAGCTCAATTCTGATCATGCTCATCGTACTTTGCTCCCCTTTGTTGGAGCCTTGAATCATGGGATGACTTCGAGACAATTCATCCATGGTGATGCCTAACTTCATCATTATTGACTTAGGCATGATGTTTACTGTCGAACCTCCATCCACAAGCATGTGACTAAGTTTCTGTTCTCGCACATACCCTAACACAAAGAGCGAATGGTTATGTGGTTTGGATCTTAACAAGAGATCTTCATCGGTGAATGTGATGGAAGCACATGTCACACAATAAATAGCATAGCCTTGATATTCAAGTTCCAATCTTTCAGTCCTTTTTATTTTATTTGGGTGAATACTGAGATCCGTCAACGTCTTTACCAAAGCCATACATATTGCTTCAGGAAGTTGCATCGCTTCCTCAATATTGAAGCGCGATGAGGAATCTTCCGCTTGTATTGAGACCTTTTATTCTTCATCAGTCTCAGATTTTTCTTCCAAGGAAACCACTTGGTAGCAAGTTGTCATATGAACTGTCTCCATCGGCCCTCATACGAAGAACACTTTAGGAAACTATTCTCCTAGCATAACCGGAATCTGTGGCTTTTGCATTAGTGGTCCACCTTCTTTGTTAGGGTCTATCCTTACTATTATTTTGGTTTCGCTCTTAGAGTGTTAGCGCGAGTTTTTCTTTCGCCGCTCATTCGTCGATTGAGCATTTGTCGTTAAGGAGTGCACTTCGTACAAGACTTCTTCGTCATTGAAATATGAGTCACCAATGAAGCCATCACCACCTTGATAGTTCGGTTCGCCCACCAATTCTTTTGCACACAGATCATTCACCTAGTATATGCCCCTCGTTGATTGAAACTTCAATCTTGGTGACAATACGGGCAACAACACAGGATCATAGGATCCAAACACAATTGTGGCAATGTTCGCATCTCTGATTTCGTCAACGTCCAACTCAATCCTTCCTTGCCTAGCCAAATTCATAATCAGCTCCTTTAGCATGAAGCATTTCTCCACTGGGTAGCTGACAATTTAGTGGTACTTGCAAAACTTAGGGTCATTAACTCAATTCATCTCCTCAGGTTGCTTACACTAGAGTCACGGAAAAGGTACTTTTTCCTCCAACTCCTTCAAGGTGAGTCGACGTCTATCCATCTCTCAGGATGGCTCCATCCTTTTGACTTCTCTTTTCTTACCTTTGAGTGGAATTTTGATAGGGACAGTGTTGATTATCATCGGTTCCTTTGTAGGCTTCTTAATAGGTTATCCTCTTTTGCTTTTTTTTTTTTTTTTTTTTTTTTTTTTTTTTTTTTTCTTTATCATGATAGGTTTCTTGTTTCCCCCCCATGGCTAGCAATACTTAACTCTAAATCATGGCAAGAGTGGCTAGCTCCTCAAATTTGCAGGGTTTAATCCCTCGTAGAATGTAGAGTAACTCCCCAATGCATCCCTTGAATGCACATCTAAACTGCCGATATCTCCAAAAGCCTGTCCTTGCAATCCAGCCACAACGAGAGCCATCGATTGATGAAATTGACAATGGGTTCATCTTTCCATGCTTGGTATTTCTGATTTCCATCATGCTCACAGTGCGAAGACTATTATAAAATCGATTTAATAATTCCGGCTCCACCTGATCCCAGTTGTCGAGGGACTCAGGCTCTAAGTTTATATACCAATCAAATGCATTTCCTTTTAAGGAACGAACAAATTGTTTCACCAAGTGGTCACCCTCTGTCCCAGCATTGTTGCATGTTTCGACAAAGTGTGCAGCGTGTTGTTTTGGGTTGCCCTTTCCGTCAAATTGTTGGAATTTGGGGGGTTGATTTCTGGTCGGCATCCTCAAGTTGTCTATCCTCCTAGTGTATGGCTTGGAATATATGAGCGTGTCTCGCGAAGGAGCTCTGCATTGAAACCTGATGGTGTTCACGATCATGTCTTGAAGTTATTTGATTGATAAAGAACCCATCGAGGCGGCGTTTCCTTTCCATGCAACTTCTCACTCGACTCTGTTTCATGACCCAATTCTTTCTTGCTGGATTTAGCTTCATGATATGGTCTTTTCTTGTGCACGTCTTGGCTAAGCGTCTTATCTTGATGTGCCTCATACTTTCTAATGGGAGAAGCAATCTACGCATTTTTCTCCTCACCCATCTTCGTTAGTTTCGTGATCACTTCGCTTATATGGGCTAGCTATTCTTCAATAGACAACGCTCATGTCACCATAACTTGCATGGCCATAGAATAAGACTCACCTATGGACGCTGAGAGTTTCATGGCAATCTTCTTCGGTTGGTCATCAGATAGGGATCCATGGTATGAGCATGTGCTCAAGTCATCGTCTGAAACAAACAAGAGTGAGAGTTCTTTTGAATTCTTCGAGCATGAAAAACTCTTTTCTTCGTTCTGAGAGTTTCTCCCTTCCACTCGAGGGGTATGCTTCTCTGCCCCCAATGAGGTCAAATTGATTAGTAGTTCATGCCTTCAGTTCACATCTTGCGCCTTGGCTTAAGTCGGTATGGAAGTGACATGTTGAGTTGCGCCTTGGCTTTAGTTCATATAGCATTGGCCCTGCTCCGAGTGATGACCCTAGCAGAGTACCTGCTTGACTATGTTCCACTTTACCCCCCACCGTCAACACCATTCAAAATACCTTCAAAAATGCTGATGTGGCAGGGTCATTATGGTAAAAGCACCCACGGTGGCCAACTGCTGAGCGTAGCCAACATCCTATGTGGTGTTTGGAGCATGGTCCAATTTTGAAATGATTTTTGGCATGTAGCATGAAGTTTTATCGTGGGCTTGAGATGTGTAGAAAAAAATATTATTTTGTGTGTTGGCTGTAAGTGAGAGGCATATGATGCAATGAAAAAAAAAGGCACTAGATGTTGAATGAAGAGAGAAAGGCACAAGGATGCCGAAGGAAGAAACAAGGGCACAAGGATGTAGAAGAAAAAAAAAGGAACAATGATTCCTGTGAAGATTAGGGCAATTGTGCACCCATAAGAAAAAAGGAAAGAAAATGGAGTGTTTTTTATTCATGAAGGAAAGTGTTTAGTTATTAATTGTGTTCTCTCTTGCAGCTAGAAAAAGAGAAAATGAGTATATCAGTCGTTGTGCCATTCAAGCATGTTTTGATTGAAGTTGCACACAACCTTAATATTAAACCATATTTTAATTTTATAACCACAAGACCGGCTCATACAATGCAATTCATGTGTCATATTAGTTATGATGGAGGTGCACATCTGAATTTTTTAAGCAGATGGAAAAACACAAAGAATGAGGCAGAACACTTGGCGGCATATTTTTGTCTGAATTATTAGATTGAACAGGACATCATTAAAGTGCTTGATGTCAACTTTAATGTGTTGATGAATTTCAAGATCGAATGTGGAAAGCTGCAGGAAGGTATTGAGACGCTAAAAGATCAAGTGATGGATCTAGAGCTAGAAATTGGAATGCTAACACAAGATGAAAAGCCATAAGAAAATGGTATTGGCCAGCCTCAAAGTATCGTCAACATAAGCGACATGGAAGACGAGTAAGGGAGAAAGCATCTACGTTAATAAGCTTTGAAATTACAGGAGAGATTATTGATGTAATTTCAAAGGTCAGAAGTTTAGGAAATAAAAAGTTATAATATAAAAAGGGTTTAGATATTATGTCTAGTTTATGAGTTGAGGTTAATGTGAGGTTTAGTGGGTATAATGGTTATGATTATGTTCAATGTTGAGTTAATATTATGGCCTATAAATAGGCATTGTATCCACTCTATGTTAGAAAGTATCAAGTGTGACAAAAGTGTGTGTTGTAGTAGAGTATTTGAAGTGTCAATCTTATTGAAGTTTGTCTCAAGTAAGTTTGTGTAGGAGCTCTGTGTAGCCTTCGGGCTTCACATGTCCAAAATTATGTTATTTCTTTAGTTCGTTATATTGTAGTTGTCCCTTCATATTTAGAGTGCATGTGCATAAAGCTAAAATCCACCAATAGTATATTCTGGCAAAAGAAGAACCTTCTTAGTTGAAATAATTTGGGGATTAGGGTTTGGAGTGTATAATCGAAGAGAGAGAGAGAGATTCGAAAATCTGAGAATGAGCAAATATTGCAAAAGAGTCAAATCAGAATAATCGAAATCTTGGCATTGTGCAAATATTGGAGAGATTGAAAAAGGACAATGACGGTGCCGAGAGAGAAAAGAGGTTCTCAACCTAAGTACAGTAAGTGGCCCTTTGCTTTTGAAATGGAATCGACAAAAGTGAGAGATTTATAGAGTGTGGTCCAGGTTTAAGCTTCTTTATTATCTGCTTGCTTTGTTGGGTCAGGTCCAAAGGTATTGAGTTTGAAAAGCCTAGAATAAAAAATTGGTGTGGTCCCCTATGTCTTGCTGTTATGTTTTCTTGTTTACTAGTTGTTTAAAGGTTCTTTTAGTGCTTTAAAAATGTTAGTTGAATGTGAATCTTGCCCAATGTCTGTTTACTGGTAGTTTGGTGGTTGTGTTGTCCTTTTTAAACTATACACATGACTAGGCAGTGGTTAAAGTGTGTTTTTTATGTTCTGTTGTGCATATGACAAAGGAATAGTCACCTTTGAAGTACACCATGGAGGTAGAATGGCAAAGTCCTCAAACCTCAATGAGTGGTGGTTTTATGTGGAGGGGTTTGTTGATTATTTGGACTGGTGTCTTCTGGACTACATAAATTTGTTAGAGATATATGTGTATGCAAAAGAGCTTGGCTACCATGACCAAGTAGTTGTAACAGGGATACAAAATGGTGAAAAAAAAATGTGTATAGATAGTGATGCTCAGCTACTTGAATGTTGTCATTTGGTGCCTCCTAGCTTTGAAAGAGTGATTGTAATTTACTTGGAACACCCCACTATTATTAATGTGGATGAATCTGCAATGGCTTGGAAGGAGAGGGGTCCTATTGCAAGAAACTTAACTGCTAAATTTGAACATGAAGATGAGAGTGATGAACAGTCTGGTTATGAAGAGGATGAGGATGATGACATTGTTGTTGATGTGGCTATAAATATGGAGGATGGGGGTGATGACATTGCTATTGATGAGGCTATAAATATAGAGGATGTGGGTGATGATATTGCTATTGATATAGAGGAGGAGGGTGATGAAGGTACTGTTCCTGAGGGTATAAATGTGGATGAGGAGGGTGATGAAGGTACTGTTCCTGAGGGTATAAATGTGGATGAGGAGGGTGATGAAGGTACTGTTCCTGAGGGTGTAAATGTGGATGAGGAGGGTGATGAAGGTACTATTCCTGAGGGTATAAATGTGGAGGATGAGACTATAAATAAAGAGGCTGAGAATGACAAAAGGGCTGAAAATGAGAATAAAGAAAGTGAAGAACATGGAGAAGACCCTGAATTTTATGACAGTGCTTATGTGCAAAGTGAAGATGAACAATGCTTGCTGGAGAAGGGTGATAAAACATTTGACAACTATGTTGACCACAAACCTCCATATATTTATCCAATTGCAGATGAAGGAGAGAAATCAGATGATATGGTTGTCAATGATGTTAATAGCTTTGATAGTAGCTCATGTGATGAGGTTGATATGCCTATGAGAAAAAGGAAGAGGAAACTGCCCAGTTTGATGATTTTAAGCCTGACACAAATTTGAGTAACCCAATTTTTAAGCTTGGTCTAAGATTTCCTAGTGTCTATGTATTTAGGAAAGCATTGAGAAACTATTCAGTATTCAACAAAGGAAGATTAAGTTCTCCAATAATGATAAAGATAAGGTTAGAAGAGTTTGTTATGGGATCAAGAATGGAAAATGTCCATGGTTTGTTTATGCTTCAACTGTAAATGGAAGTAGCATGGTTCAAATTAAGAGTTATGAAGAAGAGTACACTTATGGGACTGTTGAACACAATCTCCATACTAACTCATAATGGTTAGCAGAGAGATATGCTACACAGCTATCTAGAATAATAAATTGGGATGTAGGAGCTTTTAAGAAAAGGGTGAATGAAGATCTATGTGTCATAACTTCAAGATCACATATATACAGAGCAAGGCAAAAGGCAACTGATGTAAGTTAGGGGATTTACACAAAACAGTTTAAGTCTCTTTGGGATTATGTTGAGGAGCTAAAAAGGACAAATGTGGGAACTACTGTAATGATTAAGTCCAATTTGGAGGGTAACAAATCGAGATTTCAAAGGATTTATATATGCTTGGCAGCTACAAAGAAATGGTTTATTGATGCTTTGAGGCTAGTTGTTGTTTTGGATGCTTGTCACATTAAAGGGTAACAACCTGGGCAATTACTTTCTGTTGTTGGTGTTGATCCTAACAACGACATGTATCCAATAGCTAATGTAGTAGCAGACGGTGAGAATTATGTAACTTAGACTTGGTTTTTGGAACTCTTAGCTCTTGATCTCAGCATTGAAAATAACAATGGGTATGTGTTCATTACAGATAGACAAAAGGGCTTAATTGATGCAATGAGTGACATGTTCCCAAACTCTGAGCATAGGCATTGCCTTAAACATCTGCATGCCAATTTTATACTTGCTGGCCATAGAGGATTAGTTCTGAAACAATGTATGGAGGCTGCAACAAGAAGTACAACTATACCTTGGTTTTCAAGCAGAGATGAAAAAGCTCCAAGATTTGTCAGGGCCAGCTTTTGATTGGTTGGCAAGGCTTGATCTAATGCAACACTGTAGATCTCACTTTAGAACACACTCAAAGTGTGACATTCTCTTGAATAACATGTGTGAGGCATTCAACAAGTCTATCCTTGATACTAAAGACAAGCCTATTGTAACAATGCTTGAGAGGATTAGGTATTACATCATGTTGTTGATGGCAAGTAGAAGAAAAGCTATGGAGAAATGGGCTCATGATGTGGGGCCAAGAGTTTTTGCAACTCTTGAAAAGCTTAAGAAGCAGTCAGCCTTGTGCATTCCAAGACTTACTGAGAATAGCAAATATGAGGTTAAGTGTTTTGGAGGCACTCAGGTGGTAATTGATTTGAGAAACAGAAGTTGTTCATGTAGGCAATAAGATCTAACTGGGATCCCACGTAAATATGCTTGTGCTGCCATTGGGTAGTTAAATGGAAATCACATCAGCTATGTACATGATTATTACAAAAAAGAGGCCTTCATGAGAGCTTACAAACCTATGGTTCATCCAATGGCAAGCCAAGACTTGTGAGCTAAAACAAATTTCCCACCTTTGCTGCCACCTAAGTATCATAAGCAGCCATTGAGCCTAAAGAAAAGCAGGGTAAGCTCAGCCGCTAAACCCTCTCCAAGCTCTAATCTTAAAGCTAAACACTTGCCAAGGTATAATTTGGAAACCAAGTGTTCCATATGTAATCAACCAGGCCATAATAAGAGGAAATGTCCAAGGGTAAATGAAGTAGGGAGTAGCAGCCAGGTATAATCAAAGCATCTGATTTTAAAAGTTCTGTATGTTATGGCATTCTGATATGGATTCATATGTGATGTTTTGTTGGCCAAGTACCATCACAAAGACAAAAGATGACAGCACTTCAAGGCAACACATTAAAGAAGAGAATTACAAGACAATCAAGGCAGAAACAAGCATCATCTTCTACACAATCAAGGAAAAAACAACCAGTAAGTTAGGTTTCTTTTATTTAAGTAACATTATGGAACTCTTCATTTGTAGATATTGATCCAAAAGCAGTCCTGCTAATATAATTCTGCCACAATTTTCATATCATATAAAAGGCTGTAAAAAGGACCAATCATCACCAAGCATCTTCTCAATCTAACCAAGCTCCTCATCCTTCTCACCAACCAGCTCAACCATCTCAAGCATCTCAGTTTGAACAAGCATCTCAAGCTTCTCAGTTTAAACAAGCCTCCCAGTCTCAAGAACCAAATTCGTCTCAGCCTTTACAAGCTTATGAACAAAGGAAAATTAGGTTTAAGTCTCCAGCTAAGAGGAAAGCATTCTTGGCAAAGTTTCAGCCATGGAGATATTGAAAAGGCTCTACTATGTTTTTATTGCTATGTCTTGGTGAACACATATGTTTTTGGGTAGAAACTGTCTGTTTGATATTTTATTGTCTACTTTGTTTTTGGGTACAAACTATTTGGCATTACCATGGATTTCACAGGTGCATATTCAATCTTTTATATTTTGTTTTGGCATTGCCATGGTAGTTCAAAAGCTTTGAAAGGTTTCAAGAATTCTTGGTGCTTACAAAAGTGTTTAGTCTTAACCATTACAAAAGAACTTTGAAACCATTACATAAGCCTCTCATCTCACTAAATTGCCATTCAACTAGGTACATTACACCACATTACCTAACTTTCAAACATACCATATTGCCTAACTTACATTACATAACATTTTCAAATCAAAGGCCCAAGAAATAAACAAAGCAATCCACAACTTCTTCTCACTTGCTCTTGCAAGCCCAATCTGATCTTCAACTTCTCTCTTTGTACTCAGCAGCCAAGCCATCAAAGCTCTCTCACTGGGAGGCATTTCAATATCAACCCATACAAAAAACCCACAACCATTTTCCCCCCTCTGCATTCAAACAACAATTCCATCACATTCTCACTATTTATTCTCCAAATTTTGATAAAATAGCAAATCCAAAATCTACCTTTGACTTTGGACACACATAGAACCTCCAAAGTGGGTTGGACTCTATCCAAGAAGTCTATAGCTGAGCAAGCCTCTCACAGTAGCAATGAGGTGCAGTAACGGCCAGCTCTTCTTCTTATGGAGGCTCTTTCCTCATCTTTACACCCTTTAATCGAAGAAAGATGGAGAAATTTTTCTCTAGGGAACCTTAAATCCTTCACATGGTGATAAATAATTTTTCTAGGTTTAGAAACCCTTTTATCAAAGAAGAAGAGAGAGGACTGTTAACTGGGGTCCACTTCACCCCTTCAGTTGCTTAGATTTGGATTTTCAACGCCTATGGGGTCCACTATGCCATGTAGGATGCTGACTATGCCCAATAATTGCTACCGTCACTATTACGTTTTACTATTTGCACAACAATATTTTGCGCAACAAACAAAAATTCGTCGCACAAGAACCACTTGCGTGATGCAAAACCTCATTCATAGCTTATACTACGCGGATAATAATTTTATATTTCTTAAAATTGCGCGACGAAAATTGTCGTCATGAAAGAACACTTAGCCGACAATACACGTTATCGTCTGGTAAAGTTAGCCAGAAAAACGTAGGGTTATTTCATTTGGCACCAAACACTTGCACGACGACAATTTCCTCGAGCAAGAAAATTTAGCATGACCATAGAAGTTTTCGTCGCGTAAAAGTTAGGAAGAAATACACGGGGTAATTTTATTTGGCGCCAAATCATTGCGCAGCAAACAATTTGTGTCGTCGCGTAAAGTTGGATGTCAAGACAAAAATGGTCTTTTGCTCGACGATAATGAGCATTGGCACGATGAAATGTTTAGAGAAGAAAACGCTTTCCCGTCACATAAAGTTGGATGTCGACACATACCTGCGTGACGAAAATGGTCTTTTGTGTGACGACAATGAGCATTGGCGCGACGAAATGTTTAGTGACAAAAACGATTTCTCGTCGCTTAAAGTTGGATGTCGACACGTGCCTGCGTGACGAAAATGACCGTTTGTGCGACGAAAATGAGTTTTTGCATGACAAAAATTTGAGCGACGAATCCCTTTTCGTCGTGCAAAGTTCTTCGTGAAATATATAATATGGATTCAGCCATTGTAGAGGCAAACTGCAAAAAAATTGCAGATTGCCTTTGCCTTTCCCTCTACCTGTGTTGGGAATTCGTATTTTGTTCGTTTTATATTTTAAAAATATAAAATTAATTACATTATGTTAAACTTAGTTTGTTACATTGCTAGACTAAAGAGCCATGACTACCATGTGTTTATGCAAGGCCTACTTCCTGTGGGTATTCGACACCTATTGTCGGAAGATATAGTGAAGCCAATCATGTTGTTGTTCAGATTTTTTTCCCAACTGACGGCAAAAACATTGTGAAAGACATATATTAATCAATTGCGCCATGACATTGTCCAAGTCCTATGCAAGTTTGATATTATAATCCCCCTAGCTTTCTTCACAAGTATGATCCACGTGATGGTTCACATGCCAGAAGAGGCATTGCTTGCTGGTCCGACATTACTTGCTGGTCCTGTCCATTGTCGCTGTATGTATCCAATAGAAAGGTATATAATCCTCATCATTTGTTTATGCATCATTATCCCACTCTTATTAATTTGTATCGTATCATTTTATTTTGGCAGGCTTATCGGAGGGCTGAAAAAAAGTGTATGCAACAGGGCGAAGCCTGAAGGATCAATTATAGAGGCTTGGGTTCAATATGAGTCGCTTACTTTCTGTGGAACGTATTTAAAAGATGTGGATATGGCTTTCCATCGTCCTCAACGCAATAATGACGGAGGTGTGAGAAATGAGAAACTTTTTATTTTTGCCCAAAGCTCACGACCCTTTGGAGATCCTGTACGAGGAGAGTCATTTTCCAGAAATGACATGGAGGTAGCGCATTGGATCGTACTGAACAATTGTGATGAGATAATGGCATACTTACATGAGCATGAAGAGATGATGAAGTGAGAACATCCATCACATTTGTATGCCAAGAAATACCGTGAATTGTTTCCACAATGATTTTTGGAATATGTAAGTTATAAGTGTTTTGTATTTGACATATATATTTATATATTGTAGTATTTAATTTTTTTTCAAACTAACATGTGAATGTTTTTGTATAATATTAGGTGAATAAGTTGAAATCATCGAATTTCCCCACTTACAGTAAACAGTTATATAACTTGGCGTTTGACCCAATTCGCGCTGAATTGCTCTCGGGTTGCCATGTTAACGGAATCAAGTTTTTGGGGACTGCACGAGATGATAAGTTGTGTACACAAAACAGTGGTGTCCATGTCCCAGGTGGAGGCGAAAGTACGAACATTGATTTCTATGGCAAACTCACAACTGTCGTGCAATTGCTTTATAAAGACCGATACCAAGTGATCATGTTTAAGTGTTGATGGTTTAATACAAACCCAAATAGGCAAGGAAGTGTTAAAATCGACCATGGCTTACTATCTGTGAACATTAACAAAACTTGGTATGATGACGACCCTTACATTTTAGCAAACATGGCAAAACGTATTGTGTATTTAGATGACCCTAAAGCCAAGAGCGGTTGGAAAGTTGTTCAGAAGATGGATCAGAGGAACCTGTATGCTATACCAGAACTAGACCCAACTGAAAACGACATCGACAACGTCGCTGACCAACGTTTAGAATCTTCAATGGAAAATGATGCAGAAACACTACAAGATACAAATGTTATATAAGAACCTTTTCAGATGCGATGTTGCAGTGGGCCCAAACAACGACGGTGATGTAGTTATAAAGGAGGAGAATTGGGAGACCAAAAATGATGATAGCGACGATAACGAAAGTTATTATAGTTCAGATGATGAATAATGGAATTTATTTGCAACTTGCCATGTAAAACATAGTAAATGAAATTTTTTGTAATTTAATTGTGTTAGTGTAAAGATTTTGTGGTGTCCACTACTGATACTTAAACTGGAGCCCTCACATAATCTAATATAAAAATGGTAAAAAAACAATTGCAACGACTTAATGTCATAAATCAATTTTTTTATAACAAAAATTCATCATCAATTAGCATGTAATAACAATCACAAATCAAATTCATAAATGTTTTAACGTTTTCATTTTATAAAGTTAAATATTAGTCTGTTCGGTACAAAAATAAGAGTTCAAGAGAAACAAGAAGACATGAATTTTTATTTTATTTTTGTTTTGAGTGGAAGAAAGTACTTTTTATTTATTTCGGAGAAATTGTTATTTGTTTATAATTTTTTTAAATTTTGTTGTTATAATGAAAAAAGAATAAAATTATGAACTGATTGACATCATTGAGACTCGAACATGGGCCTTGTACCAAGGGATATACACCATAAATCAATTCCACCAAATACACTTATGTGTCAATGCATTGCACGTTGGAGTATATTCCAAGTTTTATAATATTAATATATATAATATAAAGTAAAAAAATTTGGGAGCCCTGTGCGGTCTTGCACCATGCCAGGGCCGCCCAAGAGTACTATGCCATTGCAAAATTATTGTAGAACCAATCAATGCATTTATAACAAGGCTCATTACTTTCATCGTTTTTGTTGCAAACTACAGGGAGTTTCATAAAACAACCTACCACTAATACATCCTAAATAATAATAATAAAAATTATGTTAATTGCCATTTGAAGGTGGTCAAGATGCAAGAATGTAGACTTCATGCATTTGCATTTGAAAATGCAATTGGTCACAATTATTTCTAGGGCTAATGACAAAAGACACCCTGCTAGTTTAGGGTCATTCTTAAATTGGACCCCATAGTATCAATTTTATCAATTTACGCCCTGACGTTTTGAACATCGTCCAATTTCATCCTTCTGTTAAGTTGACCAGACGGTCAATCATTAACTGCTGATGTGGCACCCGTGGGATCCACCCTACCAGCGCTTTGACCATTCCAGGCATGCTAGTTGAAGGGCAGTTTTGGGTTTCGACAATAAAAAAAAAAAAAAAAGTTTCAAAATTGGGCACGCTTTGCAAGAAGAAGATCGAAGAAAAAGCCCCAAAACGTCGTTCATCCTCAACCTCAGTTTAACAACCTAAATCCTAAATTTTCATTGCTGACAGCAAGTTCTACGATTTCGAAGAAGTGAGAAGAAATGAGTTGGGATTTCAGGGCTCCAGGCACTCCACATCCCTCGTACAGTAAGTTGGCTTAAATTTTTGCCATTTGGGATATCTGTATTGAATGGGTGAGAGGTCATATGAGTTATTCTGGTTTGAATGTTGTGTTTTTTAGGGTTTAGTGGAATAGTGGAAGAAGTATGAAAGATTTTGTCGAATATAGTTGGCGTTTTTACATATTTCGAATATAGGTGGTCCTTCAAGCTAAGCATGTGCTGGCAATGTCTACCTTTAATAAGGTCAAAGCGTTTGCTTTTAATAAGGCAAAAGTGTTAGGTGGAAGGGTGTGAAAAGGGTTGTTTAATAAAAATTTGGCCTTTTGTATAATGGTCCTAAACTGAAAATAATTGAAAAGTGAGTTATGGTTTTTGTGTAATGTGTGAATACTTTGTTTGAATGCTGTGTTTTGTGTTGTGTTTTATGTTTTAACTGAAAATAACCCATGTTTGGGACATATAATATGTAGGTGATCCTGAATTGTTTTATATTCGAATGTTCCATGGTGGTCAAATCTGTGGTAACTATTATGCTTCTAGCAGTGTAGCTTGGTTTGATTAATGTCAATGACTGAGATAGACAATATGGTGAGGGAGTTAGGCTATGATAGGGTGATTAGTTACTAGTATAGTATCCCTATCTATAGCAATGGTGGCCTAACAAAGCTTAATGATGATCAAGATGTCATAGACATGCTTGTATTTGTACTAGAGACAAGGCCAATAGACACTTCCTACATCATGGGGTTGATAGCAATGAGGGTTGGTTTTATAGTCAATCAGGATCAAATCTGTTTGTTGATGTATAAGCAAATATTGCACCTAACAGAGGAGTTGTGATTGAGGAGCTTGATGACAATTATGGGGCTATTGTTCCTCTTGGTGGGAAATGCAAACAATAAAGGCAGCAAAAAAAAAAACAAGTGTGGTGATAGAAGAGCTCAATGAAGACCCAAACGGAGAACAAAGTGGTGGGGGTACCAAAAACCAAGGGAATCTTGTGCAAGACAGGGTGTTTATGAAAAAGGCAAAGAAAAAGAAGTAGAGAGGGAATCTTCTGCAGTGCAAAAAGACAAAGAAAAAGTTGTTGAGAGGGAATCTTCTACCAATGTACACAAAGGGGAAAGTAAAGTTAGTTATGTTTTTGGGAAAATGAGGGCAAGAGCTGTTAGTAAAATGAGGTGCAAAAATGTAAAAAAGACACGTGATAAAGAAGACCAAAGGTCCAATATAGTGACTGAGGGACTAGTTGAGAAAGAGGTTGTTGAAGGAAGTGTAGAAAAGAGCAAGTTATCAAGATGTCATCCAATGAAGACAAGAAAAGCAAGAAACAGGACCATAGTCTATGACGATGAGGAGGAGTCAGCAGACAGTCTTGACTCTGATTTTGCAGACCCTAACTTCAGTTGTGATGATAATGATGATGATGTCGATTTTGATGAATGGGTGGACAAACAAACTGAATGGGTTGGAGATGAGGCAAAAGGAAAAGAGCTAGAGTCAACAAATGCTGGGGTTGAATCTTGGGATTGGGGTGCAGATGTTGAATTGGATTCAAAGGAGTATGATTCTGATAATGTGCAGCCTAAATATGACTCTGATGATGACACTCTAATGACAAATAGATGGCCAGAGTTTAATTCGGCAACTAACATGGCAGATCCACAGTTTGAGGTTGGGATGAAGTTCAGTGATTGTAAAGTTTTTAGTTCATCTGTCAGAGAACAATTTATAAAAAGGATTGAGGTTGGGATGAAGTTCAGTGATTGTAAAGTTTCTAGGCAACAAGTTTATAAAGCAAAATAGAGGGCATTGAGGTAGATTTAGGGAATATACACAGAACAATACTCCAGAATTTGGGATTATTGTAAAGAGTTAAGGAAGACCAATGCAGGAACAACAACCAAATTTCAATGTGATTTCAAAGAACAATTGGGTCATATAGTGTTTCAAAGGTTATATGTGTGCCTAGGTGCATGTAAAGCAGGGTTCATTTTTGGATGTAGACCCATTATTGGATTGGATGGCTGCTTCTTGAAAGGTGCATATGGAGAGCAATTTTTAGCAGCAGTTGGTATAGATGCTGACAATGAAACATGGGTGATTACGTATGCAGTGGTTGGGTCTGAATGCAAGGACTCAAGGGTTTGGTTTCTGGAATTGCTGGTAAAGGATGTAGAGATTGTTAACCAGTTTGGATACACTTTCATATCAGACAAGCAAAAAGGATTATTACCAGCTTTTGAGCAAGTTGTTCCTAATAGTGAACACAGGTTTTGTGCAAGATATCTGTTCACTAACTTCATATTACAATTCAAAGGGAAAGCTTTGTTTGACAAATTATGGAGTGTTGCCAAAGCAACAACTATTTCATAGTTTTCAAGACATAAGGATGCTTATGCTTGGCTGGCTGAACCAAAAAAACCTCCCAGGCATTGGTCTCGATCACACTTCAGCACTCATATGAAGTGTCATATGCTTTTAAACAATATGTGTGAGTTCTTCAACTCATTCATATTGGCATGCAGAGATAAGCCAATACTGACCATGCTTGAGATAGTTAGGTGTAAGTTGATGAGGAGGATACAAGGCAGAAAGGACAAAATGAAGAATTGGACAAAGGCAATTTGCCCCAAGATTTTTAAGAAGGTAGAGATTAATAAGGTAAAAGCAGGTGGTTGTGTCACTCTGTGGTCAGGTGGAGGAAAATTTCAAGTTGGCAGTGGTTGGATTTCATAGTATATTGTGGACTTGGATTTGAGGACCTGTTCTCGTAGAGAATGGGATTTGACTGGTTGGCCTTGTGTTCATGGAGTGGCAGCTATAAATTACAATGGAGGCTTGAATGTAATGGATTTTGTGGATGCATGTTATCACACTTAGACATATTTCTAGGCAATTGGAAACCTCATACTACCTATGAATGAGATGTAGTTGTGGGATATAACTAATATGCCACCATGTGTGCCTCATTCATACTCCAAACAACCTAGAAGGCCAAGAAAGGCTAGAAGGAAGGAAGCAGGTGAATGCAACAAGAAGGCCAATATTGTTACAAAAGTTCAAGACTCACTGAGGTGTGGCCAATGTGGAAGAAAGGGCCACAATAAAAGGACTTGTCATAGGAATCTCCCTCCAAAAACAAAAATCAAAAAGACGACGGCTGAGGAAAACATCTAAGGATGAACATTTGTTAATTTTATAAATTTTAATGTTTTTGGAATATGATGCAACTAACAGTTTATTATTTGTTGCCTCATCCCAGCAAACTACTCGAACAAGTGAAGCTGGTCCCAGTACAAAAACAAGGCGAGCTAAGCCTGCAAGATCTATGCAGAAAGGAAAATGAAAGAGAAAGGCCACCATTGTAGCTAGAAGTTCAAATGCACCACCAACTGATTCAGTTGCTCCATCCTCAACATCTGCCTATCCTGCAAGTGGATCTACCTCCCTAGCAAGTGGATCTGCCCCTCCTGTATCAACTGAAGCTTCAACTGGCAATTCTTATTTATTGAGGAAACGACCTATGGTTGTGGGAGCATCAAACTTGAGCAAGGAATGATGATGGTCTTGCACACTTGTCTGTGTTCTATTAGTTGGTTTGGTTATTTTGAGCATCAGACAATTTTACCTTTATTAGCTGGTTGGATTAGATTATTATGTTATTTTGGAAGACAAGTTTCCTTATGTTAGGAAGATATCTTGTAATATTTTGTAAGACAAGTTCTGTTTTTTTTGGAAAACAGGTACTGTGTTTTTGGAAAACATGTACTGTTTTTTTGGAAAATAAGTTCTGTTTTTTTGGAAAACAGGTTGTGTTATTTTGGAAGGTTGTGAATGTTGTTCTATGGCCTATTTTTTTGTAATGCTGCAACTGGATATGTTATTATGTGGCCTATTTTGTTGTAATGCTACAAGTGGAAATGAATATGTTCATATGTTGTACAAACAAGTTGTTGGAATGAATAGGCTATTGCATTACCAAAATTTCACATTGTATGCAGATTACATAGCCATTCCCATTACATAACCAAAATGCAAAATGTTCATTCCCATTACATAACCAAAAACACACTGCTTTCCATACCAAAGGCACAGTGCAGACCATAACCAAAAGCACACTACATTACACCACAAGCACAGTACTTCCCATACCAAAAGCACAGTGCATCCCTAAAACACCCCCTTTCATACCAATTCCAAAGTCTTCAGCTTCAGTCCATCTGATCCACCATTCCCTCCAAAGAAGAATATTGCAATAAGCATCCACGAGACCACCAATGCTACCCAAAGAGCCTTCTCTTTGCGTCTAGCCTTTGCTAGTGAATTCTCCAACTTATCCCACGATTTTAGCAACCCCGGAATCACAACTTTAGACCTTTCACACATTTCCACATCATACCAAACCCAGAAATCACAACCCCCTCTACCCTGCACAAAACCCACTCTGTAAATTAATATTTGCACCTGCTACAATTCAAAATCTAATATTTTGCACCAAATCCAGTTTTTTACCTTTGCACACACAGCGAATCGCCTCCCAGGATTCGAAATTGTCCACAAGGTTTGGATTCTCACATTCTTACCACACCAACACACCATCGCCTTATGCTCCATTTCTCCTTCTTTTCTAGGTTAAGGAGCCAATACACTCGAATACACTTTTTGGGCAGCTCACTTCTTCGAAATCATAGATCTGAGCTCTCAGCTATGGAAATTTAGGATTTAGGTTAAACTGAGGTTGAGGACGAATTTTGGGCTTTCTCTTCGATCTACAGCTCTTGCAAAGCGTGCCCAATTTTGGGCGCGATGTTCAGTTCTTTTTTTTTTTACTTGTCGAAACCCAAAATTGCCCTTAAACTAGCATGTGCGAAATGGTCAAAGCGCTGGTGGGGTGGGTCCCACGGGTGCCACGTCAGCAATTAACGATTGACCGTCTGGTCCACTTAATGGAAAGATGAAATTGGACAATGTTCAAAATGTCAAAGCGTAAATTGATAAAAATTGATATTGTGGGGTCCAATTTGAAAATGACCGTAAACCAGCAGGGTGTCTTTTGTCGTTAGCCCTTATTTCTATTATTTCACAATACTTGTAGATTTTTTGATATAATTCATGAATAATTTTTATAATCATTCTTTTAAATTAAAAAAACCTTGCGAGACGCATTAACCTAGTCGTCGTGCAAATTAACTTTGGATGACGCCAAGCCCACCTAAGTTGCACCATGTGTGATAATTTTTGCGGGTTTAGGGTTTAGGGTTTAGGGTTCAGGTTTAGGGTGTTAGTACAAAAATTGTATTGTCATTTCCTAGACTCTAGCATAGGTTGGGAGTTAGTGTGTGAATATCGTTTGCTAGACGTTTTGGCGCAACACATTCAATCCCAAGTTTCTGAAGCATGACTTGACCGATTTGAAAAACTGATTTCAGGTAAATCATGACATAATCATGCATTCATTATAAGATTCCTAATTGGAGTTATTTTCACTCAAAGTATTTTTATCTTAATCTTATTTTTAATAGGATTAGATTTTATCTCTTGAGATTACTTTCCTAGTTGGACTCTATTTTGATTTAAGTTTTATCTTTTCCCGTTATGACTTGCACGTTGCTCATCTCTTACTTGATTGGTCAAATTAGTTTGTTTTAGGAGATATTGTTTCTCCCACAAAGATTGGTTGTTTGGCATCGTCATTTAGAGTCCGTACTAGATTAAAATTGATATTCATGATTGATACTATTTGTAGTCTCATGTTTGGCGTCCTTATAGGTAGTTGATATTGAATCAAAGTTATCATTCTTAATTGCATAGTAGTGTGTCTTGGTTTTGACGTGATTGACTTGAGTCCATATTGGATCAAGCTTGACAATCACATTTGAATAGAATTGTTGGACTATTGGGTTTCACTCTTACTAGAGAGAACCTGCTTTGAATAAATTGTGGTCTTTATTTTCACACATGGGTTTTAGAGATATTGGGGTTTTGCATAGATTGAAATTTTAAGTGAAAGCTGCTGTTCATACTTTTGGAGAAAAGTCATCAAGTGTTCCTTGTTTACTTGGTGATTTATCATACACCTTCATCATTCATATTGCATTCATATGCATGTCGGTGACTCATACGGTTGAGGGCACCAAGACCGTGGTGGCAGTTTTCCTCCGGTGAGCTTGAAGCAATCGTGACCAGTATTGCGTTCAACATAAAGAGTGTCGAAGATCATCCCGTGACAGAAGTTGAGTTATAAATAAGTCAGTAAACATTATCTAGAATGTGTCTAGGATAAGTGTGTGAGTACTTCTTGTAATCATCGTTCTATAGTTGATTTGTGTTGGACTACGAAGTCCCGTGGATTTTCCCCAGAGGTGGGGTTTTACCACGTAAAATAATTCTCTGTGTGTTCTTTTATTTTAAGCTCTGCACATTACAGGATTGATAAGCCATATCAATCCTGCTTCAAAAGTTTATTATTATTTATTGCAAAAAATTTGAATTAGCCTGTTTAACCTTCTCCAGGCATATATAGACATCCTGCAGGTATTTTCATAGGGTTTGCACGAAGTAAAATGTGCTTCTATGTCGCGCAAGTTGTGATAATTTTGGATTTAGGGTTTAGGGTTTAGGGTTCAGGTTATTATAATTTTGGCTGTCCAATAGTAAAAATCTCTTTGCACGATGTGAATATATTCTTACATCGCGCAAGTTGCGTTAATTTTGGCGTGAAAATATTCTTACAAACATCTAATCCTTCTCTTTTTTCTGTTGAGCCTAACAATTTCGAGTCTCTGTCTTTAAACCCAGTTGGTGACGGTCAAGTGTGTAAGTTAAAAAAAGGAAGTATTCATGGATCCTCCTCCTGGGTTTACACCAAGGGAGGAAAAGTGTGTAAGTTAAAAAAAGGCACTTTATGGCCTTAAACAGTCACCAAGAGCTTGGTTTGGCAGATTAAGTCGATCTATGAAGGATTATGGTTTCAAACAATCTCAAGCCAACCATACTCTATTTATTAAGCGTGGTGGTGACAAGATTACTATGTTAATTATGTGTGTGGATGACATGGTGGCTATAGGAAATGATGCAAGTGAGATTGAGGAACTCCAGAGTTACTTGGCTAAGGAGTTCGAGATGAAGGATTTGTGAGCTCTCAAGTATTTCTTGGGAATAGAAGTATCTCGTTCTAAACAAGGGATATTTTTATCTCGACGCAAATACATCCTAGATCTCTTGGTCGAGATTGGCAAGTTAGCATGTGAACCTATTGACAACCCAATAGTGGTGAACCACAATTTGACAATTGATCCAAACCAAGTACCAACCAACAAGGAGAGATACCAACAGCTTGTTGGGAAGTTAATTTATTTGGCTCACACTAGACCTGATTTGTCAAATTCAATTAGTGTGATAAGCCAGTTCATGCATTACCCAGGTATTTAGAATATGGAGGCTGAAGACCGTATACTTCAGTACTTGAAGTCATCTCATGGTAAAGGAATATTGTTCTCTAAGAATGGAAACTTGGATATAGAGAGTTACACATACTCTGATTATGCATGATCTAAGTTTGATAGGAAGTCTATATCTAGTAATGTGTCATTCGCAGGAGGCAATTTAGTAACTTGAAGAAGCAAGAAGCAAAATGTGGTGTTTTTGTCTAGTGCGGAAGCTGAATATCGAGCCCTTCATCATGCTATGACAGAACTGATTTGGTTGAAAATCCTAATGAGGGAACTTGGATTTGGCCTCGAGAAACCAATGGTGTTGTATTGTGATAACACATTGACCATTGAAATTGCTAATAATCCTATCCAACATGACAAAACAAAACACATTGAGGTTGACAGACATTTCATCAAGGATAATATTGTGAACGGCATCAATACTATGCTTCACATCAAGAGAGCAAACCAGCTAGCCGACATGATGACCCATGCAATTTCTAGCAAAGACTTCCATACATCACTATCTAAGTTGGGCATGTGTGATATCTATCCACCAACTTGAGGGGGAGTGTTGGCGTGATATATTAGGTTTAGGGTTTATGATTTAATATAGTTGACTTTGTATCCTTACCTTTTTTTTATACTTTGTACATCTTATAAATACCTCAGAATGAGGAGAATAAATAATTCGTTTCATTCATATTTCTAGAGAGTATATCTCAAAACTCTCAATGAAAGAACCAATTTGTTTGTACAAATAATTTATTGGGAAAATATTCATGGAAGTCAAATGGTTGGCCAAAGGCCCTCCAATGTCTAAGTCAGTCAAATGGTCTAAAAGAGATACAACTTTAACTGAAACGATGGAGTTTTCCTCTATGTGAGAGGATGAGGCACGTGCGCCAGGATAGGAGGTGACAGCATGTGGCCGTGAGAGAGGGAGAGAGAGAGAGTGGCATGAGAGAAAGGAGTCTTGCTTTAAAATTGCCTCATGTGTGGTGAGATGTCATCTTTATATAGAGTCTCCATCTTTGGTACGGTTTGTGGAGAATAATTCCCTATTGATGAGGATTACTCTTTTCCTTAAATGAGATGAAAGGATAATATCAAGGAGATTTGGTGGAAATCGAATCCTTGACTTAGGGAGATATTCCTATCTTAAATCAAGGATAATTGGCTAATTAAATAATAATTAAATAAAATTTAATTAGCACAATTATTTGACCTAAGGAATATTCCTTTGTCCACTTGTCACTTTCTGATTAGTTGTCAAAATTCATATACCCACATTATGTATACTAGCAAACTAATTTAATTGAATACATTTCATATTATGTATAACTAGCAAAATATTTAATATATAACAAATTTAATTAAATAAATGAAAACTATGAGAAATAGGCAACAACTTCTACTTTGGTTGCTTATTTGTTGCAGTTAGGCAACATCAGCGAGTTGTTGGGGAAAAGTAAAAGCAATGACTTTGTAGTCACTCCATAAGATAGATGCCAACAACTACTATTTGAGTTGCCATTGTGTTCATGCAACGACTTCTGACAGGGGTATAAAGCAACGCCTGCGACAACAACAATTTGGATTGAGCAAGGCTGAATTAATGTGCTAGATTTCTTATACTACCTTAAGAGGAGGGTGCTTGCAATGTAGCTGGCTTAGAGGCGGTAGCTTGATCGTATTTTCGAATTGAGAATTTAGTCTCATGTGTAAACTAGGGTTTATCATATGGCTTGCAACCCGTGTGCCCAAGGAGGCCTCCCCGAGCGGATGATATATTATAGCTTGGCATGACCCGATTTTTTTAATGGGCAACCCTTGGCCCAAGCGCGACCCATTTGAGCTCGATGTGGCCAAACCCAAGTTGACCATCTTAGGCCAACCCATATAATAAATATGATTTAAATATACCATTTACAAATATTTAGTCTATAATTAATATGTATTATGTCAATTAATCTTTTATAAATATTTGGTCTATATGTACGGTGTTATTTAGATTTGTTTTTCATCGACACAAATGACATAGCTTTGTTAATTGAAATACCGCAGTGCGGTGACATTTTGCTTGAAGCACGTCTATTCGACAATTTATTTTAATGGTGATACTCTGTAATGATGCCACCGAATGAATATTGACGTTTATTGGAGCGTATTTCCAACTCATCATTGTGTGAAGTTAACCTGTGCATGTTCCCATTTACATGTTTTTAGTCTGGTGCACCTCAAAAGCAAACCATCACTTGTCCTTCTTAATACATCATCATTAATTATGACATAATTGGTTGCCTGAGATCTGATTGTTTTGCAAATTGGCTTCGAAGGGTTTGAAAGGTAGTTAAGGAAGGGAATCCTCAAATCAAATCATCCAAATTTATCTCAATGACCTCCAAGCTCATCCTCGGATCCATAACAGGTTTTGTTGCTTAAAGACTATATTTAGTTGAGGCAGTAGTGTTCATTTAAGCTCTTGGGTTGATTTAGATTTCAGTTATGTTGGGATTATGCTTAATGTGTGCGATGTGGCTATAGTAGTTTTTGGTGTAGCTTTTTTTATTTTATTTTTTTCATGTTAGTTTTGGTACCATTTTGGGTTTAGTTTGTTTAATGTTGAAGCCATTTAAAGCCTTCTTGGTCCAGAAAAAAAAAAAAAAAAAAAAAAAAAAAATCAAATAAATGCGTTAGTGGGAGAGCACTCTTGCGGGATACTCTTTTATAGGCAATGACGGAACTAGGCGTTGCCATGAGCTCTATCACTACGGGTGGGCACGGTTCGGTTCTCACCTCAAATCGAAATTGGGATTATTCATCCGATCTGATTCGGTCCAGTTTACCCACAAGTCAATTCGGTTTATGATTTTTTCAGTTTTGGACCAGAATTAATTTTTTGAATTTTTACAAAATCCAACTATAATTTTAATTTTTGGGCTTAAAAATTAATAAATGACCCAATTTCATGCAAAGGGAAGTGATTGGGCCTAAAAAAGACATGTGATTTGGAGTTGGGCTTGGGGAATGATTAGTTATGGGCTTAAATATTGAAAAAAAATAAATTAAAATACAAATCTGATCCTATTTGGCCCGATCCCATTTTTGGTCAACCCAGTTTTTTCCCCTTTTTTTGGCCCAATTCGGCTTGATTTTCCGGTTTGAATGCCTACCCAATCTTCACACCCCATCTTTTGAGAAAAGAAAAAAATTAGTGTTAATAATAAACATGTTATTAAAAAAAAGAAAAAAGAAGCCTAATATTGCCCAAAAGTATAAATTTAGCCCACCTCTACACTTTACTTTCATGCCACAAGAAAAAATTGTACTCGGCCCCGATATGAATACTTGGTTCCCTCCTTATTTATAGAAGTGGTTATTGATACTCTTAAATAAATAATCATACCTCCTCCCTCGTAAAATAAAATAAGGGAGATATTGCAATTCTAGATTTATGAAATGGTTTTTTTAGTGCTAATAACAATTTCTTTAAATTATTAAAAAATATTAAATTCCTTACTTTGTTTAAAAAATAATAAATTCATTGAATTAATTATTTATCTACCCACCAAACTTACTACACACGAAATCATTCCATTCCATGTTTGGACCGATGAAGATAAAGACGACACGGTCTCCCCTACAAACTTTTGATTACTTTAACATGCTCCCTCTTCACATAAAAAAGAAAACTTAGTCGGAGACTTGAAGTTTAAAACATTGGATTCCAAATGGGAAGAACAGGTACACCAAAAGGTTGGACAAAACAGAAAGAAAAAAATATTTAAATATTGCAAAGGCGATAACCAAAAAATTTCACTCTGTATCTGGAATCTTGTCGTCTACCTATATTATAAAACATAAATTAATAATATTACAAAGTAAACAAATCTCGAAGTCCCACAACCAAGTAACAACCCATTTGGTGTTAATTTTTTCACAAGCTTCTTCCACAATCTACAATAGAGTGAGGTCCTTTGTTTTTCACTCGCAGAACATGAAACACTCCTTCCTTGCCCAAAAAGCACCCAAGATTCATATTTGAATAAAAAGGTACATCCTAAAGATCAAAAACACAAACTCCTCTCATTTTCTTCTCTCTCTCAGTTTTATTCCTTCCCTCCCTCTCCAATTTCCCCTATCCCTCCTCGGAGTCCTCTGTTCCTCTCCTCCCCTTCTCCAAAATTCAAAACCCTAATTCCCTCTCCCTCTCTCTCTCTCTAAAAGGGTGCATTGAGAGTTGAGAGTTCTCTTTTCGCTCCAACCAAAAAAAAAAAAGAAAAAAAAAAAAAAAAAAAAAAAAAAAAAACCCCAAACAATGAACGAGATTCTCTCCTAGGGCTTAATCCATTGAAAAGTCAAAACCCCTTTTGCCCAATCCAATATCAAACCAGATGATCTGAAAAAGTTCACATTTTTCTTTTTCACCTAAACCTGTTGATTCTCTTCATTGGTATATACAAACACTACCAATGTCGGATGATATGCTCATACATTTCTCCTCTAACTCCTCAAACCAGTCGGACCAGTCTCTGCCCACCAAGATTGCCAAGCTCGAAGCTCGTATGGTCGGCAAGGCTTCCTCTGCCTCTTCCGCCCCTCCTGCTCAGCAGCAGCTTCAACAGCAACACCAGCAGCAGCCGCAGCAGTCTGCTTGGTCCTCCCTCTCCGCTGCTCCAAAATTCGCTACGGCGGACTTGGCCGAGCCGTCTACTTCGAGTGATTCCGATGACGATGTAAGCCCTTTCTCTCATTTTATGGCACAATGTGTATAATACAGTGCATTGGTTGAATGCTTTCCACTTTAATTTCTTAATTATGTTTGATGTTGATGGTAATTGCCAAGTAATCTTTGTTTTCCATATTATTTTAGCTTATTGATTTGATCAAATGGGGATAAGCTTTTGTACATCTCTTTTGTCTACCAAATACTAATTTAATCAACTAAATTGTGGGTGTTGTGCCCGGTATAAGTGGTACTTTTTTTAAAAACATATTGCATAAAGTTTGATGCCTAACCCGTTGATGTCTCTAATCAGAAAGAAAGTCGCTGTTCATGAAATTTTATTTTCTTCATACCATTTATTTAACCATTTACATTTATGAAAGTTCCATTCCCTATTATGGTTGCTTTACCAGGTTGGGGAATGTGTGCCTGTATGACCAGTTTTGATACTTTTGATCTCACAATTTTTTTGTTTAAAAGAAACAAAACTTTATTTAATAAAGTCGAGAAATGTAACTAACAGAACAAGTATTATCTACCAATGAACAAGAAGTCCACTTACAAAATGAGAAAATAACAAAATAAGCTATCCCATCCTTTTGAAATCACTCAGTTACATCTCATTCTATTTTGATCTTGGAATTTGGATAACTTTTTATTGGCTTTAATTACTTAAATCTCTTAAAGTTTACCATTAGGTGTTGGATCTTTCTCATATAACTTATTTCCTGATTCATATTCTTATGACAGAATGGAGGGGAGTTTCTGATACAAGCCAACACTCAGAAGCGCCAGAAACTTCAAGAAGATGGTAATTCAACTGTCCTTGAACATGCTGAGGTAGGCTCTTGATCAAGTTAAGTTTGGTTAGAAACTTTCAAGATTATACTATAGCCCACTGATTTTAGTTGCTCATATATATTTTAGTTCTTCGCTTACATTGATATCAATCTTTTTAAGCACGTCTGAGGCAATGCATTAGAATACTCAATCACATTTGATATTTTAGACAAAAAAGTTGAGATCATGGTGTTGAATTGTTTACTTATTACTTGCATTGAAAATTATCCTTCTTTCTATCTTCCTTCTGCATATAATCCGAATTGTGTAAATTAACATAAAAAAGCATATGCAGGCAGTGGCTGATGGGAGGCAGATGGTTGTGGAAAGCATTGATACCAAGGCAACTTCTGATGTAAATAGAAAAAAGCATGGTCGTGGTAGGGGGCATTCTGTATCAGGTCGGGGTCGTGGTTCAAGAGTTAGTGATCAAACAAGATTGCTAACTTCGACAGTTTCACCTCCAAATGGTCAGCTTGAGAATCCATACAATAAGGTATGCTCGTAGGCTTGAGCTGTTTCAGTTTCAATCCTAATCCTTTTATGGTAGCACTTATCATCTACGAATCATCATATTCTACATATCTGCCATCATTAAGGAGGTATCTCTACTTGTCATATATTATTTGGTATGGTAATAAATTATCTACTGTATTATCTTGACAAGACTGGTTTTGACCTTTCATGGTCTGAGCCACCTATATCTGTTGTTTGCTGGATAAAATATTCTCATAATAAATGTTCTGTTTAAGATCATCTTTCTAAGATAATTGAATGAGGATAAGTTATTAAACACGGATGGAGTTAAATTACGGCCTGCATTTTCTGCTTCCAATTGTTTTTTTTCCTAATCAAAATTTTGATTAAGAATTGCAAATGCATTATATATCACCTAGTGAATGAGGCGAAATTGACTGCCACTTATAATTGCTTGGTTAATGACACACATGGTCTTGTTTATGCTTTTTGTTGAAAATTTTGTTAATATTGTTCGAAATATTCTGTAATCAAGATAAAATGAAGGCTCTATATGCTATGCAAACCTGGGATTTAGAGAATGCTTGTGAGTTTGTCCATCATGTTACACAATACATCTTATTTTTACTGAATGGAGTGATTAACTGCATGCCAGTAAAGAAGTTACTGAAAGAATCTGCAAAACGTATGGATAAGCAATATTGAGATGATATTTGTGGTGGCAAATCATGCTTCCACTGCATGACATAATGCTTAGGTGAAAGGATAAAAACTATACATAACATCTTCCGAGAGCATTTGCTATATTTCCCATTCAGGACTGCCTGCATCCGATGTGTGTAGTTGATCTGGTCCCTCTTTCAAGTAGACCACAGTTAGATATTTAGGGGTGTCATTCTATGGCAGAGAATGGGATATTTAGCATCTTTAGGGCTGTCCGTATCAGAACATTATGGGATAATCCAATCTGGTTAATTCAGCTCAGTTGACTGGGAGTAAAGAGCTGATTGCAAGTTTTTCGTCTAATTTTCTGGGTTGTACATCATTTATTGATGGAAAACTTGTCTATCTTGTCTAGTACTTCTTTCTTTTTAGTAATTTTTTTTTGTTTTTTGTTTTGTTTTGTTTCCTATTAAAAAAAGATATGATTTTCTCTGGACAATAGAGATATCTACTTTTAATATTCATTCCTCTTTGGAATAATACAGACAGAAATGGATAATGAGACAATGCAATGAATCATGATACATAAGAGATGATTACAATTTTTATTTGGCCTATACAAAATAATATTTTTAATTGCCTGTTCATATATACTTTTATGTATAGTCCAAATTGTTAATATTTAAAAGACTTTATTTTTTGATGCTGCATGTAGAACAGAAATATTTATGAATGAACTGGTATTTTACCTAATCATACTTGCAGGATAGTAGGCCTAAAGAGCAGCTTCGGAATGACAACAAATGGTCTTCATTAGATGTATGATTTGGTTTCCTTCGTTCATTTTGCAATTATTTGTCACTCTTTATTTGGCACATTTTGCTTTTGATATTTCATAGTTTTAATATTGTTTCTTTGTCAAACTAGGAGGAGGTTGCATCTTTACGTGCTACAGTTTCTGCGCAAGAGGAGGACTTGCGTAAATCACGTCAAGAGGCCTCTGATTACCAGAATCTTTGCCGCCAAGTAGAGAAGGTAATAAAGTAACTGCCAACAGTTGTCAAAAGTACAATAGATATGCTAATGTAGTATCGTTTGTTTCTTGGGCTTTTGTGTAAAATGAAAAGCCTGTTGTATAAATTCCATTATTATCTGTGATTTGAGCAGGAATTGAATGAACTAAAAGATAATGAACAGCAAATGAAGCCTAAGGTGAGCTCTTCTGGAGGATTTATATTCATCAGTATTTCCAATTAACCATTATTACATAAAATATTCTTTTGTTAATATTTATGATATTTACCTAATACATTGTTCCATTTTGTACTTTATCATCATACAATGTCAACTTTCATGGAGAAAGCATTGTATATTGATAATAAACCTTTATATTGAGTTGCCCTATTCTGATGTAATCACATTACAAATAGTTTTAGCAAACTAGTTTGGTTGACCATGTTTTCAGAAATAAAGATATACTATGCCCATTTGCTCAAAGCAATTTTTATTGTGCTACTCACGTGTGAATTTCAAATTTCTGGGCTTTATCTTTTCCTCTTTTCGTAGGAACATGGTAGTGGTAAAGTTCTTTCACTCTATTGCATAAACTGAAAGGTAACAGTAGATAATTTTTTAGTAGAGGGCCTTTACTGGAAACAGCATTGGAGTGGTCATCTGGTTCTCAAATAGCCATTATTCGGACTAACGGACTAGTGTGTGCACATTCACGTACACAAATGTCATTTCAGTAGGATACTTGTCCATTAGTTTGGTGTAAGATATATCATCTTTAAGATTCATTTAGACACGAATGATACAATGTTGTAATTGTTGGAAGCCTTGAGAGCATTACTATCATCTGTAATGATTATGAGCTGTTGGATTCATTTTTTCCGTATACAAGCAGAGGGGCAGAAATGATTGCACTCTGTGTGAATTTTATGTTTATCATCTGTATGTTGGCAAATTGTTGTGACATACAAGTTTTGGTTTCCACTTATGCAGAGAACAAAAGTAATCTCTGATCTGCTGATATCTGTTTCAAAAGCAGAAAGGCAGGAAGCAAGGTTGAAGGTACGACAGGACTCTTTGAGGCTTGGAAATGTGGGTGTAATCAGGTAATGCATGCATTTCTTTTAGCTTCTATACTTAGTGCTTCAAAAGGGTAGTGCTTGGGGGATTTCCTCATCTATGGGTTAAAAATTTCATTGGATCCTCTCATCCTAGTCATTCCATTTTTCTTTAAAAATATTATACAAATCATTTTCTCTGTTCATTGCAGAGCTGGAACTGTCATATCTGAGACATGGGAAGATGGGCAGGCCTTGAAAGATCTCAATGCTCATCTTGTATGTTCTTATAAGAAATTTCTATTTTAAACTTTGTTTTGTCATGCCAGCTTATTATTTTTATGTCTAGTCACAGTGAATATTTCTACTTTGAAAAGGTTCGTGGAATAAACCAGAACCAGGACTCGTTAGAATTTTCCCCAGCAACTAACTCTAGGATTCCGGACTACATATTGAGCTCTACAAGATATTAGGTTCTTAGTACACTATTAATTAAAGAATCTTTTTCCGATTGAAAAAATTTTCAAAGCCTTGTTTAGATGTCAGTTTCATCTCACATTTTATGCACATCTTGGGCTTTCAGATATCAGTTATGTACTTAGTGTAGCATTTCTGTACATGTACTATGTTCACTGTATTGGAAGTTTCTCTAAAACTCATTATCCGGAGACTTCAGTTTCTTTCTCTTAGTAATGCAATTCACAAATTTCCACCCAAATTGTTGAAGGTGGGCAAGCATTTTAAAAAGGCATTGTAGTCTCAAACAATGTAATCTTAGTCTCCCAGGTTTTTATTATACTGTTTTTGAGTGTATCTATAGAGCTTCCACACCAAAAAGAGAGGACCACACTTTCTTTTATCGCTACAAATTCTGTCTTTTTAATTGATTAATGATCTTTGCACTTGTTTCTAGATCCGTTTTAAGATAAACATATGGCATTTATTAACATGGGTTTTTTAATTTTCTAGAGACAATTATTAGAAACTAAGGAGGCTGTTGAGCGGCAGCGGAAGTCATTGAAGAAAAGGCAAAGTGGTAAAGTTATTATGCATCGACTGTTCTTATTACATTTCCTTTTTCAGTTACTTTTGGTTTATACAATGATCCAGGAATTTTATTATTTTGTGTCTGGTGGATTTACTCTCTCTCTCTCTCTCTCTCTCTCTCTCTGTTGATTTCCTGTTTGTCTTGTTTTGCATAGGACAATTGTTTTGTCCTGGTATGAAGAATAAATCTATCAAAGTTTAATATCTTTAGTTGTCATTCTCTTGAGTCCTATAAAGTTGCTATACATGTTGAAATATATATATATATATATATATATATAGGGACATTCTCCAATAAGTATTTAAGTTAAGGATTGGTTACTTCTAATCTCGGCCGTTGGATTGCATCTAAGAGACTACCAACACATTTAATGAATGCAAACCAATGGCCAAAATTAGAATTATGTGACCAACCCTTAACATAAAATACTTATTGGAGAATCTCCCTCTCTCTCTCTCTCTCTCTCTCTCTCTCTCTCTCCACACACACACAAAAGAAAAAAAGACTAGTCATCCTATTTTCCTTGAAAATATGAATCTCAAACTTGCATCAATTTGTAGTCTTTGTGAAGTGGAGTAGTCATTTTCCACTTTTTAAATTGTGATTTTCGTTTCCTAAAGATAAGGGAGATGGAGTTGATGCTGAAACTGGAGTACAAGAAGAATTTCTAGTCCAGGATGAGATCTATAAATCCCGTCTAGCCAGCATCAAACGAGTAAGTTTTCTAGTTTGTCTAATTTAGTTTTTTCCATCTTTTTATTTTTATTGGGAAGTCCTTGTTTTCTCATTTGTTTGTCTCTCAACTTATGGACTTCTATAGGAGGAGGAAGTTCTCCTGCGTGAAAGAGACCGCTATGAACTGGAGAAAGGAAGGCTTATACGTGAAATGAAACGCATACGAGATGAGGATGGTTCCCGTTTTAACAATTTTCAGATTCTCAACCACAGATTTGCGCTCTTAAATCTTCTTGGCAAAGGGGGATTCAGTGAAGTTTACAAGGTCGGAACTTTGTGAAATGTCGTTTAATAATTATAAACATTTCAACCAATTTTAAGTAAAGGTCTAGACAATTCATTTGCCAATGTTGGCAATTGTAAAGAAATACCTTTTTGCAGTGATTTGAAGTAAGAACTTTCCAGCAGGCATTTGACTTGGTAGAGCATAGATACGTTGCATGTAAACTTCATGGTTTAAATGCTCAGTGGAGTGAAGAGAAGAAGCAGAGTTACATACGGCATGCAATCCGGGAGTACAATATTCACAAGACCTTGGTGCATCATCACATTGTCCGGCTTTGGGACATTTTTGAGATTGATCAGAATACATTCTGCACTGTATTAGAGTATTGCAGTGGTAAACTATACTCTCACCATTCTGTCCTTTGAATGATATTAGTTACTTTTATTCTAAGAGGAAGATATTAAAAATTAGCAACAGTATAGAATTCTTGTCTCATTTTTTCTTCATATTCTTTTTGGTTTTATTAATATTTCCTTTTCTACCCTCAGGGAAAGATCTTGATGCTGTCCTTAAAGCAACACCTGTGTTGCCTGAGAGGGAAGCTAGGATCATCATCTTTCAGATATTTCAAGGTCTTATATACTTGAACAAAAGAACACAGAAGATTATACATTATGATTTGAAGCCTGGAAATGTTCTATTCGATGAACTCGGGGTTGCAAAAGTGACTGATTTTGGTCTTAGCAAGATAGTGGAGAATGATGTTGGATCCCAGGGTATGGAACTTACATCCCAGGGTGCTGGAACTTATTGGTAAGTGATGCAAATAAGCTTATGCACATGTGCAGAATTACATTTTCTTTTAGAGGAAAAAAGTTCAGCTTCCCTTAGGCATTTGAGACGTCCTTATGTTTGAACTTATATTTATGTGATTCTGTTGATTTTAAATCATCGATGTGCATCCTGCTTATTTTAGTTGTGCCATTTAATATATAAAGTTCATGTGAAAACTACTTTTACCTCTACGATCTTTGAAGTTTTTGTGCGTGATAGCTGTCATGCTAGTTTAGTTGGGAAGAACGACCGGAAAGCATAATTCAGTTGACTTAAAGCTTTGTTCTGTATTCCAGTGGTTTTCTTCTGTCTTCTTCTCCTTGACATTTGACTACATTTGGTTTGAATAGCAGCATATTTGATAATTCCTTTGTTATTTGCAGGTATTTACCTCCTGAATGCTTCGAGCTCAGCAAGACACCTCTTATATCATCAAAGGTCGGTGACTTCTTGTAAATGTGCATCTCCTTGTGATAGCTGGGCAGCATGTATATGCAGCAAATAGGCCAAATGCATTTCTATTGCATTTCTGTTGATAGATAACTTTTCTTTTTTGGCTCAATATTGCTCTAGAGCATGTAAGTGGAGTCTTTTACTAGACTATTGATATGATTGGTGTCCCTAGAGTCTTCTTACTTAAAAAGAAAGCTTATTAGAAAGCCAAACTCTTTCACTTCACCTTTATTCTTCTCAACTAGGGTACCAACATTTTTTGACATGGTCTCTCTTGGAAATCAGGTTGATGTTTGGTCAGCAGGTATTCTACTATACCAAATGCTATTTGGCAGACGCCCTTTTGGGCATGATCAAACCCAGGAACGAATACTACGGGAGGACACAATTATTAAAGCACGAAAAGTTGAATTTCCTTCTAGACCTGCCATCTCAAATGAGGCAAAGGTGAGTTATGCCTTTAGTTCATGCAGCATGTTTAATTTTTCTTGCTTGGACATAGTTGGTTCTTTGGAAAGAATGTATGATAGCATTTGAACTCAAGCTCGTTAGGTGCAATAGAATTGCTAATGTCATTTAGTTGCCCTTAAACAAGATACTATAATAGTGTTCACGGCTTTCCCTATTCATTGATGGACATTTGAGGAGAATTCTGAGCAGCTTGAGATACCATTTCGCATATTTCTCTTCGCAGGATTTTATTCGACGCTGTCTAACATATAATCAAGCAGAGAGGCCAGATGTTTTAGCAATTGCTCAAGATCCATTTCTCACATACTCGAAGAAGTAAATAGGAAGACCCAAGAGCTAGCTCCCACAAAATTTTGCTTGTTTTCCTGCAATACCCACAATGAATTTTGTACAGCTTGTAAAGGTTTGTTACTCATTGTAGCTGTGGTGTACTCCCCTCGTTGGGTCTTCAGGTCTTGTATTTTAACCTCATGCTTGGGTAGGGTGCAGGAAAAAAGTGTGTAATTTTGGCTGCTTGCCTATTAACTTTTTTTTTCTTTTTCTTTTTGTTCGTTCAGCATAGTTATGTGTCTGATTTATCCATTTTCCATCATGTATTGGCACTCTACTTTTTGGGGAAAAAAAAAGAAGCGAAAAGAATAGAGTTTACATGAAAAGGACTCTGAAGCTTCGTTAACTCTTATACAGATAGATGCTGGGGAGAAATATTTTTGTTTTCCCCAAGAATCAGTTGCTCCTTGATCCCAAAACGATTTATGGATAAATTGAATTCCATTGTTATGAAGCATCTATATTCAATAAGGAACAGTGGATTTCTTTGGCAAGCTTAAATCAAAGTGAAGGTGATATGTTTTTTTATTTTTTTATTTTAAAGGCAGCGATTTATTTTTAAGCTGTCAAAGGCAGTCAGTTTGAGGGTCTGTTTGCCCATCAAGTCTGCCCTGTTTGTGGTTAAGGTTTCTTATCGAAATAAGAGGAGAGGGTACAAAGTTTCCAGAATAAATGAAAATCAAGAGAAGATTTTTACCAACGTGCATTTTTCATTATGCTTTATTTATTTATTATTTCATTTTTTTTGGGGGTCAGATCCATTATGTTACGCTTGTTTGTTTGCGAAGGTTTGCTTTTTTACCCTAATTTTTATTATGTCTTGGTCATGTAGATTTACATGTGGTTGAATAGTAGTGGTGTATACAGAGAGAGAGAGAGAGAGAGAGAGAGAGAGCCACATAAATATTATCCCCATAATATCAAATATTAGACAAAGAGACCATAATGGCATTATCCTTGTCTTCCACAACTGCAATTACATGCTCCAAGCTCCATGACAATTCAAGCCTTCAATTCAACACCTCAAACACCTACAGACGAAGTCCAAATGCAGTGAGCGTCAAATGTGCATCGACAGAGCCACCGGCAGCAGGGGCCGGATCGGCGGGGAGGAAATCCAAGCTTGAGATAGGCTCTCCTATCATCGTAGTTGAGGCTCCAAGAATGATAAAAACCGCGGCATCGGTTCCATGCCTCAGGGTCAACTCCGGCTTGGTCAAACCCGGTGATGTTGGAAGGTACACTTTCCTAATCCCTTGTTTAAATAATTTGTATTAATATTGTTAAGTATGACTAATTGTGTGTGTGTTTTGTGTGACTTGGTTTGTTTGGTGGTGCAGAATTGTGTCAAGAAAGCCTAAGGATGTGTGGGCAGTACGGCTTTCAATTGGCACTTATCTCATTGATGGCAAATACTTCAAGCCCTTGGAGTTAGAGCTTGACTCATAGATGTTGTATTTTTACCTACTCATTTCATAGTGCCACAAATCTCTGTTTTAATTCCTTTTCCGTAATGTTAATGGAAAACCCTCTGAGGCTCTTCCTAGTACGCCGAAAAAGAAGAAGGAATATTTACTATTCTTCATGTCCTAAATGTTCTTCCCTACCTCGTGCCTTTGGCAGTTAGATTTGATAACTTTGCAACAGTGTATACCAGTCTTATTTAATACAAGTTGTTGCCCTTCAATTTTAGTCAAGTCCAAAAGTGTCATGCAACCCAAATGACCGAGTTGGTTAGAAAAGCCCAAATAGTTTACGACGCTTAAGGGAACCCGACATACTATGACACTAGGCACATCATGTCATGCGAGGTTCACATGAACATCTGGAAAAGAAATAAATTTAAGGACTAATGACAAAAGACACCATGCTGGTTTAGGGTCATTCTCAAATTGGACCCCATGATATCAATTTTATCAATTTACTCCCTTACGTTTTCAACATCGTCCAATTTCATCCTTCCGTTAAGTTGACTAGACGGTCAATCGTTAAATGCTGACCTGGCACCCGTGGGACCCACCCCACCAACGCTTTGACCATTCCGCGCATGCCAGTTGAAGGGCAGTTTTGGGTTTCGACAATTCAAAAAAAAAATTCGAAAATCGCGCCCGAATTGGGCACGCATTGCCAAAGCTGGAGATCGAAGAAAAAGCCCCAAATTCGTCCTCAACTTGTTTGGGCCTAAAACAAATCCATGCGCCGGCCCATCTTCACAAAGAAAGGCCCACAAAACAGAAAAGAATAAAGGACTGGGCTTTGATTCCCAAAAAAGCCCAATCCACATAAGAGGCCCATGTCTTTTACGAAGTGGCAAAGTTGTAAAAAGCACGAAGTAAGTCAATAAAATCGCCAAATTAAATGGCAATTGACCACTAAGCAGATCGATAAAAATCTAAAGGAGAATTGGATTGGGCCCAACTTCTAAATGCTCACCATTGATCTCAAGCCCAGGGTACAAAGTCAGCAGACTTTTAAAAGTCTATTCACAAAGAAACCCACGTGACTACCTGACTTTGAAAAAGCCAACAATTTCAACTATCACAAGAGAGGTGATAGGGAATTAATGAAGGTAGGTCATTGCAGGAAGACTTTTCCAATCTTTATAGTGAAAGAAGAAGATCAAGATCCCTTTTTATATACAAAGAAAATTCTGCATCAGAGCACTTATCATTCCCAATGGATAAGTAGACTACATTTTCTAAAAAGATAAGTAGGGAGCAGGGAGTGGTTCATCTGGAAAATCAAAACTAATCATCACGGAAGATTAAACTCTTACAAAGACCAATTAAAGATCAAAAAAGGGATTAGGTTTTCTTTCAAAAAGAGTAGAGAAATGATCACCATAAATAACTGACTATTGATGGTTTGTCTGCCAGAATAGATAAAAATCCCATTTTATTTGACATTTAAAATAAAAGATCTTGTTTTTAGAAAATCTGCCGCCCATTATTAAAAAATTCGAAATCCCACTCCAGCATTTTTTTATAAATATGAGAGAAGATGATCATATCAAAAGGACAACCAAAAAATCAATCAAAAACAAAAAGCTCAAAATGATCACTTGATCTCATAAACCTTCAAAACACTGAAGCCACCAAAGTTCATTGAGCCACAACAAACAAGTCAGCTAGAATTCAAAATCTCTAGAGTCAGTTCAGTTTCAGAGAAATAGTCATACAAAGCAAGATTTTTCTTGTTACAAATTTGGTTCAGCATAAACCAAAATAAGCAGAGTTCAGGTTTTACAAATATGAAAACCTCAAAAAATTTATGAAGAGCCTTGATCAAGCAAAACAGGTACTACAGTGCAGTTTCAGCTCAGTAAATCATCAAATCCAGCCACTTCTGCCCCCTCCAGACTAAAGAGGTTCCAATTCTGCCCGTTCAAAAAGCCTTCCAGGGCTTGAAATAGATTAAAGCTCTACCAAACTCGAACGTTGGTATCGATTTATAGCTGAAACTTGACAGCTGAAGGCGTTGATAGTCCAGACCAGCACGGATACATCCAATCCAGTCCGAATCAAAAGTAGCTATCCAGGCAGAAATTGAAGTCCAATGCTCTTTTGTCTTTTTAGAGTTGGTCTTTCCTCTTTTAGCTTTGTAAAGGGTAGTTATGCTTCAAAACAGTTCACTTTTTTTGTCATTTATTCTGGCCAGAACTACCAGTTTTGTACTGTGAAAAATTGTGAAGTCCTCACCAGTCTGAGGCAAAGAAAAGAACTTACTTGGGAGATATTCCTCACCCAAATTCACAATCGCTTGTTTAGAAATCACTAACTTGGGGCGCAAATTATCCATTTTTAAAGAAGTCTACTAGGGTTTTTATTGCTAGCAGTGACACACTCATACACAAAAGAAAGTTGACTTGTTGACCAGTTAATGATTTTCAAGACAATGCGAAACTTTACCCTACCATCACAGGAACAAATAAAAAACGGGTGAACACAATCTCAGTTTAACCTAAATCCTATATCTCCATAGCTGAGAGCTCAGATCTACGATTTCGAAGAAGTGAGCCACCTAAAAGGTGTATTCGAGTGTATTGGCTCCTTAACTCAGAAAACGAAGGAGAAATGGAGCATAAGGCGATGGTGTGTTGGTGTGGTAAGAATGCGACAATCCGAACCTCGTGGACAATTTCGAATCTTGGGAGGCAACTTGCTGTGTATGCAAAGGTAAAAAACTGGATTTGGTGCAAAATATTTGATTTTGAATTGTAGCAAGTGCAAATAATAATTTACATAATGGGTTTTGTGCAAGGTAAATGAGGTTGTGATTTCTAGGTTTGGTATGATGTGGAAATGTGTGAAATAGCTTTGTTCCCACATTGTTGCCTTCAGTAGAGGCGTCACCTTGTTTCTGTTCCTTCAATGGGAGTAAGGTCAAAATATCTTGCATTAAATTTGTGGTCGACAATAAGTTACTGAAAAAATAAATATATTTCGGTTCGTTACCACTAGGGTTGCAGGAACATATGTGGGGTGTAGTGAGTAATTTTAATTTTAATTTTAAATATTTTTTTGTCCTTAACGGTAATTATGTACAAGGGTAAAATATGTTATTTATATTTAAAATTAGTATGGGGTGCAAAGAGCAAATAATGGGGTGCCAATAAAATCACCCATCAATACATAAGCTTTAAAAAAAGGGAAATTCTATATGAACCCCATTATTTGCTCTTTGCACTCCATAATCTATTTACACCCCACTGAATTTTATTAAAATTTCAAATTACTCACTATACCCTATTTTTCTTCCTAAATTGCCTTTATGCACCTCATTCCCTAACTTACTGTGTAAACTCTATCCCATATCATACACCACCCATCAAAAACCCGCTTCCCTTTTAGACACACCTCATCTGATATCAAACCCCACCCCATCCCTTATCAAGCCCCACCCATCGAAAATTCCCTCCTCTTGCAAACACACCCCATCAAATTTACAAAAAGCTCCACCGCACACCCCATCCCCTTTGAAACAGAGCCATCGCATAACCCATCTCTGCAATCCCCAACGCACAACGCATCTCTGCAAACCCTAACCCATCGCACAACCCATCTCTGAAACAGAGCCATCACACCCACAGCCAACCCCAAACGCCTCACCCCGTTGCAAACTACCATTGCCTCAGCCATTGCAAACAGCCATCACCAATCTGTCAAGTTTTCACAAATCCTTCGAACAGCTAAGGTTTGATTTCAATTTTGATTTCTATATATTTATGTTTCTAAGTGTTGATTAAGCCTAGTTTTGATTTCACTTTTGAAAAGCCAAAGTCTGATTTTAATTATTGATTTCAATTTTGTAGGTGTATGGTTTGAACATGGTTTTATGAAACTGGATTTTCGTTTCGGTGAATTACCACCAAATTGGTTACATTGCTTCAGTGGTAGTCCACCAAATTTCAACCTGAAATTAATTTTACTTTCAGTGGGTTACCATCGAAATCGTTACCGTGTTTCAGTAGTAGTCCACCAAATTTGTCAACCTGAAACGAATGTATTTCAGTTTTTCAGTGATACTCCACCGAATATGTTTTCTTTTTTCAGTGATAGTCCACCGAATTTGTTTTCATTTTTCAGTGATCATCTACCGAATACGTTACTAAGTGTGTACTTAATATTGTTCTTTTAGATATGAAGAGGACTCGCAGAGGTACTACTAAGGCTTCATTATCTCGACTTAATAGACAACGTCCCACAGCCTCAACGAGGAGACAGAGAGGGGCTCCCCAAGATCACTTTGAGGATACTATAGAGGTTGAAGATGTAGCTCCTACTCATGATAGTAATGTTGAGGTACATGTCAAGCTTACTGAGCCATCTCGAGTAAGTCCCATTGATCCATCTTTACTTACGAGTTTTAAAACTCACATAGCAACTGCAATTTGGAATAATTGGGTAAGTCATTTTACTGTGACAATAGAAAGTATAATATAAGTCTAGTTCATGGTAATTAACCTAAATATATATATATATTTATTTAACTAGGAACGTGAGCCCATTAGGTGCTTGTCGAAGATATCTACCCTTCGTGAATGGAATTAGTGGTGTAATCCAAATAATGGTATATTGAAAAGGTACATTCAGAGGTCTGGATTAGAATAACTTATTAGATGTTCTTATCAGAATGCAAATAGGATTGTGGTATCTACATTCGTTAAGAGGTGGAATCCCGTAACAACACTTTTCACATGCCTTTTGGTGAGATGACCATCACATTGGATGATGTGTCATCTATAATTTTTTTCTTCACTTTTTTACTCAGCTTCTCCCTCTATGGAAATATTCCATATCTTGATCAATAATTGGACACTTTTTTTCCGAACCTATCACATTAATTAATAGTGGCAATGCAACACGAAGGAGGAAAACTAAACAAATATGCTAAGTGAATTACCTAACTATCTCTTTTTGTTCTAGAACCCTTTTTTGTCTCCCTCCGACAACTGTCGGACAGTGAAAGCTCTCCATCTATTTAAACTCCTATTCCCTCCCAATTTCAACACTTTCAACTCACCTTACATACAACAAAAACCTTATCTCATTTTTTCTTCACTTTTTTACTTAGCTTCTCCCTCTATGGATCAAAATATTCCATATCTTGATCAATAATTTGACTTCTTTTTTTTCGAACTTTTCACATTAATTGATAGTTGCAGTCCAACACGAAAGTGGAAAACTAAACAAATATGCTAAGTGAGTTACCTGACTATCTCTTTTCGTTCAAAAACCCTTTTTTGTCTCCCTCCAGCAAACGTTGGACAATGAATGCTCTTCATCTATTTAAACTCTCATTCCCTACCGGTTTCAACATTGTCAACTTACCTTACATACAACAAAAACCTTATCTCATCTTTCTTCACTTTTTACTCAGCTTCTCCCTCGATAGATCAAAATATTTCATATCTTGATCAATAATTGGGCACTGTTTTTCCCGAAGCTGTCACATTAATTGATAGAGGCGGTCCAACTCGAAAGAGGAAAACTAACCAAATAAGTGAGTGTCTTCTTCACTTTTTTACTCAACTAGGCCTAGGTAACATTTTGATGAAATCTGGCTCACAACTCACAAGGCACCCCCACCTGTATGCATCCAATATTTTTGGTGTATACTCCAACAAATATAAGTCATAAGTAATAGTAAGTGTCCCGCATCACAACATAAATACATTAAGTTTTTACATAACGTAATTAATGATACAATGCAGTTTGTCTAGAAATCATAGCTTAAAAATAAAAGCAACAATAACATATTACAAACCAATGGTCTTGAAATGATAACTTAATAATAAACTAAATAATAATGTCTTAATTATTATAATATATTTTTCTTTCACCACATTGGTCACGCATGCACTTGAAAAACTAAAACAACCTTTTTTTCAGTTGCTGTCCAGATAAAGAAAAACTAAAACAAATATGCTAAGTAACTACCTGACTATCTTTTTTTATTACCAACAATTTTCTATCTTCAACCTTGAGATCCTGCTCAGCCAAGAGATTCTGTTGGTGAAGCTGTGGTCCATGTATATGGATGGGTGCTTACAAATTTTGGCTTTGTCTTTATTACTGAACCCTTTGATGTCTTTGTCTTTTAATACTTTGACTGTGAATCCATGTGGCGCCAACTCCTCCTTTATTGTCGCCAAGAATTTCTGCTTGGTGTATACTACTTTGTTTGTCCATTCGAACTCATGAGCCAGCCTCGCCAAAATTTGTAAGCGCTCATCTTGATACATGGACCATAGCAACAACAAATTATCAACATCATAAGCGTTCCATACAATGAGGGGAGGTTCATGTCCCGGTATAAAGAACCTTTTGACTTCTGTGAATCTCGTGTGAGTCTGGGCGAAGGCTTGACTAGTTTTTTGAAAAGGATTGGGCTCTGGATTAGTTGATGAGGTACTATTTGATTTTTTTTGTGCTCTCAACCGGTTTGATATCATGCCCTTTTTCTCTTGTGAGCACAAGCTTCACTACTACATTTTACAGTTTGCGCGACGAAGATATTTACATCGCGCAAAGTTCACTTTAGTTGCAAAAATTTCAGCGCAACAAGAAATTCGTTGCGCCACATCCGTCGCGCGAAGATCATGAAGAAAGATTTTGCGCGACCAAGAATTGTCATTGGTCGCGCAAAACAAAGCGACAGTTAACCTTCGTTGCACAAAATGTTTAGGGATGACATAAATCTTCGTCTCGCAAACCTTTGCGCGACGAAAGAATGTTCGTTGCGCTGACCTTGTGTGACGGGATATGTTCGTTGCGCAGTTCGTGTCGCAACCAACTGCGCGACGATTTCTTTTCGTCGCAAAAATCGTGTCTCAAACAATTGTGCGACGACACATGTTTCGTGTCGAACAAGCTTTTGTCGCGCATTTCTATTTAGTGAGATGAAGGACTAAAATATAAAAAATTTTTTGAATTGGTGCAACCAAAAGTGTTTCGTTTTTTATTTAAATTTAATTTTTTCGTTTCTTTTATTTTGTAAAAAAAATAAATTTGGTTTTTTTTTTGCAATAAAATAAAATTGCATTCAAAAAATGTAATGAAGAGAAAAAAAATGTTATAAAATAATATAAGTGTAATTACAAGAGAAATTGTTAAAATGTAATAAAAAAATAATAAACTAATCGAATAATGTTCCAAAATCAACGTGGTCGTCTGGGAGATTCGGCTCGGAGGTCTGGGCATTGTCGATAGGGGCAGAGGTCTGGGGGCCATGCTTGGGTTGGGGGCCATTACTTTAATTAGTATTTAGTTTTTAGTATTATTTATTTAGTGAAGAATTAGTATTTAAATATTTTAAGTTATTTATGAAATGACTGAATAAATAGTATTTAATTCTTTTATGGACTTGAAAACCTATTTTTAATTTTCAAAAGTATTTTTAAAATAGTTTCTATTATTTAAAAATCCAGGAAACTTGTTTGAAGTAGGCAAAAATATTGTAAAAACTATTTTAGTATTCCAACAATTGATTTTAGCCTCCAAAACCCAAAATCCAAGTCTCAAATTAAAAACTCTAACTTCTAAACTTGTTCCAACACTATTCTCAAGTCTCAAACCCTAACCATAAGCCTACTCTAGGGCACTTGTGACTCGATTACGCTTGGATACTCACGTAACTTGACTTAGCATTTTACGATTACGATTTTGTTCTCAATGCACAACGTAACCGGACCTAATCCGAGTTGATTGAGTACACCTTTATGTAGACAATTATATGAAAATAATATTTTTCATTTTAAACAGTATAGCCGTTTTTTAAATATAGTCGAATCTTTTGACTCAACACTGTATTTATATTCGGACCTAAGCCTAATGTGGATGAATTGTGGGTTAAATCACAAATCGACTCAACACTTTATTTATGAAATTTTAATTTTTACACTACATCAAGCAACTTGATTACTTTTTTAGACATTGACTATGTCAAATTTACTAAAGTTAAATAGTTAATTTACTCACGTTATAATATGTGTATTTATTTATATCGCAATGTAATATTTTAACACGTAAATTAACCGAATGACACACTTGTAGGGTCCTAATAATATAATTTCATAATATTTGTTCTTTAAATGAAAAACTCCTCATAATACTCATGAGTTTTTGTGATTTATAAATATGGTATGCTCGACGAATAAGCCTACATTCCTCATTATAGTTTTTGTGTTGCGCGACGGCGGATATTTATCGTCACGCAAGGTTATATTTGCGCCTAATAATTATCTTATCTTGCGCGACGCACTAGATTCCCTTTGTTGCGCGACGAAAAAAGTCGTTCGTCGCGCAAGGTTATATTTTCACGTCATAATTATCGATTCTTGCATTGTTGCGCGACGAAAAAAGTCCTTCGTCGCGCAAGGATATATTTTCAAGTCATAATTATCGATTCTTGCGCGACGCACAACAGTTTCTTCATTGCGCAAAGATGTGTTGCGTGACGAAAACAAGTATACGTCGAGCAATGTTATATTTTCACGTCATAATTATCGATTCTTGCATTGTTGCGCGACGAAAAAGGTTCTTCGTCGCGCTAGGTTATATTTTCACGTCATAATTATTGATTCTTGCGCGACGCACAAGAGTTTCGTTGCGCGAAGATGTGTTGTGCGATGAAAAAAGTCCTTCGTCGCAACTAAATTATCAAAACTTCAACTCGAAAGCGAAAATTAGCGCACCATATATGGGGGGGAACATTGATATTTTGTGAGGAACATTGGTATTGTTTTTCTTTTTTCAAGCCTACTCCGCTGTTAATTAAAATAAATAAATTCTATTTCTTCAAAAATATAAACTCATAATCTGATTCAACAAAATAGAAATTAAATAATGGTACATCATTCATTGGAAGGGAATTTGTAGCTAAATTAAAATTTGAATTTCAATATACATTTTCGCTTGTTTTTATAATTGCGAGGGTTTGCAACTTTTATGATAGAACATTTGTCCTACATATATATCCTCAAAGTTTAACTCTTGGGTTTTTAAAAAATAAAAATAAAAAAGAAACTTTGTTTGATAATCTTCAACAACACAATAAACATTTAAACTCCAAAATTTAACTCTTGTTTTCTCTGTTTTCATATAAACATTTAATTCTTCACGAAACAAAATATATATAACTTTTTTTTTATGTGGCACACATGAGGCCAAAAGGCCCGAAACAGAAAAGCTAAACTAAGGTGTCTCTTCATATAGGCATATTTTTTTAACAACATAAAGGGGGGGTTTTCTTTATGTAATAACATAATAATGAACTTTCTCCTATTACAAAAAAAACTTTTTAATTAACTTTATGACTTGCAATGACAAAGTTTGACCTCTTGAGAAAAAGGAGGAAAAAATCACATGGGCTGTAGCCAAGCGTGGAACAAGGCCATGATGGATGGATTCTTCATTTAATTTTTTCAATTTTTTCATGAATGTTTCAATTTTTTGTATTCTTTCAATTTCAATATTTTCAACTCCAAAAAGAGAAAACCCTAATTCTTATATTCATAAATACCACTTAAAATCAAATAGTCATATTCAAATGTGTTTTCAAATTTAGGTAAATATCTACATTTCAATCTATATATTATATGACTTATTTTAATTTGTGATTGCCAATTTTGTGTGCAACTTGATTTTAATTTGTGATTGCCATCTTTACACTACCATAATTAAAATAAATAAAAATTAATTTACTATGTTTTACATGGGTAGTCACTAATAAATTGCATTATTCATCATCTAAACTATAATCACCTTCGTTATCGTTGCTATCATCACTTTCGGTCTCCCAATCCTCCTCCTCGTCACTTTCGTAGTTCGGGCCCACTGGAACATCTTATCACGAAAGATCACCGAGGTCAATTGTAATTGACTTAATCAGTACTTTGATTGAAGACACTCCTTGAAGCTGAGTTGGTCAGCGACATTGTTGATGTCATTGTCAGTTGGGTCTAGTTCTGGTATAGCATACACGTTCCTCTAATCCATCTGCTGAACAACTTTCCAACCACTTCCGGCTTTAGGGTCATCTAGATACACAATTTGTTTTGCCATGTATGCCAAAATGTAAGGGTCGTCATCATACCAAGTTTTGTTAATGTTCACTGATAGTAAGCCATGGTCAATTTTAACACTTCCCTGCCTATTTGGGTTTGTATCAAACCATCGACACTTAAACATGATCACTTGGTATCGGTCTTTATAAAGCAATTGCACGACCATTGTGAGTTTGCCATAGAAATCAATGTTTGTACTTTCGCCTCCACCTGGGACATGGACACCGTTGTTTTGCGTACACAACTTGTCATCTCGTGCAATCCCCAAAAACTCGATGCCGTTAACATGGCAACCCGAGAACAATTCAGCCCGAATCGAGCCGAACGCCAAGTTATATAACTCTTCACTGTAAGTGGGGGAATTCGATGATTTCAACTTATTGACCTAATATTATACAAAAACATTCACATGTTAGTTTAAGAACATTGAATAATACAATATATATGTCAAATACAAAACACTTTTAGCTTACAGTTTCCAAAAACTATTGTGGAAACAATTCACGGTGTTTCATGGAATACAAATGTGATGGATGTTCTTGCTTCATCATCTCTTCATGCTCATCTAAGTATGTCATTATCTCATCACAATTGTTCAGTACGAACCAATGAGCTACCTCCATGTCATTTCTGAAAACGACTCTCCTTGTACAGGATCTCCAAAGGGTCGTGCCCTTTGGGCAAAAACAGAAAGTTTTTCATTTCTTACACTTTCGTTATTATTGCGTTGAGGACGATTGAAAACTGTGTCCACATCTAGTAAATACATTCCACAGAAAGTAAGCGACTCATATTGAACCCAAGCCTCTATAACTGATCCTTCGGGCTTCGCCCTGTTGCATACAGTTTTTTTCAGCTCTCCGAGCAGCCTGCAAAAATAAAACGATACAATACAAATTAGCAAGCGTGGGATAAGGATGCATAAACAAATGATGAGGATTATATACCTTTCTATTGGATACATCCAACGATAGTTGACATGACCACCAAGCAATGCCTTTTCTGGCAAATGAACCATCACGTGGATCATATTTATGAAGAAAGCTGGAGGGAATATCATCTCAAACTTGCATAGGACTTGGACAATGTCATGGCGCAACTGATTAATGTCTGTCTTTCGCAACGGTTTTGCTGTCAATTGGGAAAAAAATCTAGACAACAACATGATTGGTTTCACTACGTCTTCCGGTAGAAGGTGTTGAATACCCACAGGAAGTAGGCATTGCATAAACACATGGCAGTCATGGCTCTTTAGTCCAGCAAATTTACCCCCATCAACATTCACGCAACACACGGTATTAGAAGCATACCCATCGGGAAACTTTACAGGCGATACAAACTTTAGAAAATCTTTTTTGTCATTCGGTTTTGTGGAAAAAAAATGCAAAATCCCTTCTAGCTTTATCATTGTCCCTGTTCATCCATAAACCTCTTCGTATGCCCATTCTTTCCAAATCAAGACAAGCTTTATTTCTTGTCTTGCCCTCCATGTCTAAATCGTACCCATCAATGTGTCAAACACATTTTTCTCAACATGCATAACGTCGAGATTGTGCCTCAATTTTAGTTTCGACTAATATGGGAGCTCAAAGAACATAGACTTATGCGTCCAGTTCAAATGTGTAGAAGGTCTGGTCCGACTAACTATTTTCCCGAACGGAGCAAAATCCAAACGGCTAAGTTGTTCCAAGATCTCATCACCAGACCATTCTCTAGGTCTGAGGCCACGCTCTGTGTTCTCGTCGAACTCTTTATCCTTTTCCCGCCACTCGTGATCCCATGGCAACCATCTTCGATGACCAAGATAACAAACTTTTTCGGCATGCCAACCAGAAGTTACATCTTCCTTACATACAGGGCATGCCATATAACCCTTCGTGCTCCACCCAGAAACCATTGCGCACACCGTTTGTCTATAAATCCTTGAGCTCATCAACCAACGGTCTTAAGTAAACATCGATTGACCTGCCAGGATCCTCAATTATCAAAACAGTCATCATCATGTACTTTTTTTTCATGCATTTCCAAGGCGGCAAATTATATGGGAATATGAAAATCGGCCAAGTGCTGTGGTGTTGGTTTAGAACCCTGTACGGATTGAATCCATCAGTGGCAAGTCCCAATCTAACATTTCAGGGATCAGCAGCAAACTCGGGAACATTTGATTGAACTCTTTCCATGCTTCCTCATCTGCAGGATGCCGCATCATATCGTCATCTACCCGTTTTTCCTTATGTCATCCCATGTTTGTGGCAATATGCATCGACATATACAATCACTGCAGCCTAGGTTTCAGGGGCAGATAACGCATGACTTTTTGTGGGATCTTAGTCATTCTATTCTGAGATGTCATTTTGAACCTCAACTCATTGCATATAGGGCATGTATCCAATGTTTCATACTCTTTGTAGAATAACATGCAATTGTTTTTGCAAGCGTGAATTTTTTCATAACCCAATCCAAGACCATTCAACACCTTCTGTGCGTGTTTATAGTCTTTAGGCCAACAATTGTCCGTCAGATGCATTATTTTGAAAACTCCCAAAAAGTAATCGAAACACAGGTTCGACATACGATACTTTATTTTTACGTGTATTAGCTCCATAATGGCCGTGAGAACGGAAAAGCTCTCGCACCCCGGGTATAACTCTTGGTTGGCATTTTTTAACAGTTTTTCATATTGTTCAAACTCTGCACTGTCCATTGGTGTAGGCACGTCATCTTCCCCTTCCTGATTGATGTTGGTCAATACAAATGGAAAAACATTTTTTATAATATCCATGACTTGTTCATTAGGATTCACAATAGGTTCAACATTGTCCACTCTTGTGACATTTGAAGACGAAGCATTGTCTAATTGTTCCCCGTGAAGGTTCCAAATGCTATATGTCTCAATCATTCCATTCATTACTAAATGAAATCCAACATTTTCAATTGTCTCCCACAACGTGTTGTTACACCTTCTACAAGGACAACGGATTTCAGTTGCACCCGGATTGTGTCTACGTGCAAACTCAATAAAATCCTTAATTCCATCCAAGTATTCGTCTGCGCATCTATTCGGGTTCTTTATCCACCTCCTGCTCATAATTTCTGGAACCACAATCACAACACAACAATCACAACAACTTCATACGAAGTTATAATGTCACCTTATGCCTTCGGAATGGGCCCTATCCCATTCGGGAATGCATAGTCATGTTACGTAATTTACGGCTACATGAGATTAGATTTCGACGTGGCTGAATTTCGGCAGCATCTTGATGCAGTTCTTGAGGTGTACCGTAGGTATAAAATACCTATGTACCACCCGAAGAACGTACAGAGATGACACCGAAATGTCCACAATCAAAACCTAATCTTGTAGTCATACAATACGTGACATAACTATGCATTCCCAAACTGTCCAAATAATGGGACAATTCAAGAATTAATTGGACCGCAATCATGCTTTGCAATCCATGCACGAAATTCAACTAATCTCGAACGGGAAACTAAGTTTTAATATAATAAAAACAAAGTACGAAGTTAATTTCAATTAACTTCGTACATCACAACACATTGTGCTACGTAACGGACAATTTAACAACATAATATAAATATAATTTCATTAAAAAAATATAAAACGAATCAAATACCTTCTTAATCGTTTTCCACCAATCTCTAATTACAAATATCACTGAAGACAACGAAATTAATAGCATTAGTATGAATTTACATTAATACTTTTAAATTAACGACTAAAAATACTTACCCAATGAACGTCGTCAATTCCGAGCATAAGCTGAAGTTGAAGCAGATGCAGAGGCAAAGCTTTTTTTTTTAAGTCTGACTTTGCAATGGCAGAATCCATATAATATGAAGAAGGGTTTTGCGCGACGAAGCTATATTTTGTTGCGTTTAGTCACCCAAAATACATTTTTCATCCCGCAAGTTCGTGTCGACATCCAACGTTTGCATGAGGCAAAAAAATTTCGTCACGCAAAAGGCAATTTCTTGTGCGACGATAAAGTTTGTCGTCGACCGAAGTGGTCTTTTGCGCGAGAGTTGTTGTCGCACAAGTGTTTGTCGCCAAATAACATAATTGGCGGTTTTTATCTAACTTTACGCGATGAAAATAAAATTCGTCGTGCTAAGGTCTTTTTCGCGACGATATCTCTCATCGCGCAAGGATTTGGCGCCAAAAAAAAATTCATGCTTTTTTCTTCCTCCCTTTGCTCGACGATGAGATTTTGTGTCACGTGAAGTTTTCTTGCGCGACAGAAAAGTTTTGTCGCACAAGTTTTTCATAGTTTGCGCGACGAATAGATTTTTCCGTCGCACAAGTGTTTCTTGCGCGACGATTGTGTCTTTGTCACGCAAAATATCGTCGCGCAAATAGTAAAATGTAGTAGTGCTTGTTACGGGCCTTTAGGACGTTTTGCCAATGTGTGTAGGTGTTTCTTAACCTTGCTAGTCTTGAATCTTTTGTACCACGCCTATCAATTAACATATGAGGTTTTGTAAAAGTGGCGCCCAATATTTGATGAAAGTATGGAATATCTGGTTCCATTGAGGGAGAAGCAGTGAAGAAGAGATGAAAAGCTGAGTAAAGAAAACTAGAATATTTTGTTGTATGAAGGTAAGAAGAAGATATGAGAAGCTGAGAGTTGTATGGAGGTAAAAGGAGGAGATGAGAACTGAGCAAAGAAAAGTTGAGATTGGGAGTGTGAGGGAATAGAAGTTTATATAGATGGTGAGTTGCAGAGGTAGGTTAATCTGCTTATAGTGAAGCGTGGATGACATTTACAAAGCTACTGTTGTTGTATGTGAGGTAAGTTGAGAATGTTGAAATCGAGAGGCAATGAGAGTTTAAGTAGATGGAGAGCTTTCACTGTCCAACAGTTATTGGAGGGAGACAAAAAAGGGTTCGAGAAGAAAAAGAGATAGTTAGGTAACTCACTTAGCATATTTGTTTAGTTTTCCTCTTTCGGGTTAAACCATCTCTACCAATTAATGTGATAGGTTTTGGAAAAATAGTGCCCAATGATTGATCAAGATATGGAATATTTTGATCCATAGAGTGAGAAGCTGAGTAAAAAAGTGAAGAAAAGATGAGAGAAGGTTTTTGTTGTATTTGAGGCAAGTTGAGAATGTTGAAATCGGGAGGGAATGAGAGTTTAAATAGATGGAGAGCTTTCACTATTCAACAGTTATCGGAGGGAGACAAAAAAGGGTTCTATAACAAAAAGAGATAGTCAGATAACTCACTTATTTGTTTAGTTTTCTTCTTTCGGGTTGGACTGCCTCTATCAATTAATGTGACAGCGTCGGGAAAAACAGTGCCCAATTATTGATCAAGATATGGAATATTTTGATTCATAGAGGGTGAAGCTGAGTGAAAAGTGAACAAAAGATGAGAGAATGTTTTTGTTGTATGTGAGGTATGTTGAGAGTGTTGAAATCGGGAGGGAATGAGAGTTTAAATAGATGGAAAGATTTCATTGTCCAACAGTTGTTGGAGGGAGACAAAAAAGGGTTCTATAACAAAAAGAGATAGTCTGGTAACTCACTTAGCATATTTGTTTAGTTTTCCTCTTTCGTGTTGGACCGCCTCTATCAATTAACATGACAAGTTTTGGAAAAACAGTGCCCAATTTAAGTTGTGATTTTGAGACAAATTGGTTTGTGTTATTAATTATATTATGTGAAAACTTATTATATTTATGTTGTGATTGCTGGAGACTTGGTGTTGATTGCTGGAGACTTAGAATTGGGAAGTGAGACTCCCCTACAGGAGTCGAACAATAGTTCATAAGATGGAAAGAAAAGTAGACAAATAGGTCTGACAGGCGAGTGAAGCGAGTTGTTGGCTGACGTCCCAAGGAGTCTCTATTCATCTTCGTTCAAGGCAGGACGCATTTGATCGAGTGGAGACAATTGTGGAAGTAGCAATCTCTTGCCTCATGAAGGAGATAAGCTTTACATTATCCAGCCTATTTCCTCAACTTCGTCGACCATTGGAACTCCTTTGTAAAAAAACAAGAAGCATTTTGGGTTACATTTCTTACTTGAGTCCCCTATGGCCAGTACAATGCGCTAGTAGCATCTTTTCTAACTCAGCTGAACTAGTTTCAAGGGTTGGATTCCCCCGGATAAGTAAATAAGTCTCCAGCAATCAATACTAAGTCTTCAGCAATCACACCATAAATATAATAGAGGAATGCTAGCAATCTTTTTCTCTAACCTTCTCCTTTAGACCTTCTCCCTTTTTTGCTTGACATGTGTCATTCTCCTTACACTAAAAACAATGTCATTAATATATTATACAAGCTAACTTTTGCTTTCCAAGTTTACCCCTATCAAATGTATTCAATTTATCCAAAAAATTTCACAACTTTCTTACCATTTTATTTTTTATTTTCTAACGTCAATCATCAATAATTTTTTTAAAAAGAAATATCTACTTTTAAGATGAAATGTCCTTTTTTTTCGGAAAAAAAACACAAAGGGTTTAGATAGAAGAAGAAAAAAAAAGTCATTTGTGTTTAAAAAAAAATTATAAAAAAAAAGGACATTTCTTCTTTTTTGAAAAAACCAGACATTTTCTTTAAAAAATAATTGACGTTTTAAAAAAAATATTAATAAGAGGGTAAAAAAGTTGTGAATTTTTTTTGGATAAATTGAATACATTTAATAAGGGTAAACATGGCGAGTGCATTGCATGCGCCAATGGTAAAAAAAATTTGAACTGCGTGCTGACGTCATCCTTGCCAGTTTCCAATGGATAGAAGACACGTGTCTTTGCTTGGGCACTCCGATCTGCTTCTCCTCCTCCAATCTAATAGCTAGCCTTTTCTTGGCAATAAATTATGAACAAAATTTCGAATTTTTTTAAAAAAAATATCAAAAAATTCTGAATTTTTTTTCTATAAATACCTATAAATACCCTTCACTTTCAACACCAATCCTCATACATTTTCTTCTACTTATACTATTATTCACTCTTTACTCAACATTTTATTCTCTTTCAAATTGTATTTTTATTTCTTATCTTTATGGTTTCTTTTATCAAAACTGGAAGGGCATGGAGCACCATGGAAGATGTTTTCTTGTTTGAGTGTTGGGTCCAAATTAGTCATTGTCCTGTGTCAGGCAATGAGATGAAATATTGTCATATGTGGAAAAAAATTCATGCTGAATTTTGTGAAAGAGTTCCGGGGTCGACTTATATGGAAATTGCATTGTCTAGTAGGTGGAAAATTCTCAATAAAGAATTGGCAAAATGGAGAGATGCCTTGGCAAAAGCGAGAGACAACCATATAAGCGGGGAAAATCTTAGTAGCGAGGTAAATATTTGTAATTTTCGTTTTATTAAGTTTAATGTCCTAATATATATATGTATATATATATATATATTTAATGTTTCTTGCATTTTCAATATTTTGTTAATATTGCTTGCATTTTCAATATTTTGTTAATATTTCTTGCATTTCCAATTTTTTCTTAATATTTCTTGCATAAATAATATTTTGTTAATATTTGTTGCATTTCCAATATTTTTGTAAGGTTAATTGCATTTCCATTATTTTTATTTTTATTTTTTATGTTACTTGCATTTCCAATATATTTTAAATATTTCTTGCATTTCCATTATTATTTTTTGTTAATAGATTATGCACGCATAGATGTGGTTTGGTGCAATTGGGCAAGGCAAAAAAACTTTCAACCATCAAGAATGTTGGGAGGTGGTGAAAAATTGCAAACGCTTCAGAATTATTCACACGGGTCTCTCCTATTATGTTAAACGAGACGCCACTCCATGATTCAACGACATCAGATTCACCTTTCGATTCTCTTATGAGTTAAGACTCGCCCATCGAAAAGTTGCCAAGGCCCATTGGCCGAAAGGCTGCGAAGGCAAAGAAATGGAGTAATTCTAGCACTAATACATCAAAAAATTTGGAGGAAATTGCAGGGCAGAGCGCCATAAGAATTGAAATGGAGCTAAAACATCAAGAGAACGAGATGGCAATTCGAGCAGAATATGTAAAAGAAAGGGAGTATTTGCGCAAAGAACACATTGACAAGAAGGATCGGGAAACTATGGTCATGGATACAAGCCATATGTCCCCTGAAACAAAACAATTTTGGAAGCTAGAACAAAGGGATGTTATGAGAAGAAGACTTTTCCGTGATGATGGACCTAGCAACACGGATTGGTTAAATGATCAAAACCATTAAATTAGTTTGCAGATCTTTTATTTATTTGTATTTTTCATGTTTTGTATTAAAGTTGTTGTAATTCATGTATTTTATTTTAATAGTAATTCTTAATGACTTGTATTGACTTTCTTTATTTAATAAACAAAGCATTCAATAAAATACCTTTTTATTCAACATATTCCATACATCAAACAAAACATAATTAAAAGGAAAAACCACAACCAAAGCATAATAAAAAAACAAAAAAAAACTACAACCAAAGCACAATAATAAAAACAAACCACAACCAAACCATAATAAATAAAAAATAATATAACCAAACCATAGCAAAATAATACCTAACCAAAGCATCTATGCTCCATCATTCACCGTCATTGCCTTTCACCTCCCATAGATGCTCCATCAAGTCAACTTGACGCCTTTCATGAATATAAGATGATTGCATCTCTGTATATCGATCAATCATATGGGTCATGAAACGACCATCCCTAACTAACGGTTCCTGCTCCAATAGTTCTCCACTTGGCCCCATGAGCCTTTCATAAATTCTTGTTAAGGCTGTGTTCATGGGATCTGGTTCGTACATGTCTGCAGCATTATAATCATACTCATCATTCACAATCATGTTATGGAGGATGTTGCAAGTCATCATAATGCTCCTCAGCACCTCCTTATCAAACATACACGCCGCACCTCGAATAATCAACTACCGAGCTTGGAGGATGCCAAAACACCTTTCGACATCTTTCATGTATCCTTCTTGATAGGAAGCAAATAATCTTTGCTTCTAGGATCGGGGATTCGGAGTTGATTTGACAAATGTGGTCCACCTCGAGTAGATGCCGTCTGCTAGATAATACCTAGTCTGGTAGATAGTATTGTTGATTTGATAGGTGATATTCGGGGCTTCACCTCTCAAAACATCGTTGAAAACCGGGGATTGACCTAGCACGTTGAGGTCATTTTGAGATCCGCCAACTCAAAGAAGGCATGCCAAACCTATGTATCGAATCCAGCAATGGCTACAAGGATGATACTTTTTTGCCATTTACTATTTCTGTAATCTCCTTGTCAGGCAGTTGGGCAATTCTTCCATTGCCACTGCATGCAGTCGAAGTTACCAATCATTCATGGAAATCCTCGAGCTTTGGCTTTTTGTAGAAGCCGTTGGAGGTCCTTGGGTGTAGGTCTGCGCAGGTAGTCCCTAGTGTACAGAGTTTCGACTGCATCATAAAATCTTATTAAGGCCTCCAATGTAGTGGACTTCCCCATTCGAGCAATCTCATCAATCTGATCAGCAGATGAAGCATACGCCAACATTCTTATAACAGTTGTAAGCTTTTGCTCTGGAAGAAGTCCCAAAATCCTAACAACATCACACTTTTGAACAAAGTATGCATCATAATTGCAAATATCATGCATGACTTTATTGAACAAATGGGGTTGCATTTTATATCGCCTTCGAAAATCAACACCAGAGTACAAAGAAGTTGAGATAAAATAATCTTCCAAAAGATTCTTACCCTGAGAATGCCTATGTTTGTCCATATTCGGGCCACGACGGCGACCTTGGTTCTCTTCATCAAGCAAAGCCACTACTATGACAACTTGTTGATCTTCTTCTCTCTGCAACCTTTGCCTTTTAGCTCGTCTATACCTTCTCTCATTTGTTTCTCGCTCTTACCTCTCCAAGCATCTCCTCATGTCTTCCATTGAGAATGAAGTATGAATTCTAAACTCTGAGAAATGAAAATGTAGAAAAGATGTGGTGTGAGAGGTATGAGCTGAGCCTCTGCTTTTATAGAAAATTTTGGCGAGATAGAGATGACACGTGGCTCGATTTTAGAGGATGAAAATCTTATTTGAAATTTGAAATTTATTTGAATCTTGAAATTTGAAATGTATCTGAAATATGAATTTTGAAATTTATCTGAAATATGAATTTTGAAATGTATATGAAATTTGAACCCAAAAATCTTATTCAGAAATTTTATCCGATTATGAGATATGAATAGTCTTGACACGTAGGAACCTGAAAATCTTATTCGAAAATATCATCCAAATTAATTATTGAGGTAAAAAAATTTGTGGAAAAAACAAAAAAATGAATAGTAATTGTCATTTGCCATGGCAACGGGTGGAAACACATTGCTTTTTGCAAGGATGACTACTATTTATGTGAATAGTGGCTGTCATAGCCCCCACCTTTCTATGGTAAAGGGCAAATGGGCGGAGTTGCTCTAAAGAGATTATGTGGTGCAAAGAGCAAATAATGGGTTTATATAGAATTTCCCTTAAAAATACAGGAAAAAGAAAAAAAAAAGCGCCATAGCCTACAACTAACATGTCATTTTCGATTTTCCTACTTCCGCAACGAAAATTACTCCAAAAAATTTCCATTTCATTTTTGCCGCCTTTCACTTGCCGTCGATCTGTGCTGCAAGTCACCGGTGAGCGCACGCTGGTTAACCTGTGCACCCCGCCTAGGACAAAGAACTTGCGGTCATCCTCTGCTTCTTCACTTCACTCTACTCTGCAGCTCTCTGTGAAGCTCATGAATTGAATTGGCAGCTCTGACTGGTAAGTCCAGTCGCTCTTTCTTCTCCAATGTTTGCCTTAAATTCAGAAGCAATATAGTTTGAAACCCTAGAACTAACTCTGAGCTTTGATTATCTTTTTGTTTTTCGTTATTGAAGCTAATTTAATTTCATAGGGTGCATATACAGTTAGGGGATAGCTAGGGTTCGAGTTCAAAGAGAACTCATTTGTCTCTTCTCCCTCCCTATTTCCACTCGAAGACAAAATTTGATATGCATAGAGGTTCGACCCAAGATGTTTGTGCTTTAGCCCTATTGAAATGCTCTTGTTGTTTTGAGCATACGAGCTAGCTCATTTCTGTCTTCTCCTGGATCTGAACTTTTTGAGCAAAATTATTTGGGACAGTGGCAAACTACTTCCACTGAGCATTGTTTGGCCCTTTTGGGTTTGAATTGATAATTCCCAATTTTGAAGCAATTGCTTCTAGATTGCGGTACAAGTACTTCCACAATGCTAATTATGAAGCCTCTAACTTAGGCTTTGTAATTTGGATAGCAGTTTTAAGTGTATGCGTGTTTGTGCGTGTGTGCGTGGGTTCGTCTGTCTTTTGAACGCAATAACACCCCTATTGATTCTAGTTTCCAGTAATGATTGCTTTAGGTTCATTAATATTCTGGTCTGTGGCCAGAGGGGAATCCTGGAGTTGTCCAATCCTGGCAACCAAATGCACTTATTAGTATATGGCAGTCTCTGATAGCTTTTCTTTTACATTTTCTCACAGAGGTTGGTGAGCTGGTCATTTCAACATGTATATAAAGCAGGTGAGTTTTGGTCATAGGTGGAGTGCTTTCACCTTGCTTTTAGAGCTTTATCTAATATTTTATTGATATCTGGGCTCTGGAATTAGGTTATAATTGAAGGATTTAAGAGCTACAGAGAACAAGTTGCTACTGAGGCCTTCAGCCCAAAAGTTAATTGTGTTGGTACTGATTTCTTTCCGTGCAATTGCTTCTGATGGTTTTTATTTTGAATTTCTACTGGTAGTGTTCTCTTCGTTTGCAAAATTTGTATGTTAAAAAAGCTTATCATATTCTCTTTTTATATAGATTATTGGAATATTCTTTGTAAGATGGATAGAACAATGCAATTAAAACAGTTTAAAGTATCGAATTACAAGTCAATGATTTGCCATATTTCCATTTGTTTGGTTAGTATAGTGATGGACATTATATGAAGATGTGCTTAAGTATCTGATCTAGGTTCTTAAATTTTGTGATGTTAAACAATGGGTGTAAGTTGGAATATCTTGTTTGGCATCTTATTATTTCTACATCACCTTTTTTGGCTTGAATGGCTCAATTGTGTAATAGAAGCTACCCCTCTCCTTCATTCAACCATTCAACAGTAACCTTATTTTGTCATGTATTATGGGTTTTATTTAACTTATGAAATAAAGCAATATCAGATCAGAGGTTCAGTTCTCCTTACCAGGAGTCTTGTGAGGTGTGTGGGCAAATCTTATTTGTATAGAGAGATCATACTGCAAATTTTAAGTTGTATAGTTCATTCATTTTTTACCTTTCCATTTCTTCTTCTAAAAGTATGTCTATATGTACTAGAGATTTTCTTCACTGAAATAAAGTCAATGATATTTCTGTATCTGACTTTGCTTCTTTTGTAACGGTGTGCTCTATTATGTTCGCTAATAAAATTCCATATATATTTCAACGATGTTACTGCAGTTGGTGCCAATGGGTCGGGAAAGACGAATTTCTTCCATGGTAAGTAGCAAGTACTGAATGATGTTGTAGTTGTTTTATCCTTTGGTTGATAGTTTTGTCTGGAGCTGTTAACATTTGTTCTTTGACATTTTGTTGGATTTGAAACATTTTCTTTTGTAGCAATTCGGTTTGTACTAAGTGACCTTTTCCAAAACCTTCGGAGCGAGGATAGGCATGCTCTACTCCATGTATGTCTCTCTAAATGCTTTTTTTTTTTCAGTTCCCAAGCTATTGTGTTCAATCATTTGCTTAATGAACAATTTTTGTTGCAATATATGCCATGATTGAACAGGAAGGGGCAGGTCACCAAGTATTATCTGCGTTTGTGGAGATTGTCTTTGATAATGCTGATAATCGAATCCCGGTAATATTTTTTGATCACAACTTTAAAGTCTGTTTCTGTTAACTTATTTTTCCCTTGTAATAAAATTATGTTTCATACCAAATACTTTTGTTTTTCGCTTGTGGTAGGGGTTCCCCTTATTGCCCTTTTTTTCCTCGCAACATTTCATGAGCTTGATGTTTATTTCCTGAGAAGAATTGCAGTTTCCTCTCACCCCCCACCCCTCCTTCTCCCTCTTCCTTCCCTGCATCCTCTCTCCCTCTTGCCCTCTACATGTATGCGTTTGTCTTTTGCCTTGTGGAAATAGGAACTTTACAGAGAGATGCTACCTTCTAGTGTGGTTTATGGTCATTCAACCCAACATACATCACTTTCAGAGTTAGTTGAGTCTTATGACATATTTTTGTGTGTGGGAGTAGATGTGCTTCTGTGATGCCAAATCATGTTTTTCTTCCCCTTGTTGCATGGGTTGTGTAGATGCTCATGATAGGAGGACCATAATGTGCTTGCACTTGCAACAAATGGTTTTTCTTTAAATATAAATCATGTTTTCACGTTTTCCAAAAGATTTTGGAGCGACAAAGTGACTAGGGTTTACTCTCCGGTCTCTGCTAAGTGGATTCAGTCTTGGTTGATGCTATTATGTGGATAAAGCCTCGATTTTTATCAAGGTTTAGGGATGTAAGGGATGCTATGTCTCTATCTTTGAGAAAGATTTTTCCAAGATATTACATTAGTCTAATCTAGTCATGCTTATTACTTTCTTTTCTATCGGTGAATTGGGGAAAGATTGCAACAGTTAGTTGAGGTGAAAAGGCAAGAAAGAAGAATGTAGTCCCAGGTCTAGATGGATTCAGTGACCGGTTTTCTTTCTATATTTTCTTTTGGCATGTTCGTGATTTGTGTGAACAACCCTGTGCCCTAGGCAAGGCATAACATGCCTATGTCAGCAAGGTTTTTTGGAAAAGGATATATAGAATTATTATTTGTTTAACTGCTTGATTTTTCTTTTTAGCTGTATGTCAAATTAGGGCTGTTAATTTTTGGTTTAACTTTTGGTATTGGAAGTTAAAATACATAGCAATCTTTGGATTAGCGATATATGACTCATGTTGAAAGTGAAGTAATGCCAAAGCAAGTAGTGGTATTTCTTGGCAAAACGTGTCATGCTGTATGGGCAAAACGAAATTGATCCCAGACATCTATAGGTCCTCAGCCTTAAAGCCGTGAAAAGTCCTCCATTGTCCTTCCAACCAAACGACCAAAACGCAAACATCTTAAAACTGTGACAACATTTATTTTTTAATATTATTTTCTATTTCAGTTATTTTATTGGGTGTTTTGGTCTCTACAGAATTTTGGGAAACTGTCTTTTGCAACTTTTTCTAATTGGAGGGCTTCTGTTTTTTAGGAAGCTCCTATTTAATTTTTTTTTTTTTTTTTTTTTTGTTTTGTTTGAAAAGGAAAACAAATGTGAGGATGAAGTTATTTGTGACAGCATTTAATACACGGACCATGTGTGTTCTGCCACCTTGTGACTATCTGGACTATTTGGCCATTTTTTTTTAAATTTTGGGGAGGAAATGATTTTATTTTATTTCCTTAGTGGGTCCTATTATAAGATCATTGTATCTGGGGGAGAAAGGGATTTAAGCAGGGGGCCTTATGGAGGACCAATGTGAGGTTCGATTTAGGTGGTCGATGTAAAAGTATGGCTTTGAATAGTGCATGCCTCATTTTTTTTGTTTGTTTGTTTGTTTTTTTTTCTGTTTCTTCTTATTACTGTGTTACTCTTTCTCTCTTAGTGTAGTTTTGATGTGTTGGTTCCGTGTTTAGTTTAGTTTTAGCAGTGGAGTCCTTGTTCACTATTTTTGTGTCTTTGTTATATTTAATGAAAGTTTTGTTTCCCAAAAAAGGTGGCCATGTAATTAAACCACGTGTTTGGCTTATTTGTCCACACTTGAGGGGGAGTGTTAAGAATATTAAATTCCCACATAGGGCATTCTAAGCATTGCATCTCGATCTTTAAATTGATGAGCCTCTCCATAGTTTCCAATTGGTTTTAGGTCCAACTTTTACGGTTTTCAAATGACCTCTGTTTCTGTTGCTGTTTTATGTGTGTCCCAGTACACACACACACACACACACACACACAAGTAAGGATCTTGCATGCTTGCTTGTATTGACCATCATTTTTTTTGCACAGTTCCAGCTTACTTCTCCACGTAATTAACACCAATTGAGGCATTTGGATTACTTTCTTATATGGGTTATACTTATTTTCACTTTTGCAACACTTCTTGGTAGGTTGATAAGGAGGAAGTGCGTTTGCGAAGAACCATTGGTTTGAAGAAGGATGAGTATTTCTTGGATGGAAAACACATCACGTGAGTGTATATATTTATGCGAAAATACTGAATCTGCTGTCTATTACGTATTTTGATTAATTAACCCTTTTCTATGGTTTCTGTTATGGAATATAACCCTCGTTTCAGGAAAACTGAGGTCATGAATTTGCTGGAAAGTGCTGGGTTCTCTCGCTCCAATCCTTATTATGTCGTGCAGCAAGGAAAGGTACAATTTTTCTAGTTGTTTGGATATCATTGTTATTACCTGGGAAAAAAAACTTCATTGCTATTGTTTTAGTAATAGTATGCTTGAGGATTGACTTTTTTGTTGTTTTTTTGTTTTGACATTTTGTGGACGGTTTCATAGATAGCATCATTGACACTGATGAAAGACTCTGAAAGGCTGGATTTACTGAAGGAAATTGGTGGCACTCGGGTGTATGAGGAGAGACGTCGAGAAAGTTTGAAAATTATGCAGGAAACTGGCAAGTCCTTAAAGGATTGGTTGTTTATGTTTATTATACATGTTTTCTTACAACTTTTTTACTTTGGTAATCAGGAAACAAAAGAAGGCAGATAATTCAAGTTGTTCAGTACTTGGACGAGAGATTAAAGGAATTGGATGAAGAGAAAGAGGAACTGAGAAAGTATCAGCAACTTGACAAGCAGCGAAAATCTTTGGAATACACTATTTATGACAAGGAACTTCAGGATGCTCGCCAAAAACTGGCAGAGGTTAGTCAGTGTTAGACACCGGGCCATATAAAAGATTTGCATCACTTTTGTTTAAATTGCACTTGATAAGTGTTTTTTTCTTTTGTTTATTGTTGTAAACTCTGTTTGTGGATCATAATTGGATAGCATATGGAATTGAATGCGATTTCATGCATTGATAGTAGAATAGAAGAAAAAGGTGATCAAGGCCCTCACTCTTTTTTGTGCTTGTTTCTGGTTATTGTTGTATGGGGAGATAATGCACATTATGAGACCTGTGTACAAGAAAGATTGGAAGGACTATAGTTTACATAGTGGAATGACTGTATATTTATAAGTTGTAATGTGGATGAAAATATATATGATCAAACGTTAGTATGTTTACCATCCTCTTCTTTGCCCCGCTGGGGTTTTTAATATATTCTACGTTTCTAGTAAAAAAAATAAAGATGGTACTCTTCAAGTTATGGTAAACATACAAGTATTTATTTTCCGATTGTCCACAACTATTACATTCACTCGCACCCTTTGTACAGTTTTATTCTTCTAAACAAATTTAGCATTTTGCAACTGCGGATATGTTTGATGTCCAGTGCTTCACAAGTGGTTATCTCTGCGGTGTTTGTGCTTCTCAATGACAATTCTCACTCTACATCTTTTAGAGTTGGGCAATGGCGTTTTGATAGTTATTCTGCTTAGGAAGTTTGAATAATAAATAAAAAAGGGAAAAAAGCTCCAGTTTTATGGTAATAAAGTAATTTGAATGAAAGTGCCTCAATATAAACTGTACATATATACCTCGGGTCCAAAATTTCTCCCTGTGTGCTAAGACGCATGCACAACGCTGACCTTTATGCCTAAACCTATATACATTTTGCCTTGATTCAGGTAGAAGATGCTCGAAACAAGGTTTCTGAAACGTCAACGAAGATGTATAATAGCGTGCTGGATGCCCATGAAAAGTCCACGGACTTGGACAGATTATGAAGGATCTGACTAAAGAGCTTCAAGCTTATCTAAAGAGAAAGAAGCAATAGAAAACAAAGAACAGAAGCATAAAGAAGCATACAGAGCTTGAGCTTGATGTGAAAGATTTGCAGGAGAAGATATCTGGAAACTTCGGAGCCAAAGTAATATTCAAATTATGTCCTCTGCAGAGGGGTGTTTTCTTTTTTCGTGCCTTTTTTTTTGGGTGTGTTTCCAGTGATATGACAGACATGAATGCTGCATTTACATGTTGCAGGGAGATGCGTGAGACAGTTGCAGACTCTGCAGAAAGAAATTCAGGATTCAATGGATGAACTTGAGAAAATGAATCCTCTGTATGAGGATCAAGTCATGAAGGAAAAGGAGATCACAAAAGGGTATGTATATGGTATATTAGATACTAGGAAAATCAACATAGCAGCGCGTTATGGTTCTGTTTCATCCCACTTCAATAGTTCTCAAAAAATATTCATGTGTAGGTTGTACAAAAAAGTTCATTTGTTCATCTAGTCTTTCTACTCTGGAGTAGTTAGTCTAGTGGAAAATTTTAAACTATAAAGGCGATTAGCGATTGGGAACGTATTCTTAGGAATAGGGCTGTTTTAGGTTACTGGTGGTGGAGATTTCCTGTCAAGCAGGATTTATTGTGGTACTTTGTTATTCAAAAATAAGGTTGGTTTGCAGTATAGTGGGTCTGATTCTAGGATTGTCAGTGAGATTTGTTTCATAATCCTTGGAAATTCATTTCTCAGGATTTCCTTCTTCTAGGGCAAGAATCTAAGGTTAGTATCGATCAATAAATTGGAACAACTTCGTAAGTATATTTTCGATATATTAAATTTCAAATTAATGTTGGAATTGGTAAAACTCTTTCGATCAAATCAAAAGTAGAGTGTATTACGTATCCGATTGGACCGACACTGCGATTAATCAGGGCAAAGACCTAGATGCCATTAGTTTTTAGATAAATTGTAAAGCAAGTCTGTCCAAATACTGGAATATGTTCGGACCATATGAGGAGTCTTTGGTGGAGGTGCTAGAATATTATCTCACAATTGTTTCTTTTGGCATATAGAATAATGGAACGTGAGAAGCAGCTTAGCATACTTTATCAAAAACAAGGTCGTGCGACCCAGTTTTCAAGTAAAGCTGCTCGTGACAAATGGCTCCAAAAGGAAATTGATGATCTCGAGCGAGTTCTTTCTTCAAATTTGGCACAGGTATGCTGGCTTCTTTTTTAAGTATATAATGCACCAAAAATGTCATGTCAGGGGTGTAGTTCGAGTACTCCATCTGGCACTTTAGTATGTCTTGTTTAATTCCAACTACTAGAAATAGAACTGTATGCATTCTATTCCTAGCTATTGTAAAAATTCCTCTCAGATGATTCTGGATTAAAAACACTTTCCAGCTGAGGATTTCTTTTTTAAATTGTTCATATTTTTTTTAGATTCTTATATATAAGGATTTAATTAATATCCTCTTTTCTTGGATTCGAATATTTCACTTTGAATTGACCATCATTTCTCAAAACTTTTTTTTGGAATAAGACTCATTTGAAACCACCAGGTTGCCTACCCCAGAACCACTATTCTCTTGAGAATATGAGCCCATATCCCATTTAACCAAATGCTCCTTGCTCTGTTCACCAAAACCTTCCTACGAAAAGCCCTTATTATCCAAATTCTTAGCACCTTTGCTGGGAATCCGAAAAGAGAAAGGTAATTGGCACATTGCTTAAGACTGATTAAATCAAAACCAACCTTCTCTAGACCGAAACACTGTTGTCTAACGTTTCAACCTCTTCTCAATTTTCACCACAACCAGATCCTGGAAATTAACTGCATGTGGATTACCACCTAGCGGAAGGCAAAATGTTTCATAGGCCAGCGAACTTTGGCAGTTGTGTTTTTGACTTTTAGTTAATCTTTTCCGATTTGTTTTTGTGTTTCTTAGGGTTCTGTGATGTTGTTTGTGTGGTTTGATGGTTGCCTGGGAGTTTTCTTGTATCATTTGTTGTTCTGCTTTGTTTAGACTGCTTTGTTTGGGGTGTTTAGCCTCGTGGCTTCTGGTTCACTTTGCTGATTTGGAATGTGACTTGACATTACTCCTTCCACATCTTATGTCCTTGTGCTTAAGTTTCTAGTTGCTTTGCTTTATTTGCAGCATTTATAAACTATTCTAAATTGCATACTGTATTATTTTTACCTAATTTATACTTAATTTATTTCTCACTCTTATATGTTCCAGGAGCAAAAACTTCAGGATGAAATTAAACGGCTTAATACTGAGTTGAGCGAGCGGGATGCCTACATTGAGTCTCGAAGAAGAGAGATTGCTACTATTGAATCTCTCATCTCTCATCACATGCAGGGTTCAATCATCATAAGTCAGAGAGGGACAAGTTGCAGGATGAGCGCAAGTATGAGTCTTTTGTATTTAATATTTGAGATGAATTTTTCATAGTCATTCCAATATGATTGTTTTTCTTTGCTTCTTGTCTTAGGTCCCTGTGGAGGAATGAAACTGAACTTTCTGCTGAAATTGAGAAGCTGAGAACAGAAGTTGAGAAGGCTGAAAAGAGCCTGGATCATGCAACCCCTGGTGTGAGTAATTGCTTTCTTGACCTTTTGTAACTTCCAGTGTGCTAAACATGGTTGTCTTGTTGATATATGAGCCCAAGTAACAGTAATTCTGAAAGTGTGTATTTTGATACGCATGTCATGGATGGTATGTCCAGCATAACCTTTCTATATTTGTTTATGTGCGCTGTTTGCTGACGAACAGTATGATGTTGATGGCTTTTGGCAAATTTTTATTGTGGCTCCCTTCTGAGTTCTAAGTTGTAACGAGAGATGCAAATAACTACTTATGAAGTTGTAAGGAAGAAAGGGGGGGTGCAGATGTTGATTTAAATGTAATGTGGTTTTTAAGAAATGGGAGAAGTGAGTTAAGCATAGCATAAGATTTTCAACGTATACTGTAAATTAATTTCATGTGTATGAAAGTTAACAGAATTAAAAAATTCAAAGCGCCAATAGATGTTTAAACATAAACCCTTAAAAAATTATCTTCTAACTAGGATATTTTCATATCATCTTCTGGGGGATCACAAGACAACAGAAGTCTCATTCCAAATCCCACTAAGCAATTTTTTTCTCCATATCTTTTGAGTTTTCCTGAAGGGATGGGGGCAAAGGTGTTGAATAAAATGAGTCAAGAGGCAGTATAGTTCCTAAGCTAAGGGGCAAGGCAACATGCCTTTACATTGAGAAATTCCCACATCATCCACTGTGCTAGACATGATTTCTTCCGAGAGCAAACAAAATTTTATTAATGAAAAGGAAATTACAATGTGTGTTTAGAGTGAAGTCTATAATGATGTGAAGAATGTCATTCTTCCCCGTTTACCTCCTTATTATCTTAATTACAGCTTGAGACTATTGAAGTGGTGCTGTTAGACAAGAATGCATAAAATAATGAATAATATTAACAAGTAGAAAAAATCACATCGGGGTCAACCATGGGATTAATTGGAAAAGTAAATATTTAATCTGATTTACGAAAAACTATTTTGGTTCCTGGATGAAGTTGCGAACATAATACAGTCTAATTATTAGAGCATCAATATTCCTACTGACCCTTCATTATAGTTAAAATTGGGATATGATGCAGAACTGTTTCTGTACCTCATGGATCCATGAGATTTAGTTATCTTCAGGCTTAAGTTTATTTTGTGTGAAAGTGCAGAAAAGAATCTTGAGTTGTTTTTCTATGTTAAACAGTGCCAAAAGAATGTTGATCTGCTTTATGATTCAACTTGTTTTGTTCATTGTGTTGTGATTGTGTATTACATCATGATTATATATTTTTATTGGTGCATCTTGAAATTATGAGAGCTTCTTCTTATCTCTTTTCACTGTATAAATAGTTGGATGAAGTACTATATCTAACATTTCACTTTTCCCTTCTGCCATCGTGTGTAATACTTTCAGGATGTCAGGAGAGGGCTAAATTCTGTTCGTAAGATTTGCAGAGAGTATAAAATTCCTGGGGTATTTGGCCCAATTATTGAGTTGCTTGATTGCGATGAAAAGTTTTTTACTGCTGTTGAAGTAACTGCTGGGAACAGGTGCTCAAAGTTTCATAAGCGTTCTATCCCCATTCTCTTAGCTGTTGCCATATTACTGAATGGTGTTATGATCTGTTGCTATTGCCTTCCTCTTGCCTTCCAGTTGTTCTCTTATGATTTCTGTTCTTTTGAACAGCTTGTTTCACGTTGTGGTTGAAAATGATGAAATATCAACACAGTAATTAGGCACCTTAATTCATTGAAGGGTGGACGAGTTACGTTTATCCCCCTAAATAGGGTGAAGGCTCCACGGGTAATTTATCCACAGAATTCAGATGTGGTTCCTCTGCTAAAGAAGTTAAAGTTTGCTCCAAACTATAACCCAGCATTGCCCAGTTAGCCGACCTGAATTTTTGTAAAATCATTGGTTAGTGTGGTCCAGTCTGGTTGTGATATCATTTGGGTAGTTGAGATGTGTGTTGTTAGAAGTTTTGTGGTTAAATCCTTGGTTGTAGAACCACAAATTTTTGCAATTTCTGCTTCAAGGGTGGATCTTTGTTGTTTATTGTGTTGTTCCTCTATTGTTTAGTATATTTTTAATCAAGTAAAACAGCTGTGCTACTCAACAAAAGGGGGCCAAAAGGAACCTATTATACATTTTTAAATGTAGTGTATCTATGACTCTTAAGTAACTACCTCTGCTACCTATATTCTGACACTGAACCATTAAAAGAGACGACTAAAAGCGTGTAATTATTTAACTGCATAACAGTACTGGTGCATTTGGGTGGAGAAAATAAACTTGGGATTTAGACATATGAAATTACTTATATTTATTGACTTGTTTGGGTTCATTTACAAGGAAAGTCAGATATTCAATGTGAAACCTAGATATTTAACTGCAAAACAATTAGTGGTAATTGCTCTTGTTTTTATGCTTTCTACATTGAACCTAGATTTTTGGAATGTGGTCTCACTTTTGGTGTATCAGTATCATGCTTTACATAGATAAATGGTTTAAAGTTGGATTTGAATGCCTTCTGAAGTGGGTTCACCTTAAGATTATGCTAGGTGTGATGGCGTACTATATGTCTGTTTCAATGTTACAATTAGTGGTAATACTTCTAACAATGTTAAGAATGACCTTTCATCATATTATGTTCTTATCTCTCTTAGGTATTTGCAAGAACAGTTGTTTGTCGAGATCTGGATGTGGCTACAAAGGTTGCTCGTACCGATGGTCTAGACTGCATTACTTTGGAAGGTTTAAGATAGAGCTACAGATTCTCTCTGCATTATCTGTTGCACAATATTGTAATTATTAGTTCTAAATCTTGACAAATCACCACTTATTCTCTAACAGGTGATCAAGTCAGCAAGAAGGGTGGTATGACAGGAGGGTTTTAGACCATAGACGTTCAAAATTGAAGTTTATGTGTACAATCATACAGAACACAAAATCTATTAACATGAAGGAAGAAGAACTGGAGAAAATTAGATTTATGCTTCAAGATATCCTTTTGAAAAATTATTTAATATGTATGCAAAGCAGTAAATTTTTCCATTCTAGCCTTCTAATTTACTTCTCATTTCTTTCTTAGTAATCTAATCTTTATGTTTCCTACAAAAAGAAGTCCTTGTTTTTACTAAATTTACCTCACAGATAGACCAGAAAATTACAGATCTCGTAACTGAACAGCAGAAAATTGATGCTAAGCGGGCCCACGACAAATCAGAACTAGAACAGCTTAAGCAGGACATTGCCAATGCTGATAAGCAGAAAATTTTGATTTCTAAAGCTCTTGGGAATAAGGTAATTTTGATATTTGAGATGACATCACCTGCGGTGCCTAGGGGAGCTTATATTCTTCTCTCTTGATTGTAGGAAAATCACTTGCTGATGTGCGGAGTCAAATTGATCAGCTTAGAGCCAGTATGGCCATGAAGAGGGCTGAAATGGGCACAGATCTCATTGATCATTTAACTCCAGTGGAGAAGGATCTTCTCTCAAGATTTAAACCCTGAAATAGCAGATCTTAAAGAGAAGCTTATTTTATGCAAGACAGATCGTATTGAGGTTAGTGAAATATAGTTTAAAAAAAAAAAAAAAAAAAAAAAAAAAAAAAAAAAAAAAAAAAAAAAAAAAAAAAAAAAAAAAAAAAAAAAAAAAAAAAAAAAAAAAAAAAAAAAAAAAAAAAAAAAAAAAAAAAAAAAAAAAAAAAAAAAAAAAAAAAAAAAAAAAAAAAAAAAAAAAAAAAAAAAAAAAAAAAAAAAAAAAAAAAAAAAAAAAAAAAAAAAAAAAAAAAAAAAAAAAAAAAAAAAAAAAAAAAAAAAAAAAAAAAAAAAAAAAAAAAAAAAAAAAAAAAAAAAAAAAAAAAAAAAAAAAAAAAAAAAAAAAAAAAAAAAAAAAAAAAAAAAAAAAAAAAAAAAAAAAAAAAAAAAAAAAAAAAAAAAAAAAAAAAAAAAAAAAAAAAAAAAAAAAAAAAACTTTGCCCTTCCATCATAGGAGTAAACGCAAAACGGGTGAACAACTTTTATATTATTTTTTTCTTTATGTCGTTAAATGAACATGATAATATTTTATTTATTTATTTAGAAAACATATAATGCTTAATGAAGTTAATAAAAAGTTGAATTAAACATTTTTAAAAAAAAAGAAAAAAAAAGGGTGTAGTCGGGGAGGGGACAAGCTACATAGCGATTGTAGAAGTGGGAACAACCTAGTAACCCTATCAATCTCTATCCCCAACCATTTTCCCCACTGACACCCAACTCTCCAAACCACACTTACCTCCCCAACTCCAATCCACCCACGTCTAATATATATAATAAAAGTCAATGCAGCCTTACCACTCCGCAATGGTCCTTCCCACTTCTCCACCCATTGAGTAACTCCTCCCCCACTAGACTATGCCCTTCTTTTCTTTTTCTTTTCAAGTTTTATTTTTATTTTATTTTTTCTAATGATATATTTTAGTTTAATTGAACTTTTAATGTATTTTAAAATTAATTCAACTTTTTATTAACTTGAAAATTTTTTATAGGTTTTCAAAATAAAATGAAAAAAGATTATCATGTTCATTTAGTGGCAACTTTAATGGAACGGCCAAATTGATTAATGGTCTTAAACACAGGGATCAAATTGGCCAAATTGAAAACATATGGACTAAATTGGCCAAAGTGATAACACACAGGGACTATTTTGATATTAAAGCCAAAGAAATAATATAAAAGTGAAGTAAAAAGAACTTAATGTATAGCAAGGGTAGAATAGGAAAGAGAAAGAACAAAAAAGAAAAAGATTGATTAAAAAATGTTAAAAAGCAAAATGTGTTATAAAACTAGAGAGGGAAAATGTAAAGAGAATTGTTATGCTAAAGATAAAGTTTCACCATGTTTATTCTTTTCTTAATCTTTGGTAGAACCACCTATTTATAGGCTTACAAAATAGGAGATTGAATACCATCATTTACAATATACCCATAGGTTACAAGCACTAATTACAAATACTTAGTGTATAGGTTACATAAAATCCAATGATGGAATACTAAGAGGTATGGTGGTCATCCACCAACTCATGCATTTACAACACTCCTCCTTAGATGTCCACCATACAATGACATAGTTCCCTCATTAAAAACCTTGCTTGGAAAACCCAGTGGGACAAAACCGAAGCGAAGGGAAAGAGAGTGAAACTTTCTTTTAGATCATTGATATGGTGTTGGATGCACTTATGTTGCCTTGTTAAAACCTTGCTAGGAAAAATCCAGTGGGACAAAAACCTAGTCGAAGGGAAAAAGAGTACAACGCACATATGTTCTGTATGTAGTAGAATTGGGATGCTCCATGCTCCCCCTGATTGATATCTCCCCCTAATTAATATCTCCCTCTAATTTTCATTAACTTCTGGAATTTATGTAACAACCCGATCCTAAATTAATAGTTACTTTTAATTTATTCTAGTAAAAGACCATTATACCCCTAGAATATTTTAAATGGTTTAAAAGTTACCTTTTATTTGGGAAGGAATTTGGGGATTTCAATTGTACCGTTGCGTAGAGCACGTCGAAACGAGTCCGTAGACACGTAGCGGACTCAAATCGAGTTGTAACAAAGAAACGGTGATCAAAAGAAGTTCAATGGCATAACCGTAAATATTTCGAAGTTTAGTTAGTTTTAAACCCAGAATTTCTGCATTTCCCCCGCGCGGGGGGGGCCTCGATCAGACGACTTCTGAAGGTGATTTCTCTCAATTCCAACCACCAATTCAAGCAAGACCAGTCCCGTTAGAACCACCACACTTCCCTCTTCCAGCCCCAATTCTTTGTCGCCCTAATCCACCGTCGTAGTCGCCGGAAACAGCCAAGAAACAGGCGGTGTTGGACAGTTTTTCGTAAACTTTCGCCGACTCGTTCTCCGTCATCTGGCCACCATTTTCGGCGATCCAGGTATGGAAACTCATCTATTTCTTAAGCCCTAGCTGCTGGTTGGGTAGGATTTCAGAAATTTCTAGCGTAGTTAACTTGATCTTGGATCCAAAGTTTGGACGGATTTCAGGTTGAGATTCCTGCCACTTCCGGCCAATTTTTTGGGGTAGGTCCAAGAACAAAAGTGGATCCAATTAGGGTGTTACACCTAGGGTAGGAGTTTTGAGCCGTGATTTGGAGATTTTCCGGTGAAGCGTTATCGCTTTAAGCACCACGCGCAGCCGGCGCGTGTGGAGGCACGTGGGCAGCAGGGTGGGGACCACAATCAATCCCAGAATAATCCCTTAGTCCTCACGAGCGCGTAGGATTTTGCGGATCTTAATTCGGATAACGTTTGAATCCCGAACGGATCTCGCCTAGTGTATGATTTCCGGGTTCAGCATGTTTGAGCCATTGGATCGTAGTCATGTTCAGGTATGTTGACTCAGGTAATTCTAGAATCGTATAATAGTTTATGGATCGTAAAACGGAGTTTCAGATATTTTAGAAACGCCAGCCCTAGAGCTAGGTTTACAATAAACAAGTCCAGACCGAAAGGAGTTATCTAAATCCTGTTATGGGATGAGCAGATAGTTAGTTATAGGTTGCGGCCCGAATAGAAGCAGTATCTCCGAGGCTTGCCAGTTTATAGATCAGGAACAAAGGAAAGAACTACGTGTGGCTTGATCCCTTAGTAAGGGTACGTAGGCAGCCTACAGTTATAAGGTGCAGCCACGAGTCAGAGCCTTTGAGTTTGTGTTATTGTTTTTCAGGGCATTTTGGTCATTTGTGACCCACACCCACCATGTGTTAGTTATAAACAGGGTTCAGCCCGGATTCCAAGGTGGAATTTGGGTCAAGTCCTTTCAATTTAGGCTTCAGAAAAAGCTTTGGTAAAAAAGTTCGCTAGATTATCTTGTGAACGAATTTGTTTAACTCCAATCTCTTGGCTTTTTTCTGAAATTGTCACCTTTGATGAACCCTTCTCTTATTTGAGCAATACAAGCAACATTGTCTTCACACATTATTATTTATCACATTATTCGACATGTTTTTCACTTTTCAAATAATTGAACTCTTTAGTAGCATCAACAAGTAATCTAATAGTTAGAATATGTTACAACAATATTAAATTTGAATTCAAAATACTCAAACTCTTAGTGTTAATTCTTAATCAAGAATATCGTGGTACTTTATATCCTTCAAGGGGTCGCTTCATGAGATATATCTCAAATATTTCATGAGCTTTGAGGATCTTCATGTACCATACAGTCTTTAAAAATATGCATTTAACACATGCTATAAGTTTCGCGTTAAAATAACAACCGTACTTATAGAAATGTGGATGCATCTATGATGAGATGGGAGACTAAAACCATGTCTCTACCAGGAAACCTTATGTCATATTAGTGATCTTATTTCACTTCACAACTACCAATTCGTAACCTTCATACTTTACGTTTGTAATTTGGTGTTTGAGTTATAGGTTTAATATCCCACGCTTCATATTTAGTGATAAATGGAATTGCCTATTTCCATTTTGGTCAATCACTTAACTTGTTGACATTCATAAGGCAATTTAATATAATCATAGCCCTTGATAATTGTAGTAGCTATTAATAAACCAAATGTATCATCAATTCGTGATCCCACAATTCTTATGTGCATGCGCATGCATAATTTATAAGTATATCATTGCTTTGGGTTACCAATGCCTCTTCAGGGGCTGATGTTGTCACTTATGGGACAAACATCTCTTTTACGATGAATTAATTAGAATACGTGGATCATAATCTCATATAGAGCGTTATTTTTTATAAGGCTTGAATTTTTCAAATAATCACCACTTCTAGGGAGTTTAGTTTTTAGAACCTATATTTTTGTCATGCTCATAGTCACTTATTGTCATGTTAATGAATTGTGCTACATGAATATCAATCCATGCTTGCATATTCATAACTTTATATATGCATTATCTTGATGAGACAAAAGCGGACCGATTCAACACTATTTCATGATGTTATTCAGGAACTGTCATTTCTCCCCCTAACGGCGGGAAAATTGTCTCAAAATGTAGGAAAATAAACTCACCATCATTATCAATTCAAATTGACTGGATTGGATAATGTGGGAGTTGTGCTTGTAAGCGTCTTGACAAGAGACAAATATGTGACCGTTTTAGTAGGCACATTAAATAAAACTTGTGAAGTGATCCATAATTAAATGTTGTATAGGCTCACAAATATCCCCTTGAATTATTTCAGGAAATAGGGCTTAAAGTCAATTTTTAACTGAGATGATCTTATGGCAGCTTTTATTTGTGAGCATTCTTTGTAATGATATTTATTGGACAAGACAATATTTTGAGTCTTTAAACGATGTCCTTGCAAATTTATAAAAATCTTATGTATCATTGTGGAACATGGATTGCCAAGATAGTCATGCCACAACATAAAAGTTATCCGGTCAATGAACTTCTGGTTCATGATATCATAATCTTTAACTACTTTAATAGTTGTGTAATATTGGGGCCTCATGAACTTTTGGTTCATGACATCATAAACTTCAACTACTTTAATAGTTGTGTAATATTGGGGCCTAATTAACTTTTGGTTCATGACATTACAAACTTCCTACTCACAAAAGAAAATATGAAGTTTCTTCAATAGACGCCTCTGTCTGTCAATATTGGGGTGGTAATACAAAACATTACCATTGTAAAACGAAATTAACTAATAACCCAACATAAATAAAATAAAATAAAATGAGTAAAGTGGTATAAACGATGAATAAAATAAATAAATTAAAGACTATGAAATTCCAAGATAATCCAATATTAATGTGGATTCAATATATAGATAAAACTACAAGTTTAAGAATTGGATTTCCAACCAATTCAGGTTCATATAGGCACAAATAAGTAATGAACTTCAGATTCATATATAGTATTAAGATTCATGAAAAACTATGAACTTCAAGTTCATATCAATATATATTCAAAACTTCATGTTCGAATACGTAAATCTAAATAAATTGAATTAATAGTTGTGCTTTGAACTTTATACTCAAATCGATGTATATGCACTCGAAACTTCTGGTTCGGATTCTTGACATATGTAAGCCTCATGGAATTCTGATTTTGATTAATACAAAATCGAGGAGTTTCATGTCTTTATGTGCTCTTTATTCGCGAAACTTCACACCGTCAATTATTTGGAATCAAAGAACTTCAGGTTCTGATTCAATCAAAAGAACTCTAGGTCCTAATCTAGTTATATGATCAGGATCGAGGAACTTTGGGCCCTGATCTTTTGTATAATACAAACTCATCATAATAATTAAAATTATACTTAAAATTAAATAAACAAACAAATTTTTTTTTAAAAAAAACATGTCATTATATTCATGTGTAATAAGAATAATAATTTTTTTCCTTAAACGAGCACGATGAAGTCTGATGGTGAGTACAAAGAAAATGTATACCATGTGATGACTCTAGCTCATATAAGAAGAAAGAAAATTCAAAGAAAGAAAACATTCCAAGGGCAATGTCGTGCTGATAACGTGTTATAAAACTAGAGGGAGAAAATGTAGAGAAAAGTGATATGCTAAAGATAAAGTTTCACCATGTTTATTCTTTTCCTAATCTTTGGTAGAACCACCTATTTATAAGCTTATAAAATAGGAGATTGAATACCATCATTTACAATATACCTATAGGTTACCAGCACTAATTACAAATACTTTAGTGCATAGGTTACATAAAATCCAATGGTGAAATACTAAGAGGTATGGTGGTCATCCACCAACTCATGCATTTACAACAAAAAGGAGTATAAGTGGAGAAAATGAGAGTAGAAAAATCAGCTCCCTAAATTTAATAGGGATATTTATAGAAATGTCACCTGAACTTATACCTTAGTTTCAATTTGTCACCTGAAAAACAAATTTAAGAGAAATGTCACCTAAATTTTTCAAAATCTATAATTTGTCACCTGACTTTTAACATAATCCAATTTTCCATATATTTTGAAGGGTTATTTAGTCTTTTCATTTTTTTAAGAGGTATTTTTAAAAATGGAAAAAAATTATTATAAAAATAAAAAAAAAAAAAAATTAAAAATGAAATGTAAAAAACCTAAGTTTTCCATTTTTAACATATTGGCAAATTTTAAAAACTGATCAGACAAATAAATAAAAAATTAAAGAAAGGAAAAAAACTTTAAAAAAAGGATGGGGGTTGTCGGGGGAAGGAAGGACCCAGCAACGGAGAGGTGGGAGGATGGCCATGGCCAAATGGGAGATATGGGAGATATGGGAGACAGAGAAGTGGGGTGACCCCCGAATGGGCAAAGCTTGGGGTGGAGATGGGTTGGAAAATCTAGGGTGAGCAACTAGGGATGGTGGGGCAGGGTTTGTTCTTGTGAGAGGAAGAGAGAGATATATATTAAGGGGTGAGATGGATCAGAGTTGGGGTGGTGGATTGTTGTTGGGGAGAAAGAGAAGAGAGAACAATGGTGGCTGGCGGTTGGGATTGGAGGATTGGAGGTGGTGTTTTTTTTTGTTTTTTTTTAATGTTTAAAAAAAATTATTTATTTATTAAGTTAACTCTTATTTATTTATTTATTTTAAATTGTATTCATATAGACTAGTGATGGTGGGTGTTGAAGATAAAGCGGGGGAAGAGAGAAGTTTTTTTTCATAATTTTTCTTTTTATTTTTAATTATTTTTAATATATATAATTTTTTTATAATGAATTTTTTATTTTTAAAATACCATTGAAAATAAAAAGGCTAAATTACCCTTCAAAATAGATGAAAAATTGGATGATGTTAAAGTCAGGTGACAAATGACAGATTTTGAAAAATTCATGTGACATTTCTCTTAAATTTTTTTTTCAAGTGACAAATTGAAACTAAGGTATAAGTTCATGTGACATTTCTATAAATATTCCAATTTAATATGCTAACATAAGTTTTTTTTATAAATAAAATAATAATAATAATTCAAGGGAAAAAAATTCAATTTAAATAAAAATATATAATTCAAGGGATTTATTATTTTTAAAATACCCAGTCACATAACACACTTCCGTCTTCTCTTTTTTATCCTTGGGATTTCACGCTTTCAAGGCCTAATAACTTTACCTTTTGAAGTGGGCAGTTGGGATTTACAAAACAGGCGCAAACAACACATAGGTACTGCATTTATAAAACTTATCGCTCTGTATTTTGTGATAATTTTTTTTTTATTTTATGATGAAATTGTGATAAAATTTTGATTGAAGGGAAAAAATATAACGATTTATACTAGTAAATATTTTTTTCCTTGCCATATGCTACACGATTTACGATAGTACGGCCTCATTATACATGGAAGCATAATGGGCCCACAACATGCTACTTCTGGAAGGTTAAAAGATAGATAGGATAATATGATTCCTGCACACTAGACATGGAGCTAATTTACATGCTAAACAAAAGGATATCGGGTTTGACATGGGCCCCACTTTTCAAAGCTGCGTCTACAAATCAGATTGGTGGATTTCTGGGTATTAAAAAAATGCGAAATAATAGTATTCTACCATTAGAAGTGCACCAATTTGGTCACGAGAGAACACACACCAACTTGAACACCAACACAAGCAGCATAGCATTCAAGTTAAAAAGGGGAAGATTATCACAAGACAACAGATTTACTATGAGCAAGCGAGTCAAATTAATTCACTATAACTAGAACTTTCGCTTGTACTACATTAATGCAAATAAGGTCTTCGACATATTACCAAGGGCACAACGATACAGTTACAAGTGCCGATACCATTTAGTGTCATAAAATTTACAAATATGCTTGCTAATATGAGGGATTGAGTTTGTAACCAATCCCATTAAAATGCGACGATATACTTCTAGGACGTACATATCTAATTCAAAGCAGAGTCAAGATTCCGTCTTCGTTCTTCATCATGAGCAGTTTGTGTCATAACTTGCAAGCCCCAACAACTCTGGGCCTTCGAGTCGATGGTTATTCTCAAAGCTGCAATATTGGAACGGAAAAAGAAAAAAAAAATATTATTTCATATAACCACAGGAAAATAAAACTAGCAGCTGGAAATAAACCTATACGAGAAGACTATTAAGATCTTGGCTGCGTCTGCAGTGAAAACCCCTAGCCCAACCCCAGGCAACCTAAGTCTCCTTGGCATTGAAAACTGAACTTGCTCTTAACCGTACCAAAGATTAAGTTCATAAATCTCTATTCTCAACGAATAGTGAGAAATAACACACGCAATAGTTTTAAACTTCTACACTACACTACACACGGACACAATTTCATTAAGTGTTGAAACATGGTGGGGGTTGTGGGAACTCTAGAACAGTGTTTAATGAACTTATTTATTTCTTCAGACAGTCCAGAAAATTTAGCAGTGTGCAGTTTTTGAGAGATCTATTTTTGTTTGACAAAAATCATTCAAATATGTTCACTAGCATACCAAAATAACATAGCAGTAATCCCATTCGTCAGACTTTATTCTCTATACAAACATCCTATAGCATAGAGGATGGAGTTTCACCCATTTCCAGATATGTAGTGCAAATCCAAGAAACTATACTTTCTGTTTATTTAATAATAATTCCAATATTTTACTCCAATAGACTGATAATGATGAGAAGCACAAAGTGCATACCCCAACTCATTTGTCCATATACTCATGGTAATTTGCTTCTTATGTCATGCGAAATTCACATATCTATCTGAATATAAATGCTCAAGACCAAGCAAAAATATGCATCCCATATGCATTCTCGCATATAGAGTATACAAGATCAGTAAAACATGTGCAAAAGGCTAAGTATTGTATATGCGGCGACTTAAAGTCTAAGTAAAGTCGCAAGTAAAATAAACAACTGTTGAGCCCAAACACAGGAAGCATCATGCATGAGGGCCTCAATGCAAACATGAACAGCAATGCAACCACCCAAGCCCCCTTTTCTTTTCTTTTTTAAAGAGCAGGCACAAAGCCCTTTATTCTTTTTCTTAAAATTAAGTGCCAAAAAGGAAGGGATGAGCTCAAATACAGACACTTAAAATATAAAAGAAGAGAGAACATGAAGTAGCCTTGGTTGTAGCCAGGGAAGAATTGTTCTCGTTGGAATATAAGATAAGGAAGTAAAATGATAAATGATAGAAGTGACCTACTTGTTTAAAGGGATGTGCTCAAATGGTCCACTGGTAGGAATTGTTCCACATAAATCATTGTTGGATACATCCCTGGAAAAGTGGCAATTTTAAATGATTAACAGGTGTTTATAACAGAAAAGATACAATAAGGAAACTGCCACACTTGCAGAAAAAAGAAGGGATTGAAGAAATAGATTGAGACAAGACGCACTCACACAACTTTGAGGCTTGAAATACCAACAAGATCCCGCGGGATTGGTCCAGTTAACTTGTTATCATTGAGACGTCTACCAATCCAAGCAACAATGAAAGGAAGGCATATATTACTTAGCTAAAAAAACTCATTGTTTCAATCTCAGTATACATATATAGACATATATATATATATATATATATCCATGTATAAAGAAAGAGAGAGATAAAGACACAGAGACACAAAGAGACCAGTAGGTCATATATTGATACAAGCCCAGTGATTAGTCCCCTAATCTAAGCCACACTCAAGAAATTGCAAAATGCGACAATTCAAAAGCTACCAGATTCATTTTCTGGTGTTGCACCTGTGATCTAGGATCCCAAATAAGTTATCCATCAATATTCAAGCAAAAGTGGAGTTGTCAGAAAGCCAAACTCCCAATTTCTCGTCCAAGAAAATAGACTAAATTAAGCCAAAACAGCCCAATAACACAGGTAAAGTTCAGTGCTTAATTTAATCAACTCACAAAAACACAAGTGATTTCAATTTCCCCAATGAAGAAGGAATGGTCCCTGATATGTTGTTGTTATATAAGTCCAAGCTAATGAGGCTCTTCAAGTTACCAAGCTCAGCTGGAATAGTTCCTTGAATGTTATTTTTGTAAAGCTCCCTACATAATAAAGAGGTATAAGTGTTAGCCAGACAGTACTTTAATCCAAGAACCAAAAATAAATGTAAGCTTTATGAACAACCCCAGCATATTGTCAGAGAAAATGAGAAGGGCTAAGAAATATACAGATATTGAAGATGCTCGAGCTTTCCTAGTTCAGGTACCAAATGTCCAGAGAGGTTTGAATTACCCAGGTCACTGCCCAATATATCAAAATCATATAATAAACTCGCAACATATTAACAATAACTTGGGAAAAAAACATTACAAACTGAAGACTAAAAATTGCCCTCCTATAGTAAGTACAAATCAAGATCACCAATGCTGCACCCAGAGTTAGGGTAGGAAGTAGGAACCACAATATTGAATATTCTGACATCACTGTCAATACGGGTTATTCATGAAAAGACAAAAACAGATTGCAGATAGGCATTAATACCACTGCAGCTAGCAAGACAAATGCAATAAATTCACACAAGACAAGACTAAGGAAAAAAAATAGAAAATTTATTGAAAGCAAAGATAAGAATTATGGGAATGACTGTACAACAACAAAGAATGTTCTCAACTGAGGCTCTACTATATGCTAAAAACTCAGCTTCGGTATTCATATCGACCCACATATTGAAACAGGTGAGTCAAAAGCAAAGCTAGCAAAAAAATTCCACTCAAACATTGAGTGATATAGAGATAATTGTCTTCCACCATACATTAGATGTCCCAACAGCTTAAGTAGCACTAACATTTCAGCACAAAGGCAATGCAATCTGGAGCTGTAGAGCATAATACTGATACATTTTGGACAATAATAACAAGATGTATTTGACATATGCATGATCCTACAACTTCTCCCATTTTAAACACCATGATTGTGGTATTAAAATGTTGATGAAACAGTATTCTAGTTCCTACACCAACATATAATAGAGTTGCTTTGAGTTAAGCAGAAAAGCACACCGTCTTTAATCGCTAAATAATACACACATGAAAAGAAATAAAGCTTTTCTTTGAATTTTTTTTAATAAAAAAACTCTGTCCAAATAGTAATCACTGAATTAACCTATCAACAAAGGGGAGTAGTCACTGAACCGACCAACCAAACTCTATTCTGGTTTCTTTTTTTCTTTTTCTTGATAAACTGTTTCAAATATGATGATTACCCATGCGTCTCCAAGGAAAGCCCAAAATTACTGTTTTACCAAAAAAAAATTGCACAAAATATAAACGGCAAACCAATTTGATCAAACAGTCACATCGGCCCAATCTTAAAAGCAAATAGCGATCACCTTCATATCCATCAGCAAAAAAATAACTATAAATTTGAACAAAGGTACCTAAATGAAGAAGCACATATGTATGTAAGAGCAAGAGGGAGAGAGAGAATGGTACACTCGGGTAACGCGATTGTCCTGGTTGCAGGTGATGTGAAACCAAGTGCAGGGGTTGACAAGGGTGGGATCCCAGCTCTGAAGCACGTTATCGGGATCCGATAAGCTCCGCCTGAGCGTGTACAGAGCGTCCCCTTCAGAGTTTCCAAAGACCAAGGGAACGAGGCTCACGGTTAGGGTTAGGGTCAACAAACAGCAGGCCGCCGCCATGGCCATGGTTGACGCTGATACAGCTAGCTCTAAGAAGAAGATTCTTGAGAAGATTCAAAATCCCTTCAGCTTTCTACAAAATTTGTACTTGCAATAGGGCTTTGCCTTTTAATCTTTAATCACTTTTTTCTGTTTTGCGTTTTGCGGGTTTTGGTTGTTTGTGAGAGAGACAGAGACAGAGACAGCAGAGTCAAAGGGTCAAGAGAAGGAAAATGAGAAGGATCGGCTTTGGGACTCACAGAGTAAAACATGGTCTTTTCTTAAATCATTTTCTTTCTTACCTTTTTATTTTTATTTTTATTTGTATTGGACTGGATTTGATGATATGATTTCTTCATTTCTTCTTCTTTTTATTACTCTGAGTGGTGGTGGATGAACTAATGGAGTTGTTCCACTAACCAACTACCACTGAAATGAAATTCTCACTACTTCGCCAAAAAAATCAAAATTTAATGATAAAATAAAAACTTACCATAAAGTAAAGAACATAATAAGAGTTTGGTTTCCTCTTCTCATTCTTATCTATGGGGAATTAGGTGACTGTCTAGAGCCTAGAAGATTTTAAAAGACTTTAAAAATTCGGGTGTATTTAATTTGGATTTTATGAACTTTTAAAAAGTGTATAAAAGTTTGGGTGTATTCAATTCAAACTTGTATGGACTCTTAAAAAGTCTATAAAAATATGGGTATATTCAACTACTGTGTGTTTGGAAAAATAAAAAATAACTTGAGATTTCATGATTTCAAAAGGGAAATCCGTGCGTTTGGCAAAATCAACTCAGGATTTTGCAAATTAGATGCGGGAAATATGGAGGGATTTCTCAATCCAAAATCCCGAGTTCAAATCCTATCATAATGGATGGAATTTTGCAAATCTCAAGTGCAAGGAATTTCATTTGATGCGCGCCAACACTAATCTAATTACAATAATTGTATTACTATATCATATATTTTATAATATATTACAAGTGGGCTAGGGCCAGGGCAAGCCTTGCTGTGGCTCCACCCCTGGCGCCAAATCTCTTCACTAAATATAGGAGGCCATACCCATATCTGTTTTTGATATTCAATTTAATCATCTTTTTTTTCTGATGGAATCTCATCTTTGGTTTTCAGATTATTGCTCTCTCTTCCTTTCAATCTAAAGCCTATGTGTCTTGCTCTTCAAATTTTTTATTTATAGCAATTTATGACTTCAGATTATGGATTCATCATGTTTATTTGTTCATCACTCTCTATGTTCTAATTGTGGTCTGTATTTGATTTCTAGAGAATATCCAGTTATCTAGGGCATATGAACGCTTGTGTGTCAAAATAAAGTTTTATAAACTTGTCTGATCATATAACAACACTACAAAAGTTAAAGATTTAGCAAGAAGAGCAGTTCCTCTTCGAATAAAGCAAGATTTTGAATACCCTTTTGGGTGTGTCTAGTGGTTTTTGAATATGCATTTGTGTTGAGTGAGTTGTTGTGGGTGTGGTGAGTGATTCCTGAATGATCCAGGTTGTGTTGAGTGGGATATGAATGTGCTTTTGTGAGGGAATAAAACTGCTTTATAAATGCCCTCATCATATTCGAAAGCATGGTGAAATTTGCAATTTTTTTGGTTCTATAAAAAGGCAAGCAGACTGTTGCTTGATGTGTATACAAATAGTTTGTTGTAGTAATGTTCATGGTCATTGGTCAACTACATGAAATTTGTAACGTCTGTGTGGGAACATGGAATTTTGGAAACCAATCAGAAGGTGACACGTGTAAAAATGAATATTTCTGAAGTGAAATAATTATGCTAATTAAATTCTATTTAATTAGCTAATTATCCTAATTTCAGATAGAATATATCCCTAAATCAAGGATTCAATTTCCACTAAATCTCCTTAATATTATCTTGTCATCTCATTTAAGAAAAAGAATAATTCTCATCAACAGGAATTATTCTTCACAAACCCTACCCAAGAATAATCCACCCTTTATAAGATAGAATTATTCTTCTTCTGATGCTCGTGTTTTGCAAGATGCTTTAGCCAAGGATAATCTGTTTCAAGTTCCAAGTGGTAATTTATTATCTTTTAATTAATGTAATTATATTGCATATAAGTATTATCTTTATTACTACAATAGCCAAAACTTTTCTTTAAAACTTTTTCTATTGTAGATAAGTATTATCTTGTGAATGTATGATAAGTTAATGGACCAGGTTTTTTAGCACCTTACAGAGGAACTAGATATCACTTAAATGAATGGACTGGAAACAATTGTCCTGAAAATTACAAAGAGTTATTTAACTTGTGTAATTCAATTGCAGAGAATGTAATTGAAAGGTCATTAGGGTTGTTAAAAAATAAATAGAGTATATTGCGTACCCTTTCATTTTTCAACATCAAAACACAAATTAGGATTGTAAATGCATGCTTTGTGTTGGATAACTTTATTCAACTCAAGCAACATAATCACCCTTTGTTACAAGATCAAGATTTGTGGTATTTAGCTTTTGAGGATCATGAGATATCAAATCATTCCACATTAAGGGTAATGCAAATAGGATTACAAGTGTTCAAGTTACTGATCAATGGACTACTTTTCGTGACACGTTAGCTATGAATATTTCGGCAACCAATGAACGAGTGACACGTGGAAAAGGGCAATTCCCTAGGTCAAATAATCATCCTAATTAAATCTTATTTAATTAGGGAGATAATATTTGATTTAAGATGAGAATATCTCCCTAAATTAAGATGCGGCAACCATTCTGGGGCTGGTCACTCGCTCAAAAAGCTTTAAGTATAGGCTCTTTTTGGCCTACCATGCGCTACAACTTTACGAAGTATGTTAAAAGATATGATCGATGTCAACGTTACAAGCCAGTTCCTAGCCTACCTACTGAAGTGTACCATCCCCAAAACAGCCCATGACCATTCATGCAATGGGTACTTAACTTCGTGAGTCCTATGCCGCCGACACTCGCCAAGAAAGACATGATGATCATCGCCATCAAGTACTTTACTAAATAGGTAAAGGCTGAAGCTCTATCCTCTACTAAAAAAGCCGACGTGAAGCGATTTATCTAGAAGAACATCATTTACCGATTTGGCTACCCGCAGTCGCTGGTCACTGGCAATGGGTCACAGTTCATTGGCAAGTAGATCACAGGATTCTTCACAAATTATGGCATCAAGCAACACTTGTCTACTCCAAAATATCAGCAAGGTAATGGCCAAGCTGAGACATCCAACAAGATAGTGTTAGACTGCCTAAAGAAAAGATTGGATTATTGTTGGTTTAGTTTTGTGCGTGCTACTGCTTGTGATTATTTATCACTTGTTTACAGGTGTTTGTAATTTGGGAATGTCCATTTTTCAGAGGAGATTTGGCCAAAATTTCGATTGAAGTCTCGACCCAATTTTTGTTTAATTTGAGAACGAAGGGGTTATGTTAGTAAGTGGGCTCGACATCAGGTAAATGCCTGACATAAACAGGGTTCGTCACGGATTCCACTGAGGGAATCTAGTTGGAATTCGGCACGGGTCATGTCAACAGGTCTTTGACTAAAAGAGCTAGGGTTTTTGTGTAGAGTTTGTAATTGAAAAGTTGTGTGTTTTGGCTGTGAAGCATCATCTCCTTTTATATGTGTGCAACCGTAGCATAGAGAAAGTACATTCCTATTAGGTTACAGTCAAGATCGAATCGTAATCAATCAGAACCAATCTTCTTAATTGATTTCCTTCGCCACCAAGTTCTGAGAATATCTTTTATTTTCAACAATTATCATATAAATAAGATATAAATAATAGACTTATTTATTGATAAGCCCCCTGTACTTTATTGAAAATCTCAATTTATCGCCTAATTTTGTAATTGGGTCAGTATCTCCTGTTATTTTGTGTGTCACATTGGCCCATTCCATCAATTTAAATAGTTATACCGTTAACTCGTTGATGTGACATGGGCATTTAATAATTTCATAAGTTAAAACCCGAATAAAACTGAGATGAAGAAGTGGGGAGATGAATTGTGTTTAACTAATTTATAAAATTGAGAATTGTTTGAATATTAAAAAGAAATTTAAAATATTTATAACTATTTTTTATATTTAATTTAGATTTTTAAAAAAATTAATAGCAAAAATTACTAAAATGCTTATGCCACATCAGCAAGATAACGATTTTATTGAGAAATTTGACGAAATGAGGCAACGTTATACCCAAAATAATAGCACAGGGGCCATATTGACCCAATTGTAAAGATATGGGGTAAACTGAGATTTTCGGTAAAGCACATGGGGAATATCAATAAATAAGCCTAAATAATAATTTCCTTAACATAGATTGCCCAGGATATTTGATTAAAATTAAAGCCCAAGCCATAATTTGGCCCAATATGACTTTAAACTTGATTGTGTAAAAATAGGCTCAAACAGGTGGTTCAACAGTCTTGACCACTTCAACAGTCGAAGCGTCTGTATGAATAGAGTGCTAAAACAAACTCACTTGAATCACAATTGGAGTTGTCATAATTAGATTAATTCACACTAGACATCAAAGCATATTATCTGAGTGGAATCGAGTCTGGTTGTATTGAATGCTTGCTCTTCCTCTTCATTAGAAACCTACATCATTCTCAATTGTCTTCGAGTTTCTTTAATCAATTTCTTCTTCTTTTTTGGTTCAGGAACGACAATTGACTTTGCCTCAACAACATCAGAACCTAAATCAGATCAAGTATTAGTACATGTAAAAATTTGCTTAAAAATGGATGGAGAATAGGGCATGAACACTCACTTCTGACCATTTCTCTTAGAAGCAACTAGCCGAGTTTGGTCTTTCTGAATTTGATCTGGTGGAGGGAGAGTCATTTGGATTAAAGCTTCAACTTCTACACTTGTGTCAGTTGGTGGTCTCTTCCTCATCATCATAAAATTATTTCTCAATTACAACATTGTCATTAGAATCATACTCAGATGTCTCTTGCAGAGGAGCTGCAAAGTGCATAATAAGTTTGAAATTGATTCATTAAATCAGAATAACGATTTAACAAGCAGAGTGTTTACCCATGGTTCGATAGATGACCAATTTCTGACCACCAAAATTGACGATAGCAAGGATAGAAGCTGCAAGCATTTAATTATGAATTGATATACAAATCATCAAGTGCATCTTTATTGCAACCAAAGGTTCTAAACAAATACCTTCTTTGGTGTATTCTTCAATGGACTTTATGACAACCACCAACTTTTCTTTAATCCCATCATCCATAAAAATGGGTGAAAAACCTGAATCTTTTGATTTAAAAAGTTTGGTGTTGGCTTCATGAGGAAGCATAACCATTCTATTGTCGAATCTTGAGCGCCACCAGGAAAAATAAGAACTAGGCTATGGACTACATTATGCTACTCCTAGGACAGGAATTGAAGAGAATATAAAATGACAAGTTATGTGTTGTGTTGAGGGTCATTTCTCTCTTCCAAAAGCTTGGTATTTATGGGGGCTTTGGTGCATCCCAATTTGGTTATCATCATTTGGCCTTCAAATAAGTCATAATTGCTTCCTTGACCAGGAACTCTTTAGGGTGTGAGCTTATATGGAAAGGTCTCCTAGACCTAACTTTTTTAGATCTCACTGCCCATGGACTTGTCGTTTAGATAATTAACCCAAATCGACTAATTGCCATTATGATTTACCGTAAAATGTAATGAAGTATCATTAAACTTACATCACATGTTCGACTTTAGGGCATATTTCTAACACTTTTTATATTGGGCTAGACTATGTTGACGATAAAAAGCCTTAAAACAAATGAGATGGAAGATAATATAGGTTGCCATGTCATGTGCCACATATATTGCTATCAAAAAGTTAGTAAACAAGTTTGTTCCTGTAATAGTCATTGGTAAAGATAATGCAAATGCATAGAGTTTTATTTCCAAGTATATTTTGGAATGAGGATGGTTTGACTCCTTAAAATTGAGGAGGAGTACATTCTCACAATAAATAAGATTTTGACACTTGTTAAATTCCAAAAAGTAATATGATTAAGGGAATTTAAAAGAAAAAAAATGAAAGGAATTTGACAAGTGTCAAAACTCCATTTGCTTTGAGGAGGAACTCCTTCTAAGTTTTAAGGAGCCAAGGTTTTTCCTTTTGGAACGAATCTCACTTATAATTACAGGGCATGTTTATTACACCGTATAAGCTTGGATTGGCTTGGCTAGGCTAAGATTTTTATTCCATGTTTGTTTCACACGGTTCTAATTTTAAGTGGGATTAACTAATACTGGTCCTACTAAAAACACCTTGATGTTCTTAGTGAGACCCGTTTGGAGAAAAAGGACTACTAGTTCGGACCCAAGCAATGAGCAACCAACCCCACTCAAGGTCCCCACAACCACCAACCACTTAAGCGGCAGCCACAACCACCAGTTATAGCCACCTAAGAAGAAGAAGAAGAGAGAATGGAAGAGGAAGAGAAAATAGAAAATTTTTGAAAAAAGAAAGAGGAGAAGGAGAAGATAGACTAAAAGAGAAAGAAGAGAGAAGAAAGGAGAAAACTTTCGAGAAAAAAAAAGGAGAAGGAGAAGACAAAATAGAAGAGGAAGAAGAGAATTTTTTTGAATAATAGCAGAAGAAGAGGAGTAGGAGAGAGGATGGAGAAGAAGAGGATGAAAAAGAAGCCAGTTGTTGCAAAATAAGAAAAGAATGAGATGCAAAGAAAAGTTTTATAAAAAAAATTTAAAAAATCCACATGCCCTGTTTCTAAATATTTAAAATTCAAAAAAATTCAAAATTTTTTTTATAAAAGAATTTAATTATAGTCGAATAAAAGAGACACCGAACTTAGTACAAGTGTTATCCAGCTTAGGCCAAGTCCAATTTAAAACAGTCTCGAAATTTAGTATAGTCCCTGACAATCCACCGTATCAAACAACCCGTGGATGTAGTAATGAGGATCTATTTGTGTAATGTTTGGCAAACTAAAACGGAAGAAGAGCCGTAACTAAATGTCTATTTTAGAAAAGAATATTCAAGAGCCAACAACAGTAGATCGTCACAGTAGTAGTCTCTCATTCCCCCACGCAGAGACACTGATTTGACTTATAAAAAATAAGACAGAATTGAATTTCGAGCTGGTTAAATGTGTGGAGACCCTCACCTCACCCACGTGGTCCACGCACGGCGATTGTTGAAAGACCATACTACCCACGTTCCTTTGACGCACGGCGATTATTATTCAAGAATTTAACTAGGGGTAAAACCGTCAAATAACATGGGAAGAGCAACAAATCCACCCTTTCACAAAATCTTTGCAATGACCATACTGCCCACGGCCGTTTCACGCGAACCAAAACGAAAGAACGCGGCATTCTCTCTAGTTTGACAACGAAAGGGACCCAACTGTCATTTAGGACCTCAGGCAGGGGCAAAACCGTCAAAACGGGCGGGAACAGCCTACGGTGCGAACGAGGAATGACATAACAACTCAGAGCGCACTTTCAGCGTGCGCTTTGGAAGGATAAAAGAGTAGCTAGAGTTGCAAGCAGTTAATGCTTCTGAGTGAAATGAATCTGGACCGTGCGATCAGAGCGGGTCCCACAAGGTTTGACGAGGTCAGGTGCGTGTAACCGCAGGGACTGTAGTGATTGGTACCGCAGACAGAGGAGATGGTTTGGACTCAACGAAGATATAATAGGCAGGAGTTTGTGTATGTTAAAATAGGAGAGAGAGTAACTGAGGGTTAATGAGAGTGAGAGACAGTTGACAAAGTGAAAAACCTCAAAGCTCTTCAGTTTCAGTCCCAAAATCTCAGTTTTAGGGTTTCTTCTCTTGGGTTCTCTGGTTTCCCAGGTAAAAGCATTTTGCTTCAGAGTTGGGTTTTTTTTGTGCTTTTCAAAGCCAAAATTTGTTCTTGGTGTTTGTGGGTTTTTGATTCTTGATAGTGTTTCTTTCTTCAATGCAGTTCAGTTTTGGTTTTGCTTCATGGTGATTTTGGGTGTTTCTCATGTTTGCAGTTTAAGTTTTTATTTTTTCTTGTTTTTGAAAAAAGGTTTTGACCTTTTGGTTTTTTTATTCTTACAGTATGTTAAAGTCTCGAGCTTTTCTCTTTTCTCCTCTTGTTTGTTCTGTGTGGTTGTTGTTTTGAGCAATGCACTTATGTTTTCGACTGATTTTGGGTAATTTCTCGGTTTTTAAGACCGATCCTTGTGTATTAATACTGTTTCACTTGCAGGGTTGAAGAATTTTCTCGGTTGGGTTTCTCAAAAGCGGGTTTCTTGTGCGCTTAGGTAATATTAATAGTAAAGTTTTCATTTTTTCATTTGCATGCCCCTTTTTTGGGTCTTACTGCGCTTCAAAATGACTCTTTTTAACCACTCTGCATTTGGGTTTCGTTTTGGGGGATTTTCTCGCTTGCGTAGGTTTTCTACATGTGTATGTTTTAATTGTCTTGAGTTGTTGCTCTGATGTATGCATGTCTGGTTTTTTGATGTACTGATATTTTATTTAAAATTTGGACTCTTTTTAAGTCTTATTGCGTTTCCTTAACCTACACCTTGTGTATCTAATTTTTGTTGGCTTTCTCCTTAAAACTCACAAGTAGGTGATTTTTGCTTTTTGTTTGTTTCCCATTTTTGTAACTTTGATTTTGATGTAAATTTTTATTGTCAGTTACGTTTTCTGTGATCCACAGTAGCATGTATTTATATTTTGACTCTATGAGACCGTTATTGATATCGTGTTCCTTTTTCTATCATCTGCACCATTAAAATTCTTATCAAAGCCTCTTTACAAGTCTGTACTTGTCTGCATGTGTTTTTTAGCTGTAAAAACCTTCAGTGTTGTATAATTGTGCTCATTCCGAGTTAGATTTCTGGTCACTATGCTCTGTTGCCACTATGGTATCTTTATGCTGTGAAAGGGTCTGCACCGTTAAAATTCTTGTCAAAGCCTCTTCACGAGTCTGTGTACTTGTCTGCATGTGCATGTGTTTTTCAGCTGTCAAAACCTTCAGTGTGTATAATTTTTCTCATTCTGAGTTAGATTTCTGGTCACTGTGCTCTGTTGTGAAAGGGTCTTAAGTACCATCCGTTCAATCAATTTGGGTTTAAATACTCCATCGAGGCTTAAGGTGATGCTTGTGTTGTATTAGGGTGTTAGCGAATGTAAAATAGTGAGTTTTGTCTCAAATTTGCCTTGTTAGGCATATTTATTACTGTCATACAGTCTGCAGTTCTGGAAACAAAAAGGGGTGCTTAGAAGCTCCGACTTCCCACATGGCATTCTAGATAGTGCTTCTCTTGATTATTTTGCCTTGTTTTATTTGAACACTATATGATGTTGAGATTGTGTTATCGTTCAATTTTGGTCCCACCTACTGAATATGGTATTTGGAGTGCAATGTGATCTTGTATGAACTTCCTTAGACATTTATTTTCTATAAATTGCTCAGTTAAGTGCTTTGTTCTATGCGGTTCTTTTGGACTTTTTGTATGTTTGAATTGTTATCTTTTGCTTAAGTTTTTTGTGTTGGATCAGCATGATTAAGAACTTCTTTGCCTAAATTGTGTAGAGATAGTTTCTGGGTTCTGATGCTATGTGAAAGTTTCTTCCTAAGGCCTTTTGTTTCCCAGATTTTCTGTATTTAGTGAACTTGTGGTGAGATATAAATGTGTTATGGGTGTTAGTATTAAGTGTCATACTGTGCAATTGTTCTTTCTCTAATTTTTCAAGCAGTTACATCGTTGTTCTACTGCCTTGTTGGGTTTTACTTCCTGATCGGTTTTCTAGTTATTGTTTGCCACCTTATAGGAAGTTTAATATATCCCTGTGTGGTCAAAGTGTGTTAGTAGCACCGCTGGTGCTGCATTTGGAAGTTCCATTCCTGCTTCAACATTATCCCTTGGCATTAGGAATCAAGTTTCTTAAGTTGTACTCTTTATTTTTCATGAAAATGTGCGTCTCAATTGCATACTTATTTTGTATTTTAGGATATGGATTTGTTTGAGCCGGATGGAAATGGAGCAAATGGGGTGAATGGGGCAAATGGGGCAAATGGGGTGAATGGGGCAGATGGGGTGAATGAGGCAGATGGGGTGAATGGGGCAGGTCATGCATTGCCACCCCCACCCCCTGTTATTCCACCAGATGTTGTTCCATTGCGTCCTGAAGCAGATAGCATTCCTGAACCTGTTAAGAAGAAAAATGTGCGGGTTCCAATTGCTAGGCGTGGCCTTGGAACCAAGGGGACAAAGATACCTCTGGTCACTAATCACTTCAAAGTGAATGTTACTAATATTGATGGTTACTTCTTTCACTACAGTGTATGTCCCATAAACTTTCTTTATTTTCCAATATTTTTCTTAATGTTCTGAAATCATCAGTTTTACACTTGTTCTCATTTTTGTATACATAGGTTTCTGTTTCTTATGAAGATGGCCGTCCTCTTGATGGCAAGGGTGCTGGAAGAAGAATAATCGATAGGGTGCATGAGACTTATCACTCTGAGTTAGGTGGAAAGGACTTTGCTTATGATGGGGAGAAGAGCCTCTTCACTGTAGGTTCCCTTCCACGAAACAAACTTGAATTTGCAGTTGTGCTCGAGGATATGCCATCGAACAGGTATGTAAGGAAGGATTGTAAAGGATTTCTTCCCTCGGTGTTGGTTGTTTCTCCTTTCAACCTTCTTGCCCTAAATTCAGTTGGACTTTTTCGTGTTTAGAAATAATGGAAACGCTAGCCCTGATGGTCATGGGAGTCCAAATGAGAATGACCGGAAGAGATTAAGGCGCCCAAATCGGTCTAAAACGTTCAATGTGGAGATTAGCTATGCTGCAAAAATTCCCATGAAAGCAATTGGAGATGCTCTGCGTGGTCAAGAATCTGAGAATTCCCAAGAAGCTCTGAGAGTACTGGACATCATATTAAGACAGCATGCATCTAAGCAGTGAGTGATGTTTTCCTTGTTTTCTCCTGTCTCCTTCCTGCACTTAGTTTTGTGTTTATATTATTCTTCGGTTGGATGGGATCATATCAAATGAAATCTTGGATTATAACAGAGGGTGCCTCCTGGTTCGCCAATCTTTCTTCCATAATGATCCAAAAAATTTCGCCGATGTTGGAGGTGGTGTTCTTGGCTGCAGAGGATTCCATTCAAGTTTTAGAACCACCCAGGGTGGCTTATCTTTGAATATTGGTAACTATATTACTTAATGTTCTGTTATATTTTTCAAAACTTACCATTTTTTCACCTATTCCATTGCGTATATGTTCAGATGTATCTACTACGATGATTATACAGCCTGGGCCAGTGGTGGATTTTTTAATTGCCAACCAAAATGTTAGAGATCCTTTTTCACTTGACTGGATGAAGGTAACAAACCCCTTGATTATTCACTCTGCAGCTTTAATATTTCATTTACTCATTGATAATTTGTTTTTGTTTCTTTGACCAGGCTAAACGGACACTCAAGAATTTGAGGGTCAAAACTAGTCCATCCAATCTAGAATATAAGATAACTGGTTTGAGCGAGAAGCCATGCCGGGAGCAAACGTATATTATTCTTTTGATGTTACCATGTTTTTCTTTTTTATGCCTTTGTGCTTTATCTACCCTTTAATTTGTACTGGCGCTGCTCTTTTTCTTGTGTTCATGTTCTTAACACCCTACACTTGTTATCCTTGTATGATATAGTTTTACATTGAGAAACAAACATGCCAAGGATGGAGAGGATGGAGAAATTGAAGTGACTGTTTATGATTATTTTGTTAATCATCGCAATATACAGTTGCGTTATTCTGCTGATCTACCATGTATTAATGTTGGGAAGCCAAAGCGTCCTACTTATATCCCCCTGGAGGTAACATGATGAGTTTATTTTTCTTTCTAGTTGGTGCTATAGATGTGATGTTTAATCTTATCCTTGACTTTTATGTTTTTATTGATTTTATTTTTCCATACAGCTTTGTTCTTTGGTGTCCTTGCAACGCTATACAAAAGCTCTTTCCACACTTCAAAGAGCTTCACTGGTGGAGAAATCAAGGCAAAAGCCGCAAGAGAGAATGAGTGTTTTGTCTAATGTAAGTGTCTTCCCTTAACCTTTTACTCATTTTATACGGATCTCTTACTCTTCAAGTTTGATGAGTACTATTGCAGGCTTTGAAAATCAACAATTATGATGCTGAACCGATGCTACGCTCATGTGGTGTTTCAATTAGTAGTGGCTTTACTCAAGTGGAAGGCCGTGTTCTACCAGCTCCGAGAGTACGTGCCATGTTTTCCTTTATGAGCCTATATGGTTGCTAATGTGAATTGGTTTAGTTTATCCTTTTGGCATAGCCTATTCTGTTGTACTTCTACTAATTCATTTCTTTGGTTTCCTTAAAAGTTGAAAGTGGGCAATGGGGATGATTTCTTCCCACGAAATGGGCGGTGGAATTTCAACAACAAGGTGATTGTTCCCCACGTCCCCTATCCCTTCTTTTTTATTGGATCAGTAGTTTGATTCAATGGTCTAATATATATTGTTGAACTGCAGAAACTTGTGAAGCCAACTAAGATAGAAAAGTGGGCTGTTGTCAACTTCTCCGCACGCTGTGATTTAAAAGGCCTAGTCCGTGATCTGATCAAATGTGGAGAGATGAAGGGAATTGTAAGTTTTGCCATTGCACATAGTATTCAAGTAACTCAGTACTTTATTTATTTAATAACTTGTATTTTGTTTTTTCTTTTCCATTCTTCCCCTTATGGCAGAGCATAGAGCCTCCTTTTGATGTATTTGAAGAGAATCCACAGTCTAGACGTGCCCCACCTATGGTTAGAGTTGAGAGAATGTTTGAGGATATACAGTCCAAACTTCCTGGACAACCACAGTTCCTTCTTTGTTTGCTTCCGGAGAGAAAAAATAGCGCTCTATATGGTTGATTTGTTTTACCTATATTATTATTGGTATGTTAAATATTATAATACCTCCTGTTAATGATTTCTATTGATTCACCCAGGTCCATGGAAGAGGAAGAATCTTGCTGAGTATGGAATTGTTACACAATGCATTGCTCCTACAAGGGTCAATGATCAATACCTTACAAATGTTCTGTTAAAGATCAATGCTAAGGTGAGTTATTTTAATGGCCATGTTCTCTCTTTCTAGCAGTTAATAATTAGGATGAGTGGATTTGTTCTTTGTTGTATTCTCATGCTTGTTGACCTGCCCTTGTAATTCCTTGCAGCTTGGTGGGTTAAATTCACTGTTGGCGGTTGAATATTCTCCTTCTATCCCTGTGGTTTCCAAGGCACCCACAATCATTCTTGGGATGGATGTGTCACATGGCTCTCCTGGGCAGTCTGATGTGCCATCAATTGCTGCGGTAAACTGCTGTTTAAGTTTTATCTTCTGGATTAAATGTCAATAAATTTGTACTTTCATTTTGTTATTATACTGAATTCGGTTGGACTCTGCACATGTCGGTACTTTTGATGGGAAAAACAATGATATCTGTTATAATATGGTGTGTTCAACGGTGGAATTAAAGGTGGTCAGCTCCAGGCAATGGCCACTGATTTCTCGCTACAGGGCATCTGTTCGTACGCAGTCCCCCAAGGTGGAGATGATAGACTCCCTATACAAGCGAATTTCTGAATCAGAAGATGATGGGATTATGAGGTAGGATAGAAGATTTGCAGAAAGTCATTTTCTTTCCAATGTTCAGTTTTATTATTGTTTCACATTTTGGTTTCATATGTACTTTACAAACCACACAAATGGGAAATTTCTCCCTAATTTCAGAGAGCTGCTTCTGGACTTCTATACAAGTTCAGGCAAGCAGAAACCAGACCAGATCATCATATTCAGGTATGTTTACATTACAGAACCTAAAATCAAATGAATTGTGGTTGTATTTTAATTGCTGCTTAAAACTATGAACTTGAAAGAAATGGAACCGTTCAAGTATCTTGTTTGTAATTTATTTTTATAGCAATTTAGTTTCGTAGCTCAAGTATTATAGTGTGTGTTGCATGTATTCTAAAAAAGCGTGCACAGATTGGAAAGATTTAAAGAGAAACATGATAGTATGGGTGAATTTCTAATTTCTTGTTCATGCTCTTTCATACCAGTAGAAAAGGGTTATTTCAATATCAGTAATTTCATTCAGTCTTTTGACTTTCCTGAGTTAAATTTTCAAAATGCTGATAAACATTGTATTTGTATATGAGTTAAATTGGTAATTTTTAAATTTGAGTAATTTCATTCAGTCTTTTGAATTTTCCTATGCCAAAATTTCAAAATGTTGTATTTGTTTTCTGACACAATGAGTTAGAAGTCACATTCTAATTATTTATTTTTTAGTATAGTAGTAAACACTAGAGTATCAAGGCTTCAATAGTAAGTGAACCAAAATGACATGCCAAATACACAAGGATTGGAATGATGGAATACATAGCTACTAGATTGGTCTGAACCAGACACTTTTTAAGATGCAGTCCTGGTATTTCAACTAAAATCTGTTCATGAATCCCTTTCTTAGGTAATGCTTATCACTGGTTTTAGTTAAATGCTTTTAACTTTTATAAACTTTGTTTAATGTACGGTACTCCGTTATATACTTTAATTATCAATTGAAAAATGGGCACTCTGTAATACAACAGGTAGGTATTGATTAATTATATTTTATAATTTTTTATGGGCATCTGTTTCTTTGGAACAATTTTTATAAATAAGCTATACATTTGACATTTAGATCATGTTGATTAATCACGTTCTGTGAGTTTTTCTGTTTGATTCATCTTAGCAGTTTTTTACTTATGCTTCTGATACCTTCATGTTGTTGACTAGTTATATATTGGATTTAGGGATGGAGTCAGCGAGTCTCAATTCAACCAAGTTTTGAACATTGAACTGGATCAAATCATTGAGGTTTTGTGAACTGACCATTGTGCCCTTCAGATTTGTCCTCCACTTGGAAATGATGTCAATTTTTGTTTTCTGGTCAGGCATGCAAGTTTCTCGATGAGAGCTGGAACCCAAAATTTGTGGTGATTATTGCTCAGAAGAACCACCATACCAAATTCTTTCAGCCTCCTTCCCCTGACAATGTTCCTCCTGGTAGGCAGGCACAAGCACACTAATTAAATAATTTACATCGTTCAACATACCTATACTATTTATTGTTTCTGCAGGAACCATCATAGACAACAAAGTTTGTCATCCAAGAAACAATGACTTTTATCTCTGTGCCCAAGCTGGAATGATTGTGAGTATCAATATATATATATATATCTTGAACCATATAGATGCTGTAAAGTAGCTAAATTTGAGTACTTAAGCCTGGACCTTTCCATCTTGTTCTACAGCTATGATAAAAGCACTCAAAAAGTGAGTGTTTTAATAATCTATGATTGTAGGAGAGTTAAATCTCAGATGTAATGGTTCAGTACTTATTACTTATTTTTGCTACTTATCTGCTCTGGAATAGTATGACAAGTTATATTAACTTGGTTTGCTCTTAACCTGTTTTTTTAAGGGGACCACAAGGCCTACACATTATCATGTTCTTTTAGACGAAGTAGGTTTCTCAGCAGATGATCTGCAGGAGCTAGTGCATTCTCTTTCATATGTGTAAGTGAATGGGATTTATTGCGTACTTTTAGCCTTAATTAATAATTAGGATTCTTCTGAATCATAGTTGTCATGATTGCAGATACCAAAGAAGTACCACTGCCATTTCTGTAGGTAAGTTGGAGTTACTTTGTTCTGATCCTACTGCAATCCTCTCCTTGATATTTATGCTGTCATTATAATTGGCATCGTAACATGCCAAGCTGCAAATGAGATCCTTTGATCTTATTGAATTTTAAGTAAATTTTAATCCTTTGATTTAATATTTTTCTTTTCAGTTGCTCCCGTTTGCTATGCTCACTTGGCCGCCACTCAGATGGGACAGTTCATGAAATTTGAAGATGCATCTGAGACATCCTCGAGCCATGGCGGTGTGACCTCTGCTGGAGCAGTTCCTGTCCCTCAACTGCCCAGGCTGAAGGAGAATGTGTCCAGTTCCATGTTTTTCTGCTGAGAACTCTGAGCCTTGAGCATATTAAGACTACCTTCTCAGAACACTTTGTATATAGTTTTTTGTGTAGCCTCCCACCATAGGAGGTTTGAACCAACGGTAGTAAGCTTGCATTAGTGTAGTAGTACCCTGCGTTTGTCAGGCTTTAAATGCTGGTTGACCTTAATATTGACCGTGTGTAGCCAAACTTATGGGATTATGACAATTTCTGTTGGCATTTGTGTATGTTATGGCATTTGTGTATTTTGTGGTTGGTCTTAAGGGTTTGGTTTGTTCTTTTTGCACCAGGCTTGTGCTCTTAGTAAGTGGTTAGAGTATGCAATTTGAGGTGTATGAGCCTAGTTGCTTATTTGCGATGCCAGTTGAAATTTATGCTTTAAGCTCTGTGCTAGCCAATCGGGGCACAAGAAAATTAGTAGGTTATTGATGCGAGGTTCGAAATTAGCAGCTTTTTGTGTGTGGCTTGGGGTACATCTTTGATAGCTTTACCTTATTTTGAATGTCATTCCTTGTGTTCTCTTTAGATGCAAAGTAGTGGCTTTGCATAAAATTTACGAAGTAACTATAGTTTTAAGAACCGTTACATCTATGATATCAGAGGCTAGCTAGGCTATAGTATATTTGCTCCTACCACCTCAATTCATGCATGCTGGTAATGTCATTTAACTAGAAGGGAATTATGCATGCACAAGCAGTGGCAAGCATTGCTAGTAGAATAGCATGGATGTAGACATATGATTGAAAACCATGGTTAAGCAGAAGTGGTTCCGGTGGGATTTCCCTAACTTGAACAGCGACTTTCATACCCTCAAAGCAGTAACCTCGGCCGCTGAGAAAGAAATATGTATTTGCCTCCGTCAAGTTAAACACGTCCCGCCCGCCTCTTGTAACATTATATATGAAATCTTTGTCAATGCAATTATCATAGCTAGTTTTGTTCACCTCAAGAACATTGTAGATATGCTTATCAAACCCAAAATCTGGATTAATTGGATACAGAAAATTGCTTGTGAAGGTTAGCAAATTATTATATTGGAGGTAAAAATCAATCTGATGTTTGTGACATGAGAGAGGTACTTACAAAGCCAATCACCCACATAGAAGTTCTCCTGACTTGACCACTCTGTGAAGTCAATATTGGGAGCCCAAGTGAGCCTTCCCCCTCCAACTCTATGAAGCACAGGCTGCCTGCATTCAACATGCAGCACTCTAATCATCACCATCAAAATCATCAACCACCTAACTCTACTTTTCAAACCCTCCATTCTCTCTCTCTCTCTCTCTCTCTCTCTCTCTCTCTCTGGATTAATTTATGGCCTTGCTAAAATCAAACCCTCCATGCTTAAAAGGTAGCAGAGCATGCATGTCTCATGCCAAAAGGTACCAGAAAAATGAGAAAAGGGGTATGTTATGTTGTTATTGTTGTACCTTTTGAGCATGATTCTTTGGGCTTGATCATCCTAAGGGTGTGTAAAAAGATAACCCTTTATGCAATTTTATGTTATAATTATCGATTTTACAACTCTACACGACAATCTTTGATGTGTGCTCAAGAAAAAAAGATATCATGTTGGATCATATTGGATGAAGTTTGTCTTTTCTTCAGCATAACTACCAGGTCATGGTTTGCATGTTGCAAACCAAATCATTGTGAATAGTTGTTCTATCATACTCTCTATCTCTAGAGTTGGTATCTTCCTTTTACCCACTAAAACTCTCTAGACCTTGTCAATTTAAAAAATAAACAGCTCGAATCATATGATTCTATTTCATATGATAGTTCCTTATCAAGGGCTTTCGAGGTGTAATTATTTGTAGGATTTCTTACTTTTATCTTTATTTCTGAATTATTAAAGGCATATACGTGACATCAAAAAAATCTACTAATTAATCGGTTTCATAAAAATACTATAACCCTATTACATTCTTCCCTTATACTTCAAGTCCTATAATGAAACTATTTTAGTGAAATTTAATTGTCTTAATTCCTGGATGATTTCGAGTTCCTTTTGGATTTCTGAGCTAGTAAAGAACAGTAGAAGATTAGATCTCATACAGTTCAAATCCTGATTTCACCCAATGACCAATATGTCTACAGAAGCAACAAATTCAATATTAATAACTGTGTACATGCACACATTTTACAGTGTAACTATATTTAGTGTGTAATATCCTGCCAAAAGAAAGCTCAAGAAACCTCCAAGAAAATGTGTAACAACCAGTCTTAACATGTTTTGCAAATTTAAAGACTTATGGAGATTCATATTAATGCAATAAAGTCTGCAAGTGCTATTTAATCAAACAAATTCACTGCGTAAAAATTCAAACAAAAAGCTCCTTCCAAATGTTCAAATGTTCAAAATGAATAGCAAAGCACTAGTACTAAATTATAATTAAAAGCAGCAACATGAGGAGGAGTAGTGATGAAGAAAAAGTAGAAGTAGTAGAAGTAGACGTCGGCGCCGGGGCAGGCGGCATTGGTCGGAGGACGTTGACGGCAACCTTCAACCCTTGAAAGCAATAGCCCCCACTGCTAAGGAAGTAGTAGGTTTTTGTTTGTGTGAGATTAAACACATCTCTTCCGGCACCACCTGTTATGTTTTTTATGAAATCTTTGTCGATGCACTTTTCATAACTTGTCTTGTTCACCTCCAGCACATTATACTGGTACTTGTCATATCCAAAATCTAATAATATTTACCACCTTCAATTAATTTCATAAGTAATGAATACATGAAATTAAATATGCACTACTTTCAGCTGTGGTTTTGATTGATTTAAAGAACTAACATCCATATGAGATAACTCACAGAATGAGAGGATGCATGCATGCCGTAGAAATAATTAACAATTTTTTTTTTATTTTATCAAATAGAAACTTCATTAGATAAACTTCAACGGTACAATCAAAGACATTAACAAGACATCTAAAATACCAATACCAAAAGGACAACAAACTAATTTGCTAAAAGCAAAACTAACGTGGATAAAAGCCGCACTAAAACTACTAGCCCACATCACCATAATTAGCCATAAACCCAAACAAAGCCCACAAATCCAACATAACCAAAACCCTAAATCAACCCATGAGCCTAAACAAACCCTAAATAATTAACAATTGAATGTACTATTTGAGTTACAAGTCCTTGATAGTTTAATGTTTAATTTACGTGCAAGTCATGTGTGACTAGTAATTCTTTAACATTTTGATTGAAGAAATTATCAAGTATTTTCTAATATTTTTTAATTGGAGGTACATTTGATAGTTCCAGTTGTATACAATAAAACGCATGAAAGGCAGAGGCCGCAGGGCCAGCTCAAGGCCATGGCATTTTTGAGAGATTTGATGGACACCCAAAGACATGGGCTCATGACACCAAAAGTTTCTGAATTTTTAGCCATATGAAAGTTTTGAAAACATTACAAAAAAAAAGATTTGGACCACATCAAAACTAAACAATATACCTACATTAACCCTTAAATGTATATTTCTGGGGTGATTTGTGTGAATATGTAGTTCTGTTTTGAGAGTTCACTGAGGGTGCCGAAAGCTTAGGACCAGCCCTAATTGAGGGGGAGAGATATACACGGTCGTGACAAATATTTTTTTGATTGAACGTTACAAATTTTGAAGGTATTTAATTTTTACCGGTTTGGGTTCCATGTATTGTCTCATAATTATTGAGTAATTTGATAATTAATTATGGGGTTTATGTTCAGTAAATTATAAACACCACAAGAGGATGCATTATTTTTTAACACAGCGATAGTCTAAACTACAATGGTGAGGGAGTTTCTTGCATACAAGGTATTATATGAAGGTTCAAATATGAGACCATTAGTCTGAAAATTAAGACTTTTTTCCATCGGGCTAGACCCTGTTGGCCAAGAGTTATATAAATTGAGATATAATTATTTGGGAAAGATATGAGAAATGCCTTTGGAAAATAATATTAACAGGTGCAATTGGAGAGGAGCCCATATAAAAATGAAAAACTAGGTACAACCTAAGAAAAAGGTAAGAGAGAATTAAGGGATACGATTAACAGTAAGAATAATTTTTGCTTGTGGGTTTTATGAATAATTTATTTTCCTAGGAAACAAACAAACAAATTAACAAGCAGTAATCAAAGAAAAAGGATAAATGATGATGATGATGATGAAGAAGAGAAAGAGAGAAAAAAATTAACTTACAGAGCCAATCACCAACGTAAAATGTTTCGTGACAAGACCACTCTGTGAGGTTAACGTTTGATGGCCCCCAACTTGTCTTGCTTCCTCCAACATAATGCATTTTCCCACTGGCATTACCCATCTCGGCTCTTAACATTATCACCATGGCCACTGTCATGCCCACCGTCAACACCCTTCTCAAACTTAAAACCTCCATCATCACAACTCTCTCTCTCTCTCTCTCTCTCTCTATATATATATATATATATATATATATATATATGGAGTGTTGTTTATGGCAAGAAAAGTTGGGTTCAGGCAGTCTAGGGCTGTCAATATTAATTCTCATTCATTTTATGTGATTTGGAGTTTACCTCTAATCCCTTGATTTTTTTCTGGATTTAGCAGATTCTGCACCTATTAATTTACATGCATATTTAATGCTGCTTTAATTAATAGGGGGCCAAAATTTGTTGAAATGGCCTGTTGGCCATTCTTGATTTATTATTGCCATTACTGGAATTTTATTTTCTTTGTTTGTTCGGATAAGTACCGATTTTCTTTTTTCTTTTTTGATTTTTATTCGCACCTAGACATGTAAACGGATCGGAGATACCTTAATCTAAATTCTAATCCATTTATAATTGGATTATCAGATTTGGATCGTATTTGAACTATTAGATTGCACCTATCGGTCCATATCCGTTACACATTAGATTTATTTTGAGATGTAACAAAAATCAAAATTTCATTAGTAGCCTAGTTTTGTTGTTGTTGTATTTATCCACTTTTTATATCAATTTTTTTTAGTCATAAATATTAGTTTAAAGTGTATTCTTAGTGCTATAAAACTAAAATTACACATTTACACATATAAAGCATAGAAAAACTAAATTATATTTCATACTAAGTCGGATCAAATTAACTATATCCGGATTCATTTATAATCAAATTACCGGATTCGGATTATTGGATTGAGAAGTCCAATCCATCTCCTATTAATTACACCGAATTCAGATCAAAATCTGATTCATTGACAGGTCTAGTCGCATCCTTAATTATAGTAGAGTTAATAAATTTGTGCACCAAATAATTTATTAGCAATCCCCTCCCCGTTGATCTAAAATAATAATTTGTCGGTATATTTATATATAATATGCAGACACAGTCTGTCTCCTCGTAGGTTAGATTAATTTAGAGTAATTTAGCTACTGCTTGTATTTATAAAAACAATCACTAATCCTATTCTTTGAAAGGAAGCCCCGACAACACGAGGATTCATTTATTGAGAATCAATAAATACAACTTAAGGGGCATGAAGCCTGACCAAGATCCATAGAAAGTCAGAGGCACATATACCCAAACCACCGAAATCACCTATTTAGACACATAAGATTGACCACCTTTTTTTTAGGCAACCCATAGGATTGACCATCTTATGTGGCATCTTATGCAGTCATGTCATGTCAATTAATGAATATTGTCATGTTAATTCTTTTTATTTATTTATGAAGATACGACGTCACTCTAGCGAGGACGTGGCAAGAGTTATAGTTTCATCAATAGAATCAAAAAAGTAAAAACTAACCTTAGAGCATCTCCAATAGTAGTAGCAAACCAAACTCTTTAAATTGAAGTTTGTTGACTTATGTGACAATTTAAAAACCTTTGTTTGCTACTTAAATATTTTGTGCCGCACCAGAGTCTTCAATTCAATTAATGCAATGTCATGGAAAATAATGAAAAATATGAAAACATGTAAAAAATGTCTATGTATTAATTGTTTAAAAAGAAAAAAAATGCATGTTTTTAATATTTTCAAAGTAGGTTTTATTTTTCCAAAGTAAAATTAAATGTTTTGAAGAGTTAAGGTCAACTTACATGTCCTGAAGAGAGAGAAAGAGATTCTAGTTTTCATAACTAAGTTTGACAAGGCTGTTGGAGAGGGTTTTGATGATGTGGCTCACCTATTTTAGCATTCCAAAGTTGTTGAAGACGCTCTTACCAACCCCCCCTCTCTCATATCTTTGCCACCCCTACCAACCCCGACACCACCCAAGTCGCTATGCCATTCACCTTATCCCCCACAGCCTCCCATTCCCTTTTGATAATCTCTTTCTCCCTTCCTCGCAACCCCTCTTCCGCCTCACCTTTCGTGGAAATATTTAAACAATAGAATAATTGTTAATTTTAAACAATTTTTCTCATGACAAATGAAACCAACATCCTCTACACCCTCAACTTTCGTATAAAGGGAATGGATTTTTCCATTTTCAAAGAAAATAGAAAAATGAAGAGCAACACAGTCTCTTGCTACTTTTAGCAAAACTAATGTAGATTGTCATTGATTTCTAATGCGTAATGTACTTATTAACATCGTAAACTTTGCGGCGGGGACTCTCTAGCGGTTTTCTGACAAATCAAAGAGTAACCCACATGTACCCCACAGAGGGTGAACCAAAACGAGGGTGAGTTATTGACCCTGGCGTTGCTATCTAATGTGTACTATAGCCGGAACTGAAAATGTCATCTTCGTGGTGGTGGTGAAGAAGGTTTCAATGGAGATGGAGACAAATGGATTCATGAGCATTAGATCTTGAAACTGTTGTTGTTGAGAGAGCACCTAGATTTGGGAGAGGACGAGACACATGGATTTCTAGAACAATGGGAGCAGTTTGGTTGATTTTTTTCTTTCAACTTTACAGTTATGGATATCCACAGTTCCATGGCAACATCCTCTTTCAGGTCAGGGAGTAATTTTTCTTTCTTTGCTTTTATTTATTTATTTTTTGGCCTCAGATTCAAGTTTTGTTTTCTTCCTTTTTGTATGTGGTGCTATATACTTCATCTACTTGTGTTTATACCAAAAGGAATAGCCTATAAGGACCAGACACGTGGACAAGTTGAGCCTTGTTATGGTTACCCTCGGCACCTTGCCTACCGATCCTGCGATTAGGGCAACACCCTTCTCCACGACACGTGGCATGCCCACAATCGACGTCCACAGTCCCACATCGAAATTCTAAACAATATGCACACCTCCCAAGGCCTATAAAAGAGGACCACTATCCCCAAATGGAGGTAATCAGAACTTACGGCATATAGCCTATGGATATGTCAGTCTAAGTTTACTAAATTCGTACTTACTTAAGCATCGGAGAGCTATCGGCCGGTACCACACCGGTGCCTAAAATCCTTACCGAGCGTTTGTTATCTTGCAGATCACACGCTTCACAGAGGCCCGAGGCATACCGAAGGCCCAACATCACTAAGTTGAGCCCAAAAGTGCCGAACCACTTTTTCGCATCAATAGTTTGGTGCCGTCTGTGGGAAACGATCTAAATCAACCCATTATCCCTAAATACATGGGGACCACTTCAGTACCTGTATTCTTGCCCGAGGAAGGATTGCCGTTCGGAAGGCAGAGTGGAGCTAGCCCAGCGCTACCCCCTTGCACCCCTTTCGGCAATTTGCCCATAATGCAAACAACTGCCGAAGCTAAGCTTCTGGCCCAAATAACTTCTCTTCGGCAGGATATGGCTAAACTCCAAGAACATAATAACCTACTCTCATCTAAAGTGGACGAAACCCAGCAACTGCTCAATCAGCAGCATACACAAAACATCCAACCCACTCAATCCTCTAAGAGTCTGTAGACTCCGAATCTGTAGAGAAAGGGCAAAAAGGGGGCAAAGGCAACGCTTGCGCCCTCCAAACAGCTGGTAGTCCCGGCTCCTAGGGACCAGCAACATCTACCGAAGAAGGTATACACCAATTGTCGCCACTGGGTTAACGACAAGGAAGTCGAGAGACAGGGATCTTCGATCAGGATCAATGCTCACCTAAGAGACTCCCGAATGAGGGTTCTGGGAAACAAGTCGCCTATTCGGAAGGTACGAGGCCTGGAATCCACAGCGGAGTCAGACCACGAATATGTCCCCTCCAAGACTCAAGGGAGAACTTACCGTTCGGCAACACCTACACGGTACTTAGAGGCCAAGCAATTAAGTCCGCGGAGACGTTCGGAGGACTATGATTTCGAAGAGATTCCCAGCCGAGATCTCGTCGTCCGACTTCTTTTTCAGAAGGTTCAAAAGATGGAGAACCACCGGACCCGCTCTCAGGAGCCCGATTGGGGAAAGCTTCGGCCAGGGCCATTCACTGAACGCATCAGGTATTCCCGACAGGATAGGGATGTGCAACCATTGCGCATACCGTTCTACACCGGGGTAGAAGACCCCTTGACACACCTTCACTCTTTCCAGTTTGCCGTGGGATGTAAAGGCCTTAGTGATGAGGGGCAATGCATGTTGTTCCCGTCCGCGCTAACTGGAGCGGCCTTGAATTGGTTATATCGTTTGGAACCAGAAACGGTAGACTCATTCGATGAGTTAAAACAAATCTTTCTCAATCACTTTATGATCCAGACGGACCGTTTGTACTCTGCCTATGACCTGTACACGATTCGGCAAAGGGAAGATGAGCCCCTAAGGGAATACGCTGCGCGTTTCAGTCATGAATACTCAAGGTGTCCAGAATCGAACGACAGAGCAGCCTACGACGCCTTCAAGAGTGGCCTTCGGTCCTCGCACTTTCGGTACCTAGTGCACAGTAGCAACTAGCACACTTATGACAAACTAATGAAGCAAGCGGAGATCCACGCCAAAGCTGAATACTTCAACTCAAAGTCCGGGCCTTCGGCTCGGCAAGAGGAACTGACATTAAAGAATTATTCGGCACAGGGGCCATCGTACCCTCAAAACGAAAGAACTGATAAGTATTTGGCAAGTCACAAAAGGAAAGACAATCATGACGCTCGCCAGGGACACTCAAAGAAAGGAAAAGGGAAATACGGTCGCAATGACCACCAGGCACCCCTACCGAATCATGACCGCAACCAGGAAGTCTTCACTATGCTGAACACCACTTATGAGGTTGTTCTAATGAACGAACAAGAGATAATACCAAAGCCGAATCACCGAAAGCTCAATTGGCAGGACAATCGGGATACCGGAAAATTATGCTAATACCACCAACATAACAGTCATAACACTGAGGAGTGCATAAGCTTGAGGAAAATCGTTGAACGTTTGATTCGGGAGGGAAAGCTGGATCAGTACATTGCCAGACCACCGCAAGCACGGGCCCTAAACGGGAATCGACAGATCAATATGATTAGCACCATCAGCAGAGGCCCTACTTTGGCGGGATTATCCCACTGGTCAAGTAAGCAATATGTTCGGGCTGCACAGTATCCGCAAGTCTTTGGCATAGAGATCAATCGGCATCACAAGACGCCAAAGGGTTGGTGGGAACCCATCACCTTTTTCGAAGAGGAAGAAGAAGGGATCCTTTACCCCCATGATGACCCGATGATCATCCGAGCAGAAATCGCTGACTATGATGTAGGGCCGGTGCTGATCGACACAGGAAGTTCGGTAAACGTAATATTTGCCGATGCATTCAGAGGAATGGGAATAGATGACAGTCAGGTCAATCAACAATTGACACCTTTGCTCAGTTTCTCTGGGGACTTGGTCCAACCAGTCAGCAGTGTCAGGCTGTCTATCGCCTTCGGCGTTGCCCCCACGGAAAATGATGGTATATGACCAATTCCTCATTGTCGACTGCCCTACGGCATGCAACGTCATAGTAGGACGAAGGACACTTACCGAGATCAAGGCACACCTATCCCCTCACATGCTGTTAATGAAATTCCCAACTTGCAACGTCACAAGCGCGATTAGAGGAGACCAACTCAGCGCACGATCTTCCTATGCCACAACTCTTAAATTGGCATCCTTTAAACCCCCCAACGAGACCATGTATGTCCAAGGTATACCGAATGGTATAGGGCCAATCGACGACCCAAGAGACGAAATGCCAATGCCTCAGGCATAACCCACTGAAGAATTGGAAATAATGACCCTGAACGAAGAACAACCTGATCGACGTGTGAAAATCGGTACCAGACTCGCCCCATCCCTCCGAGCACAATTCATCGATTTCTTATGGCATCATTCGGAGGTATTCGCCTGGTCTTACGAAGACATGCCCGACATCTCCCCTGAGGTCATCAGCCATAAGCTCAGCATCTCCCCCGCCTATAAACCCGTTAGGCAGAAACGCCGTTCGTATGATGCCGAACGGTACGAGGCCATGTGAACCGAAGTTGACAAGCTCCAAACCATCGGCTTTATCAGGGAAGCTACGTACCCCGTGTGGCTGGCAAACTCTGTAATGGTTCGGATGGCAACAGGTGGGTGGCGAATGTGCCAAGATTATATTTACTTGAACAAAGCATGCCCAAAGGATAGCTTCTCGTTGCCTCAGATTGACCAGCTCGTAGACGCTGCTGCCGGCCATGAGCTGCTCAACTTCATGGACGCCTATTCGGGATATAACTAGATATTCATGCACCTTGCCGACAATGAACATACGGCATTTATTACAGATATGGGATTGTACTGTTATAACGTCATGCAATTCGGACTGAAAAACGCGGGGGAAACGTATTAGAGGCTTGTCAACCGAATCTTCGCCAAACACATCGGCAACATCATGGAGGTGTATGTTGATGATATGTTAGTAAAAAGTAGGACCGCCGAAGAACACCTTCACAACTTATCGATCATGTTCGGCATACTGAAAGACTACCGAATGAGTCTAAACCCAATGAAATGCGCATTCGGTGTATCTTCCGGGAAGTTTCTCGGGTTCATGATCAGTCAGAGAGGGATCGAGGGAAATCCCGAGAAAATCAAGGCCATAATCGACATGGAGAGGCCGAAGACACAGAAGGACATGCAAAGCCTTACCGGACGTGTCGCCGCCTTAACACGCTTCATTTCCAAAGCTACCGATAAGTGCGTGCTGTTCTTTAAAGCCTTGAAAGGGGGCAAACGACATATCACATGGACTGCAGAATGCGACCATGCATTTCAAGACTTAAAGAACTACATGAGCAAAGCACCTTTGTTGTCAAAACCACTCCCAGGGGAAATCTTGTATCTCTACCTTTCGGTATGTAACACCGCCGTCAGCTCGATGTTAATACGTAAACCAGAGAAAGCAGAGTTACCGATATTCTACGTCAGTAAAGTGCTTCAGAGCGCAGTGCTTCGGTATCCTCCGTTAGAACAGTTAGCCTTAGCGCTTGTTGTCTCAGCTCGAAGGCTCCGCCCATACTTCCAAGCGCACGAAATCACAGTCTTGACAAATCAACCGCTTCGGCAGGTACTCCAAAAACCAGAAACATCCGGCTAATTGGTCAAGTGGGCGATTGAGCTCGGAGAATTTGACATACAATTCTAGCCAAGACATGTGGGGGAAGGTTAGGCCATTGCCGATTTTATTTTCGAGCTTACACCACCGGTAGCACCTGAGCCAGCCAATCCAGGTACCGATGCTGAAGAACCTGGCATGTAGGGCACCGAATGCTTCGACCCTTCATTCCTCGTATGGATTCTGCATGTCGATGGTTCGACAAATCAGCAAGGGTGCGGAGCTAGTCTAGTGTTAACTGCCTCGGACAGAGTCAAGATCGAATACACTCTTCAATTTAACTTCAGAACCTCCAACAACGAGGCAGAGTATGAAGCATTTTTGGCCGGCCTTCAGCTAGCCAAGAGCATGAGCGCAAAATAAATCAGCATTCACAGTGACTCTCAGCTCATAGTGAATCAGATAACGGCAGACTTCGTAGCCAGAGATGCCTTCATGTCAGCCTACCTATCAACCATACACCAACTCCTTCAAGTATTTCAGGCCTACGAGATTCGGTAGATCCCTAGTATGGAAAACAGTCACGCCAATGTGCTGGCACGATTAGCTTCGGCAAGTCCTAGGCTTGGAAACTGCAGTATCGATCGGCAAGATATACAGTCATCAACGACATCCTCTACAAATGCGGCTATACCATGCCGTATATGAAATGCATCACCACCGAACAAGAGGACTACGTCCTTCGAGAGATCCGCGATGGTGTATGTGGTGACCATTCTAGGTCCCGATTGCTCACACATAAGGCCTTTCGGCAGGGGTATTACTAGCCGACTATGCATCAGGACGCAAGTACACTAGTGAAGAAGTGCGACAAATGCCAGTGATTCGGTAATATGCCCCACATCCCTGCCGAGCCCTTAACGCCGATCGTAAGTCTATGGCCTTTCGCCCAATAGGGGCTCGACCTAATCGGCCCGATGCCACAAGGTAAAAGCCAGGTTAAGTACGCCGTGGTTGCTGTGGACTACTTCACCAAATGGGTGGAAGCCGAGGCCCTGGCGACCATTACCGCTGCTAGAATGGAAGATTTCATATGGACTCACATCTGCTGCTGATTCGGTATCCCTTATGCAACCATAACTGATAACGGTAAGGAGTTTGATTCCGAACTTTTCAAACAACTCTGCATCTGCGTCAAAATCAAGCTGTTTTTCGCTTTGCCAGCTCACCCTTAGTCAAACGGTCAAGTTGAAGCAATAAATAAGATCATTAAGAAACTGCTCAAACGGCAGGTCGACAAGGCCAAGGGAGCTTGGCTGGATAAGCTTCTAGAAGCACTGTGGGCCATTCGGACATCCTACCGAATGCCCATCGGAGAAACCCCATTCTCTCTCGCCTTTGGTTCGGAAGCTGTTGTCCTCGTGGAGATCGGCTAGCCCACTTACCGAACGGAAAGTTTTACCCCGAAGGCAAATGAGGAAGCACTCGCATTGAGCCTCGACCTGATTGAAGAACGCCGAGCGCAAGCCAACCTTCGGAATGAGGCCTACAAGAATCGTATCTCCCGGTATTATGACTCGAGAGTCAGAACTCGCTCTTTCCGAATCGGGGACTGGGTCATGCGCAAAGTCTCTCTGTCAATCAAGTACCCCACGGAAGGAACCCTCAGACCCTCCTGGGAGGGACCTTACGAGATCATCAGTATCCTTCGATCGGGAACCTATCAGCTAAGAGACTCCAACGGAAAGACCCTCGGTCATCCTTGGAACGTAGAACATTTGAAATACTATTTCAAATGAAGTTACCTAGCCTACGGTAGGACGAAAATGTAGTACGATGAACATGTATTCATGCCTTCGGCAAAAGTTAATGAAGAAGCCTTCGGTGTATTCATTTACTTGTTCGGTAATTAAAAAGGTACGGTGGAGACCATCGGTAAAAAATTTAAACAACCGATGATCAAACCACTTCATTTTCATGTCTGTACATTAGCCTTCAACGGTATATCTCTATGTTGACCTACATAGCCTTTTTATTAGCCCTCATCGATAAAACTGTTAAAACCCTAATTCTACCGATTGTACGTTCACTTGCACTTTTCTTTCCGAAAATTTGATTCCGATTATACTAAGGGTGTTAGCCATCGGCAACCATTATCTAATCGGTAATAAACTGAAAGCTTATAAAGCTTTCGGCAACAAAAAAGGTGCAGACAAAAGGGAAGACTAAAACAGTTAGAATATCAAATTCAAATGAATGCCCTTGGCATCAAGGTGTTCGGACTGGCTGCCTTATGACAGATCCCAAAAAAATAAAAAAAATTACAAAGCTACAAATAGATCAGACGGTAGCCTCTTCACCAGCAGCCTCATCACTAGTGGCTTCGTCACGAGCTCCTTTGGTAACGGCAAGACCTTCGGTAGCGGAGGCTTCTTCTGGGGCATCCTCCCCCTCATAATCTTCGATAATTTCCTCGGTAGGGGAGTAGCATCGGCTGCGAAATTCAGGTTCAGTTTCTGCCCGAGGTTGAGCCGTTTGGAATGGTAAAGGAGATCTGCCATCTCCGAGCCCACTTAATTGTCGAGCAGGACAGTGAACTCTTCAGACGAACGGTAGCCCCTGATCGCCTCCCGAACGGCAGCATCAATTTCTGCTGTCTTGGCCCTCTCGGACTCCTCCAAGGCCGTTTGCACAGCCTCTTTCACCTCAACAACGTCTTTCACCGCCGTCATCGCAGCGTCCAGAGCTGCCCTCATCTCTGCCAATTTGGCCTCTGAAGCTTTAACTTGCCGTTCGGCAGCCTGCTTATCCTTCAGGGGATAAGCGTTGTCCTAGAGAGCTTTTCCTGCCTCAGCAACTTTGGCACAACCATTGTAATAAGCAACTTTGGCATAACCATATGTCCATAGACGCTTGGGAGACAAAGCAAAAAGTCAGAAGGAGCAAGAAAGTGTTACAGCGAACGGTAGCCATAAACAAGGAGCAAGAAACTTACTGATGCCTGGAGACGGAAGGCACGTCCAGCTTCCTCCCGAATGAGCCTTTTCGGCAGCTCCTCAATCTCCAACAGCTCCATTTGTGAACTAAGGATCATGTGGTTCGCAAATTGTACCGTCTTCGATGAACATGCGATGGTGATAGGTTTAGCATGGCCATCATCGTCCTCGGCAGCAAAAATTGCCCTCGGAGCCTCCGTCTGCCGTCCACGCTTTGACATAGGCTTGGCGTCCAGATCCACGATTACCGGATGCTTCCCGGCCTTAGAAGCATCATCTTTGGCTGCCTGTCCCCGCCTCGGCGTTGAGTCAGCTTCGACGGCACTATTGGCATGGGCTTGGCACTCAGCTGCCGTAGCCGATCGACAAGGGTCTGATCCCGTGGATCAACCTCCGCCGTTTAAACTGGGACAGTTTATGGCTGCCGTTTCTTCCTATTTTGATTCAAGCCCATCATGAGGCGCATTTTGGAGAATTCATTCATCCTCTTTGCTTCGGCAGATCTCCTGGTGTCTGTCACTGTACGAATGAAACAAATGATAAGGCATTGACATGACGCAGGTAAACATACAAAACAAACGGAGTGCACTCACTCTCGGCAGAACTGACAAGGCCGGCTCTGATCAAGTTCTCGGTAAAGAGGAATCCCGGGTATACCCTGTCGGCAGCATGAACCTTCAGCCTCACCTTATCAACTTGCCAAATCTCGGATTGAGTTGGGCTCGACTGCTTCAGTTTGCCTGCAAGACAACAGAGAACGATTAAAAATCAATCGGAGAAAGGCATATTGATAACTTGCCGATCGACATGCCAATGACCAACCGGCAATCTGGAAAGCGATGGGAATGTGGAAACGGACGGGCATTCCCGAAGGCGATTCCCAATTGCTAGACAAAATGCCCCCGCTCGGAAGCCTTGAGACAGTTGGCCTGAACCCAACCTCCGTGATCGACACTCTTGGACTTGGTGACGCTATACAAGTAGGAGAATTGCTCATAGGAAGGCTTCCCTTCCCTGGCAATACCGAATGCAACGATCACCCCCATGAAGGCCACCCAGAAGTTGGGATTGTATTGGCTTGGAGCATACCCAATTTGGGCAAGGATCTTCTGCACGACAGGTTGTAACGGCAACTGAACCCCCTGCAGAAGAACGTCAGTGAAAAAGACGACCTCACCATCGTTTGGGTTACTGAGAGACTCGGTAGGACCTGGGATCCTCATTTTCACTGAATCCGGGATACGGTACTCGGTACGAAGCTTGACGAGCTCCCGAACGGTAATCTTATTGGGCTCCAAATAATCTACGCCGAACAGATGTACCTTTGGCACGCCTAAAGGTACCCTAGGGTTTCCCCAATTAACTATGGATACCCTTGGCTGAGAAAGAGGTTCGACGGCTGCCTCTCCACGACCAGAGGTGGAGGTCTCAGATTGTTGACTGGTGTGCTCATCTGGCACCCGAGTGTCCCCCATCTGGAACTCGCAGTGTTGGCCTACATCGGCATGACTGTCGTCCCTATACACCACAGCCAGCGGTGTTGGTTGCCTGATCATAAGTCCCTTCCTAATGCCGTGGGTAGGAATGGAGCTTGCTCCCTCACTGATTATTTCGACATCAGTATCTTCTCCACCCTCGGCATCGAGGTTTACGACCTCACTATTTGTGTCCCTCTGATCGTCCGATGACTCCCCATCAAATGCATTGGGCTCTCCCTCGAACGGGGACTCGCTATCAGACTTCTACAAAACACATATAAAGGAAACTAAGGGACATGCAGAATACTAGCCTACCGATACCTACATCACTACCTATGGCAATCAGGCTACCGAATGAAATCCCACTTGCGCAAAGGTTAGTCTAACTCATGCCAAGGAAGGACGTGAGCAAGATAAAAGTATTCAGATGAGTACTGAACGGTACCTTACCTCAAAATGTGGAGGAAAGAAGGTAGCTTGGGTTGCCAATTGATGTTATCGGAAATCTCCTTGGTTGCCGTTAGCTACGTCAGAAATCGCATTGACTACCGTTAACTCTCGCCGGAAATCGCCTGGACAGAGCTCTCGGTTCACTCACAAATGCAAAGTGAACTTCTCATTCGGAGTCACTCCTATTTATAGGGTGAGGGTTTGCAATGGTACGCCTCGAGAATCCAAACGGCCCATTAATGGAGCCGCTCCGCATGAGAGGGCACGCCACATGTCGTTCATTGTGTGGATGTCTTGAGAACATGCAGGGCACAGAAGACAGAGCGTCAATCAGTCCCATCATTTCACCTCGAGGTATCGACCTTTGGGTTCCTCGGTATCTGCTTCTGAGTAAAGAGGCGCAAGACTAGGGTCGAGTACCCCCTATTCTAAATTACCGAATGGTAGAACAACATTTTTGATCATCGAAGAGGATATCAAGTCCCCATCCAAAAACTCAGATGAGAACTTGGGGGACTCTTGTTTATACCAAAAGGAATAGCCTATAAGGACTAGACACGTGGACAAGTTGAGCCTTGTTATGGTTGCCCTCAGCACCTTGCCTACCGATCTTATGATTAGGGCAGCACCCTTCTCCACGACACGTGGCATGCCCACAATCGACGTCCACAGTCCTACATCGAAATTCTAAACAATATGCACACCTCCCAAGGCCTATAAAAGAGGACCACTATCCCCAAATAGGGGTAATAAGAACTTACGGCATATAGCCTATGGATCTATCAGTCTAAGTTTACTAAATTTGCACTTAACTTAAGCATCGGAGAGCTTTCGGCCGGTACCACACCGGTGCTTAAAGGCCTTACTGAGCGTTTGTTATCTTGCAGATCCCATGCTTCACAGAGGCCCGAGGCATACTGAAGGCCCAACATCACTAAGTTGAGTCCAAAAATGCCGAACCACTTTTTCGCATCAACAACTTGTTTTTGCCTTTATTGAAGCGCATGCCATTTTATTTTCTGCTTGTTTCTCTCCTGTCTCTTTTTCTGAATTTTAGTTTTAGCTACATTTTTCTTATTTTAATTCTTATCTCCAATAGTTTCCATTGTTTAGCATCCTAATGAAATCTTCTTTTGTTTGTGGTGTTGGTTGCGAGGATCATTTATTTGTTTGTCAATCTTGGAGAACCACATCGTCCACCTTTCATAGACAATTTTGCAGCGGAGTAGTTACAAGACAGGCTGCGATCTGATGCTGTTGCAGTTGGTGTTCTTTTCAGTTGCTCTTGTGACTCATTCTTGGATTGGGCTTTGTTGGGCCATTTTGTGCATCATTTATTCATTGTCCATTTGCCCAAGTTTTGCATGTTGGTTGTTGTTAATGAGCAAGCTTTATAGTGGTACTCTTTTTTCCTTTATCAGATTTTCCTCCATTTGGGGGGTTTTTTACGGCAAGATTTCAATGATGCCACTATTGCTCTATCTTTGGACTCCACTGGGATCATTTTTGTCTCTCATGTATTGTTTTGGGCAATAGTCTTTTTTTTGTTTTTTTTTGTGTGTGGTTTCCTCATGATTGTTTCAGGCAGCGAATCTTTTTAAGATCACACTCTCGTTCCCGGCTTTCATGTTGGGTTTATGATGTTTTCATCCTCTTCGCTGTATACTCTTATGGTGTTATAATAAAGCATCTTTTCAAACAATAAATAAATAAATTGCCACGTAGGTCAACAAATCACAATTTGAAGTGTTTAGTTTGAAGACACTATTGGAGATGCTCCCTAGTCATCAAACTTTAGTTCATATTTAGGAATGTGAAGTGGGCTACTGCCAATAATAACGATTTGAGTAAGTTGAAGAATGGTAACATTTACTTGTCTACTATTTTCCAAAAGCCTGTCATAGAATGACATTGAAGATTGAGGTACTAATGTAGTTTATATTTTTAGGCATTTTTGTTGTTGTCAATGTAACTCACTTTATTGAATGTGAAAAAACTTAAACTTCATGAGTTTGAAGCCCAATAACATAGACAGAAGCACAATACATAGGCCCAATAAAGATATACACAATAAAAATTTAAAATGGTCAAGACACAAATACAAAGCTCCAGTCTAAAATAACACAAAAACATAAAACTCTAGATCTGAAATAAGTTCAGCCACACTAACCATAACACAACAACCCCACTGCCATTGCAAGTTCACAACCACTAAAGTAGGAGTCGACAGTAACTAGGTGAACCAAATGTCTATAATCCAAGCAAATAGTGCACACTCCACTTTAAATGCATCCTCACACCTGAAGTTGCCATCGTGGAAGAATGATGGAAGAGGCACTGATGGAGCCGAGGAGCTTGGTGGTGGAGAATTGGCAACATGAGGCAGCCTCAGGCAAGGATTTAAATTTAGAAAGACAAGATTGCCTAAGGCTAGTTGGACACTTTATAAGATAAAGCCTTATTAGTTAAAATGCCCCTTGAAATTTTGATCAAATCTCACTTTCCCCTTGAAACTAAGAGTGACCCATATTGCCCCTTTGACCATAGTTTCATGTTTCACTTTACCCCTACCGTCAACTCTGTTCCAAACTCCATAAAAATGATGACGTGGCAGGGGTAATATGGTATTTTTGTCCCAAATGGCTATTTTCCCCTAATGCGAGATACGCAAGTGGCAATTTTTTTATCCAACTTTTTTTTTTCCAAAAATTAATTAAACAAATAAAATAACAATAGAAACACAAAAAAACAATTCCCCTCTTCCCCACCTTAACCCCCCATTGCAACCACCTCCAATTACACTAGCAGCTCACTGTAATTGTTTAAGAAGAGAGAGAGAGAGAGAGAGAGAGAGAGAGAGGTTTGTTGTTGAACTAATCTTGGTGGTGGTTGGTGGGTCGTGAGATGACAATATTGTGCACACTAGTAGTATGAGGATCTGTGGTGCTGGGTGGAGTTCAGGGCCACTACGAGAAACAAGATCACAATCTCTAGAAAAATCTTATGGAAAATTTGTAGCAACACGACACCCACATCTCCTACTCTTCCACGTCAAGCACTCTGGTGGCCTTACAATCCTCTATATGGCCAACGAGACCGCCACCCGTATGTCATCGTTTCATCAATACCTTCCCACCAATTCCCCCAATTTTCAAGTTTTGATCTTTTTTGTGCAGGAAAAAAGGCATTCATCATGTATTCGTCGTTTTGTCTCTTAATAACCTCCGTCTTTCTACTTTAGTTGTGTGGGTGGTTGTTTAGGTATGGTGTTAGCTTGATAAGTTGGGATGAGGAGGTTGGATCTGGAGGGGAGAAAGATAAGAGGGGCCGCTTCAATGGTGGTTCGAAAGGGATGGATCGATGTATTGGTGGGGCTGTTGTGAAGATGGGAGACTTCTTGGAAGAGGAGGAACTGTTGGTGTAATTTTGGGTTGTGAACGGTGGGGGTGGTTGTGATGGGGGTTGAGGCGGGGAATTGATTTTTTTTTCCATTTTTTAATGTTATTTTATTTGTTTAATTAATTTCGATAAAAAAAGAATTGGATATATAGAGGTGGGCTCCACATTGTGCCACGTGCCCATCTCACATTAGGAGAAAATAGCTATCTGGGACGAAAAGACCATATTACCCCTACCATGTCATCATTTTTTATGGAGTTTGGAACAGAGTTATCGACATGGGGGCAAAGTGAAGCACGAAATCATGGTCAAAGGAGCAATATAGATCACTTTCAGTTTCAAGGGGTAAAGTGAATTTTGACCAAAGTTTGAAGAGGCATTTTAACTAATAAGCTTAAGATAAATGTGCAAGGCCTAAGAGGCGACACACATGTGAATGAATGGGCATTTAAGTCAAGTGATAGCTTCATTCTCATTTAGGGTTTTATTTTGATATTGTGATTGATTCGCATGTATATGTAAATATTATCTGGTTGATGCTAGTTATCCACAAATGAAAGGATATTTAGGCCCTTATAAGGATGGGCGAAATCATCTTCTTGATATCCAATGAGGAAATTGATATATTCACATTTTACATATAGAATGCATCTCTATTTGCTTTGTTTTCGTATCAAATTGGTTAGTTTAATGTGTTTAGTGAAGATTTTGTAGGCAACCATCTCTAGAAAGGCCTTAGAACTAAAACTATGATTTTGGAGGCTTAAGGGATCGAAATTGGTGGAATTATCAACTCAACAAAATCTCGAGAACTCATTCTGCCATTTCATCGAACACCTAGAGTGCATCTGTGCAAGTGTCAATTTAAACCCACAACTTTTCTCAATGACCAGCGCTAGAAAGATAGAGTTAGAGAAGTTTACCATCATTTTTGAAACTGAAATCGTATGCAGCTATTGAAATTGGAGAAGACCCATGCTTGATTGGTTGGGCAAAAGGTGTGCATTGATTTGGCTTGGAGATAAGACAAATGACAAGTTTCAACGACATTAGAGTCATCACATTTTCGAAAGGGAGCAAAAAGAATATACAGAAGAAGAGATTGAAGACAAACTTGGTCATTCAAGGTTTATTTCCTTGCTAGCTTATTGGAGCATCCACGTGCCAAGACACTATTGTTAGGGTTGGGGCATTTGCTGATCATGTTTGGAAGAAGCTGCGGTTTTCTATGAAGCATTTGCTGAGGCATTTGTTAAAGTCTTGGGCTGAAATTGATAATGGCTAGGCATTTATAATTTTGCCAAAATACAAAGCACCTCAAACCTAATTTCATAGATTCCTTCTTTGACTTGAAAATCTCTATTTCCAAGTCTCAACCGCAACAAAGTGTTTCTCCTTTGGAGATTGGGTTTTATTATTAGGTTTCCCATCATTGCCAATTTCCTTTTTCCTCCCCGTAGCTGTATCTTTTCTCATTTTGAAAATGGGTATTCCCTTATTTTCCTATTTTCCCTCTATTCCCAATTTCTCTCTACAAATATGTTTTCCTTATTTTTAGAGGAATACCCTGGTGTAACGACCCAGTCCTAAATAAAATTTTAATTATTAAGTTATTCAGATAAAGACCATTTTGCCCATGGAATATTTTATTAAGTTTAAAGTTGACTTTTTGATTAGGAAGGAATTTGGGAATTTTGACTGTACCATTGCGTAGAGCATGGCGAGATCAATCCGTAGACACGTAGTGGACTCGAATTGGAGTTGTAATGAAAAAGATACGATCAAAATACCCTCAGTGGCACAATCGTAATTATTGCGAAAATGGTTTGATAAAATCTGATTTTTTTTTCTCTCTCTCTCTCTCCTCTGTCTCTCTCCCCAACACTGTGACTGTCTCTGTCTCTGTCTGTCTGTCTCTCTCTCTCTCTCTCTCTCTCTCTCTCTCTTCGATTCTCTCAGTTTCGGCCATGGCAAGGGCCAGAACCGGTATGGTTCGACTCGTCTCGAAGCCACGAACCCGACCTGCCCATTTTCCTGGCTGGAAACCTCGAAATTCGGTGGCAATATAGATTGGTTTCTCTGGTTGTTCACGGCGTCACTACGGCCAATTCCGGCCTCCATCTCTGGCAACCAAGGTACGATTTCTCACATATTCTTCACGCTCTAGCTGCCTGTTGTGTAGGAATTGGACGATAGTTGTGTTTAGAAACTCGATTTATGATTTAGGTTTTGGCCAAATTTCAAAATGAAATTCCTGCCACTTCCGCTTGTTTTTCGGGGTAGGTGCAAGAACAAAAGTGGCTTCAATTGATGTCTTGAACCTAGGGTAGGAAGGTTGGCCCTTGATTTTGAGATTTTCCGGTGAGTGGTATTGCTTTGGATACCCACGCGCGTGGGTAGAGTGGTTGAGCTACATACTGTCCTAAAATGATCTCCTAGTTGTCATGAGTGCGTAGGTGTGCTTGGATTTCAATTTGGATACCGTTTGAGCGTTGAACGGATTTCGCCTAGTGTGCGATTTCCGGGTTTTATAGGTTTGGACAATTGGATCGAACTTGAATTCATGTATGTTGATCTAAGCCATTCCAGGATCGTATAGGATTCGACGGATCGTAAAACGGAGTCCCGGATACTCCAGAAATGCCAACCCTAGGGCTAGGTTATAGTAACCGTCCGATCGTGTAGTCGTGAGTAATCCGACCGTCTGATCAAGACCAAACTCTCGGGACATGTGTCCTAGGCATATGGGAACTGTGAAGGACTCCCGGATTTGTGATGGGAGGTCGTGGGTCTCGCGGGCCCAGTTGACCAAATTTGGGAAGTTTGACCCTTAGCCGACTGTGAGTCTTTCGAGGTAGTTTCACCCTTCGAAAAGTATTAGGATAACCTTGTAAACGAGTCTTAATTGTTATTTGAGTTTAAATTGGGAATTGTTTTGATATGGGATTTTCTTTAAAGGTTATTAATTAATACCATTTGATTATAAATAAAGTATATGTTCTAATTGTGGGGTACAGTATGTTATGGAATTTGTGTGAAAACAAGCATTGATTTCTATTTAAATTGTCTTAGGATCTTTAGGAATTTATGCTTATGTGCATGATCGTTGGTTTAAAATAACATTATTTTCATTGATTAAATTATGTTGCATTCTACTATAGACTTGTATGATTATGGAATGAATATATATATATATATATATATATATGAGCAGATCGCTAAATTATGAATATTTCTATCATTTTGATATTTGAGATTTATAATTATTCGGAATACGGATTATATATGTTGAGTACCATCCCTCGGATACTACACTTCCCATACGTGGCGTCGGAAATTTTCCGGCGTATGGGAAGAAAATGTGATTATTGAGTCTCACACGTGGTGTTGGAATATTCAGGCGTGTGAGATACTTCCCATATGTGGCGTTGGAAATTTTCCGGCGTATGGGAAGAATATGTGATTATCAGGTCTCACACATGGCGTTGGAATATTCCGGCGTGTGAGACCCTTCCCATACGTGGCGTTGGAAATTTTCTGGCGTATGGGAAGAAAATGTGATTATGAGGTCTCACACGTGGGTTGGAATATTCCGGCGTGTGAGACCCTTCCCATACGCGGCGTTGTAAATTTTCCGGCATATGGGAAGAACATGTGATTATTAGGTCTCACACGTGGCGTTTGAATATTCCGGCGTGTGAGACCCTTCCTATACGTGGCGTTGGAAATTTTCTGGCGTATGGGAAGAATATGTGATTATCATGTCTCACACGTGGCGTTGGAATATTCCGGCGTGTGAGACCCTTCCCATACGTGGCGTTGGAAATTTTCCGGCGTATGGGAAGAAAATGTGATTATCAGGTCTCACACATGGCGTTGGAATATTCATGCGTGTGAGACCCTTCCCATACGTGGTGTTGGAAATTTTCCGGCGTATGGGAAGAAAATGTGATTATCATGTCTCACACGTGGCGTTGGAATATTCATGCGTGTGAGACCCTTCCCATACGTGGTGTTGGAAATTTTCCGGCATATGGGAAGAAAATGTGATTATCATGTCTCACACGTGGCGTTGGAATATTCCGGCGTGTGAGACCCTTCCCATACGTGGCGTTGGAAATTTTCCAGCGTATGGGAAGAATATGTGATTATCAGGTCTCACACGTGGCGTTGGAATATTCCGGCGTGTGAGACCCTTCCCATACGTGGCGTTGGAAATTTTCCAGCGTGTGAGACCCTTCCCATATGTGGCGTTGGAAATTTTCCAGCGTATGGGAAGAATATGTGATTATCTGGTCTCACACGTAGAGTTGGAATATTCCTGCATGTGAGACCCTGTGATTTGTTATGGATTATCACACGTGGTGTTGGAGAATTCCAGCGTGTGGTAAAAGAACAAGGAGAGGAATAAAGGATTGTTATACTATATTAGGAAAGTTAGATGTTTGAAAAAGATTATGTTTGGTAGGATGTGATTTAAAGAAAAGGAAAAGGGATAAATTATAGAATCTATTATTTTGTATTACTGTAATTGATTGCATATTGTTGGAACCGGGATGTTTGTTGTAAGAACTACGTGTGGCTTGATCCCTCACAAGGGGTACATAGGTAGCCTAGGGCTTTACCTAGGTGCAGCCGCTGACTAAATTTACTTATGTTGTTTTATTGAGTTTGGTTCTGACCTTGTTGTTGGCCCTGAAACTCAGTTGAAACTGAGGTGTGTTTAGATAATTGTTCATACTCCTGTTTGGCCAAGGGAGGGTTGTGTTAGTGTGCTATGATCAAAATAGGGGTAAACCTGTTTGGATTGTTATACGATTTAGGCTGAGGCCTTAAACTACTTGTTTTGGTATTAGGATGTTAAACATCACATGATGGAATCTGGGAAGTTATTTTATGTTGACTACAATGGGCATTCATCAAATTGTTTGAATTTTTAATCTGCCTGGTTTAGAATATTATTTGACTTAAGAGCGTTGTTGGTGGTTTTGTTTCGGATTATTTGAAGGCCAAAGGCCGTTGATGTGAATTGCATGTTATTACATTGTGCATGCTGCCAGTTGTGGATATTAAATTGTGAAATTTTTTAACAGGTTGAAAATTTGGGAAATGTTCAATTTACAGGGGAGAGTCTGCCAAAATTTCGGTAGAAAGTCTCGTGCCCTTATTCCTTTTTGGGAAAGGAGGCTATAGTTTTAGTGAGTGGGTTTGGCACCGGTGTGATGTCGGATTTTTCCCACAGGATTCGTCCTGGGTTCTGAGGAATTCGGGGTGGGTCCTGTCACCTGGCCTATAAATATAAAGCTTTAACCTAAACCTATGGGCCATATACCATATACTTTCTCACCATATTTCAATACACCCACAAATATATCAGAGAGGTAGCCAAGAGTTTGCTGATGCGGTGCTTTTAGAGCTTACAAAGGTGTTGCTGTGGAGAATCCAGAGATCAAGTCCATCGGCCAAATCGGTTTTATGACAACAATTGTTTTGTTTATCTTCTCTTTTGTCATGAACCTATTTTCCTTGCTAGGGCTACGATGTAGCCTAACCATGAATACTTAATTTATATAGTTAGCGTAATTTCTGATTACTATTCCATGTTGAGTATTTGTTACTGTTATTAATGCTTTAAATATCTAGCTAATATTTCATTGATGATCCAAGCGAAGATCAAGAGGAGATGCTTGGTGTTTGCTTCTTGTAACAAATATCATGTCTTGAATGAGTGCCCAAGAGGAACTAACATGATTCATGCAGTTTTTTTGCAGGTTCTCATAGAACTTAATGGGTTCTTGATTTTCTAAATTCGTTGCTCGAGAGAGAATGAGTTGTTGATTAAGAATACTTTTGGTTCAGCTCGAGAGGGGATATCGAATGAATTAGGAGAAACCAACTGTCAATATAGGTAGTAATTCGGGTAAATTGGCTATAAGAATTAAGTGAAATTGGTTATGGTGAAATCAGATGCTTTAGTGCCACATCACCTTGATTTTCTAAACAATTATTTAACTTGTTACTTTACATATTTGTTTTAATTTAGTTTAAAATCAATTGTTCAAATAAACTTTTCAATTAATCATAATTGGTAATTGAAATGAAATTACAGTCTTCATGGAAACGACACTTCACTTATCTCTATATTACTTGTGTGGATTGTGCACTTGCAATAATTTCACAACAGAAACCAACCAAGAGGGAAGAAAGAAATCTTCAATAACAGATATTCATCTCTAAGATACACGATTGAAAGAATATTTTGTGTTTGGAAAAACTAATGGAGAATGGTACGTCAGATTTATAATTTTCCTTTGGAAAAAAAGTACAAGTCGTTGTCACTTCAATGTCTCTCTATAACTTCATAAGAATTCATTCATTATGATGATGAAGAGCTACTTCCCCCAACAAATGAGGGAGGGACTAGTACGGAAGAGATTATTGTGGAAGAAATGTAACTCGTGCACGAGAGATGGATGACGAACGCAAGAGAATCGTAAATCTTCTTATGTCTACTTGATATTTGTTTTTTTTAAAAGAAAATTTTGGTATTATTTGAAGCTATATATTTTCAATTTTCGGTTAAGAATGCCCAAGATTTAATATTATGTCATTGGTTATCAATTTTAAAACGTTTGATTATGAAAAACTGGAAAAAAAAAAAATTACAACAAAAAAAAATCACTTTTTTCTTTAGGAAGCCAAACGCTATGAATAACATCAAAATCACTTTTTAACAATATAAAAGCACTTCTATGTGGGTAGCAAACAATAAACTGATCTTGTGTAAAAGCACTACTAACATAAAGTGATTATGCTAAAATCACGGGCTCATTTGAGAGTGATTATGAGAGGGCCAAAATCACTTCATGTTGGGTATAATCACTTTTGCTTAAAAAATAGGGTGTTTGGCAAAAATTTAAAAGAGGTTAAAATAGGTATTAGGGCAAATTTGGCATTGCTGTGCTGTGAAAATAATCGTTGTCAGATTTGTTGTGAGAGATATCAGTTTGGCGTTTGGTAAAATTTTTGTTTATAAGTGTTGTTGTTATTGATTTTACGCATAATCAGAAAATGATTGCCGCATAATCATTAAACCCAATGCCTCTTCGAAACTGATTCCTGCATAATCAGAAAATGAAAGCACCTCATTAGTTGCTTTCCCTTATAGCTTTCTCTCACAGCAATTTTAAACAATAAGTGATTTTATCACTGTTTACCAAACGGGTTGGGCTTTTTAAAATTTTTTAAAAATCACTTATCACCCCAAATAAGCAATGTCAAATTGGCACTTATAATCACTTAAAGTAATTTTAGGAGAGGAGAGCATTGCTTGTGGATTGTGTTTCTCCTTGGTTTTTTTGTTTTTTTTTTTTTTTTTTTTTTTGATTTCTTTTAATGAAACTTTTGCAATATATTATCATTATTATTTGTAAAATATGGCCAAAAAGCCTAACCCTACAATTTTTTTAAGCAATCCAGACATTTCATCCACCCTAGTTATCACGTCTCTGCCTCTACCTCTGCTCTTTCTCTGTAGAGGCTTTTTGTTCCCCCATCTCTCGCTACAATCTCTGCAAGTAAGGCTATCATTCTTCAAGGTAATCCTCTCTACTCTCTCTGTTTCTATTTATGTACTTCTATATTTATCTTGGTAATTTTTTATTTTAGCTTTTCTTTTTTATCATATAGTGCTATGAAATTCTCATGCTTCTTGATTCATATATTATATCACTACTAGTTATTAGTAAAAATATTATCAAAATAAAAATTGAATTTAAGAGAGAGAGAGAGAGAGAGAGAGAGAGAGAGAGAGAGAGAGAGAGAGAGAGAGAGATAAGGGTCAAAGCTAGTGTATCAGTTCGCTATAATATGTCGATGATATTATAAACACTTTCTTTTGCAATAATAGAAGGATATAGAAAAGGTTGTTTCCTATTGCAATCTGTTTAGATGTGTTAGTTTGCAATTTTGGGTCATATAAATATGTTTTTGAGCGTTCTCCACATATCATACATAAGAATATGACATAGATGAACGTGTAAAGCAATCTTCATTCCACATTGACGTCAATGCCATGTGGCTACCTAATAGAAATTAGAGAGAGAAGAGAGAGAGAGAGAGAGAGAGAGAGAGAGAGAGAGAGAGAGAGAGAGAGAGAGAGAGAGAGAGAGAGAGAGAGAGAGAGAGAGAGAGGAGAGAGAGAGAGAGAGAGAGATAGATATTAAGAAAGAACTGTCTAATTTTAATGATGATTTGAATAACACAAAACCTATACATGCATAGAGACACATAGACACTTACCAGAGATGTTGGTTTTTGTAATAATGCTCCATTTCAATTTGTTGTTATGTCTGAGCACTTTTTCTGATGCAAACGTTTTCATGCAGTATGAAAGAGCACTTTTTCTTAAGTTGACCAGACGGTCAATCGTTAACTGTTGACATGTCACCTGTGGGACCCACCCCACCAGCGCTTTGACCATTCCGCTCATGCCATCTGAAGGGCAGTTTTGGGTTTCTACAATTTTTTAAAATAAAAAACACGAACATCATGCCCAAAATTGGGCACGATTTGCAAGAAAACGACCAAAGAAAAAGCCCCAAACCGTCGTTCGTCCTTGACCTCAGTTTAACCTAAATCCTAAATCTCTATAGCTGACAACAAGTTCTACGATTTCGAAGAAGTGAGAAGAAATGAGTTGGGATTTCAGGGCTCTAGGCCCTCCGCATCGATCGTATGGTAAGTTGGTTTAAATTTTTGCGATTTGGGATATCTGTGTTGAATGGGTTAGAGGTCGTATGAGTTATTCTTGGTTGAATGTTGTGTTTTATAGGGTTTAGTGGAATAGTGGGAGAAGTATGAAAGATTTTGTCGAATATAGGTGTCCTTCTTGCAGATTTCGAATATAGGTGGTCCTTCAAGCTAAGCATGTGCTGGCAATGTCTACCTTTAATACTTTAAGCGTCTGCTTTTAATAATGGAAAGTGTTAGGTGGAAGGGTGTGAAAAGGGTTGTTTAATAAAAATTTGGCTTTTTGTATAATGGTCCTAAACTGAAAATAATTGAGAAGTCAGTTATGGTTTTTGTGTAATGTTTGAATACTGTGTTTTGTGTTGTGTTTTAAGTTTGAACTGAAAATAACCCATGTTTGGGACATGTAATATGTAGGTGATCCTGAATTGTTTTCTATTCGAATGTACCATGGTGGTAAAATCTGTGGTAACTGTTATGCTTCTAGCAGTGTAGCTTAGTTTGATTATTGTGACAAGGATAGAATGTCAATGACTGAGATAGACAATATGGTGAGGGAGTTAGGGTATGATAGGGTGATTAGTTATTGGTATAGTATCCATATCTATAGCAATGGTGGCCTAACAAAGCTTAATGATGATCAAGATGTCATAGACATGCTTGTATTTGTACAAGAGACAAGGCTGATAGATATCTTCCTACATCATGGGGTTGATAGTAATGAGGGTTGGTTTTGTAGTCAATCAAGATCAAATCTGTTTGTTGATGTAGAAGCTAATACTGTGCCTACAAGAGGAGTTGTGATTGAGGAGCTTGATGATAATTATGGGCTATTATTCCTGTTGGTGGGAAATGGAAAACAATAAAAAAAAAAAATGTGATAGAAGAGCTCAATGAAGATCCAAATGGGGAACAAAGTGGTGGGGGTATGCAAAAGCCAAGGGAATCTTCTGCAAGACAGGGTGTTTCTAAAAAAGGCAAACAAAAGGTAGTGGAGAGGGAATCTTCTGCTGTGCAAAAAGACAAAGAAAGAGCTGTTAAGAGGGAATCTTCTGCCACTGTAGAGAAAGGGAAAAGTAAAGTCAGTTCTGTTCTTGGGAAAAAGAGGTGCAAAAATGCAAAAACGACACGTGATAAAGACCAAAGGTCCAATACAGTGACTGAGGGACTAGTTTAGAAAGAGGTTGTTGAAGGAAGTGTAGAAAAGAGCAAGTTATCAAGATGTCATCCAATGAAGACAAGAAAAGCAAGAACAAGGACCACAGTCTGTCATGATGAGGAAGAGTCAACAGACAGTCTTGACTCTGATTTTGCAGACCTTAACTTCAGTTGTGATGATGTTGATTTTGATGAATGGGTGGACAAATAAAGTGAGTGGATTGGAGATGGAGCAAAAGGAAAAGAGCCAGAGTCAACAAATACTGGGGTTGAATCTTGGGATTGGGGTGCAGATGTTGAATTGGATTTAGAGGAGTATGATTATGATAATGTGCAGCCTAAATATGACTCTGATGATGGCACTCCAATGACGGATAGATGGCCAGAGTTCAATCTGGCAACTGACATGGTAGATCCAGAGTTTGAGGTTGGGATGAAGTTCAGTGATTGTAAAGTTTTTAGAGCAGTTGTGAGAGAACAATTTATAAAAAGGAATTGGGATGTTGTATTTGTGAGAAGTGAGGCTTTCAAGCTAAAGGCAGTTTGTGCATATCTAGATTGCCCATGGGAGATATATGCTTCCAAAATGCAGCATGAGAAGACCCTGCAGGCTAAGAAATATGAGGGTGAGCACACTTGTGGTATTGTTTGGGAGAACCCCACTGTGAAGTGTAGTTGGCTCAGTGTCGAATATATGGAAACATTGAAGAGCAATCCAAGATGGCCAGTTAGCTCATTCATGGAGACTGTGAAGAAGGATTATAACACTGGAGTTTCTAGGCAACAAGTTTATAGGGCTAAAGAGAGGGCATTGTGGCAGATTGAGGGAATATACACAGAACAATACTCCAAAATTTGGGATTATTGTGAAGAGTTAAGGAAGACCAATCCAGAAACAACAACCAAAGTTCAATGTGATTTCAATGAACAATTGGGTCATCTAGTGTTTCAAAGGTTATATGTGTGCCTAGGTGCATGTAAAGCAGCGTTCATTGCTGGATGCAGATCCATTATTGGATTGGATGGCTGCTTCTTAAAGGGTGTATATGGAGGGAAATTTTTAGCAGCAGTTGGTATATATGCTAATAATGAAACATGGGTGATTGCGTATGCAGTGGTTGAGTCTGAGTGCAAGGACTCATAGGTTTGGTTTTTGGAATTGTTGGTAAATGATGTAGAGATTGTTAACCAGTTTGGATACACTTTCGTATCAGACAAGCAAAAAGGATTATTACCAACTTTTGAGCAAGTTGTTCCTAATAGTGAACACATGTTTTGTGCAAGACATCTGTTCACCAACTTCAGATTACAATTCAAAGGGAAAGCTTTGTCTGACAAATTCTGGGGTGCTGCAAAAGCAACAACTGTTCCACAGTTTGCAAGATAGATGGAAGAGCTGAAAAACCTTGATATGGATTTATGCTTGGCTGACTGAACCAGGAAAACCTCCCAGGCATTGGTCTCGATCACACTTCAGCACTCATGAATGTAGAGATAAGCCAATATTGACCATGCTTGAGATAGTTAGGTGTAAGTTGATGTGGAAGATACAAGGCAGAATGGACAAAATGAAGAATTGGACATAGGAAATTTGCCCCAAGATTTTTAAGAAGGTAGAGATTAATAAAGCAAAAGCAGGTGGTTGTGTGACTATGTGGTCAGGTGGAGGAAAATTTCAAGTTGGCAGTGGTGGGATTTCACAGTATATTGTGGACTTGGATTTGAGGACCTGTTCTTGCAGAGAATGAGATTTGACTGGTTGGCCTTGTGTTCATGGAGTGGCAGCTATAAATTACAATGGGGGCCTGAACGTAATGGATTATGTGGATGCATGTTATCACACTTAGACATATTTCACGCCATATGAAAACCTCATACTACCTATGAATGGGATGGAGTTGTGGGATAGAACTAATATGCCACTATGTGTGCCTCCTTCATACTCCAAACAACCTGGAAGGCCAAGAAAGGCTAGAAGGAAGGAAGTAGGTGAATGCAGCAACAAGGCCAATGTTGTTACAAAAGTTCAAGACTCACTGAGGTGTGGCCAATGTAGAAGAAAGGGCCACAATAAAAGGACCTGTCATAGGAATCTCCCCCTAAAAACAAAAATAAAAAATTGGAAGGCTGAGGTAAACATCTAAGGATGAACATTTGTTAATGTTATAAATTTTAATGTTTTTGGAATATGATGCAACTAACAGTTTATTATTTGTTGTCTCATCCCAACAAACTACTCAAACAAGTGAAGCTAGTCCTAGTACAAAAACAAGGCGAACTAAGCCTGCAAGATCTGTGCAGAAAGGAAAATGGAAGAGAAAGGCCACCATTGCAGCTGGAAGTTCAAATGCCCCACCAACTGATTCAGCTACTCCATCCTTAACACCTGCAAGTGGATCTACCTTTCTTGCAACTGGATATGCCCATCCTGCATCAACTGAAGCTTCAACTGGCAATTCTTATTTATTGAGGAAACGACCTATGGTTGTGGGAGCATCATACTTGAGCAAGGAATGATGATGGTCTGGCACACTTGTCTATGTTGTATTAGCTGGTTTGGTTATTTTAAGCATGAGACAGTTTTACCTTTATTAGCTGGTTGGATTATGTTATTATGTTATTTTGGAAGACAAGTTGCCTTGTGTTAGGAAGATAGCTTGTGATATTTTGTAAGACTAGTTTTTTTTTTTTTTTTTTGTGTTATTTTGTAAGGTTGTAAATGTTGTTCTGTGGCCTGTTTTGTTGTAATGCTGCAAGTGGATATGTTATTATGTGGCCTATTTTGTTGTAATGCTGCAAGTGAAAATCAATTTGCTCATATGTTGTACAAACAAGTTGTTGGAATGAACAAGCTATTGCATTACCAAAATTTCACATTGTATGCAGATTACATAGCCGTTCCCATTACATAACCAAAATGCAAAATGTTCATTCCCATTACATAACTAAAAGCACACTGCTTTCCATACCAAAGGCACAATGCAGACCTAACCAAAAGCACAGTACTTCCCATACCAAAAGCACAGTGCATCCCTAAAACACCCTATTTCATGCTAATTCCAAAGTCTTCAGCTTCAATCCATCTGATCCACCATTCCCTCCAAAGAAGGATATTGCAATAAGCATCCACGACACCACCAATGCTACCCAAAGAACCTTCTCTTTGCGTCTAGCCTTTGTTAGTGAATTCTCCAACTTATCCCACGATTTTAGCAACCCCGGAATCACAACTTTAGACCTTTCACACATTTCCACATCATACCAAACCCAAAAATCACAACCTCCTCTACCCTGCACAAAACCCACTTTGTAAATTAACATTTGCACCTGCTACAATTAAAAATATAATATTTTGCACCAAATCCAGTTTTTTACCTTTGCACACACAGCG